GGTGGCCCTTTCTCAGTGTCATACAGAATGTTGTCCGGGGAGGATGAGAAAAATAAAAGTTTAATCAAGACAGTATTCAGATAAAGGCATAGCCTTCTCTTAAATGTGTGTTGATTTTCTGAAGAACTTATATTTATTGGAAGGATATTCCAGAGGAAGGTATATCTGGAAGCGAAAAAAAGGAACGCTTAGAGGTGGAGGACGCTAGAGGAGGTATTGTAAAGGACGATTTGCGTAGATTGTATGGGCGACTGCTAGGGGTGAGTGCTGAAATCCGAGGAAAAGTTGAACTACGATTAATGCGAAAGAGGAGACAGAAGCCCGCTCCTAGTCTTTAATCCCATAAAAATTTCAGATTATTTACCTGAAGTCTATCTGATAAGGAGTTATTGGGATGTTCCTTATCTAAATGTTTTTTTTTAGAAAAACGTCTTTGGATATTTTCAATTTTTAAACGACTAGCTTCATTCATCAAGCCAAAGAATGGGCAACAATACTCGAGGATGAGAAGTTCAAACATACGACAGAGCCTTAATTTAATTTCAGGAAGATAAAAATTGTAAGAAATAAAGCCACAAATCTGGGCAGCTTTGACTGTAATTCCGTCAGCGTGCGGCGACAGATCAAGCTTACTAGTGTAGCTTAAACCTAAATCCTTGAATAAGGTACATTCAGCCATAGGTGTGCCTTGAAAGACCAGCGGTTGGGGTAGCCTATCAGGTCCAAAACACATATAGCGATATTTGGACGGAGAGAATTCCATTAGACATTTTTAGCTCCAAGCTGAGAGAGCAAGCAAGTCAGCATGGATTTGCTCCAGGCAATGAAGGCTCGTAGATTTTTTGAAAGAATATACACATTTGAGATCATCGGCATAAATAAATGATTGAGAATGTTTAACTGCTGCCGAAATATCCCTTATGTAAAGCAAGAACAAAATAAAACCTAAAAAGGTACCTTGTAGGACACCACTTACAATAAGGCTTTCAGTGGAAAGTGAAGATCCAACCAAAACCTTTTGTTTACGATTAGAAAGGTATGGCCTGAGAAAGGTTATTAGTGGACTGCGAATTCTCATAGCTTCCAATTCAACCAAGAGTCTTTTATGTGGTACTTTATAAAAGGCTTTACCAAGATCAAAATAAATAACGACAACATAAAGATGGTCATTACGAAGAGAGGTAGGTAGATTGACAGACAGATGACATGTTTAACAAGAGCGATCTGGTAAGAAAAACCTTGCTGGGAAAGGCTAATAACTTGATTGGCTATGCGAAATTCCGTTATTTTACGGCGATAAGTTATTTAAAGATTTTGGTGAGAGAGTGTGTTTTATAGACACCTCGATAGTTCTGTACGCCAGAACTACAGTCAGACTTAAATACTGAAATAATAATAGAAGTTTAGCAATCCTCAGGAAAGAAGCCATTTCCGATAAATACTGAAATGTTTTTGCCTATCTCGCGCTAGCCTCATTTTCAAAGCTAGTTCAAATATTTCAACGATTCTTAGATGAACTGATAATGAGCTCACAGAAGGATCTTTAAACTGCTTCCGTAACTTTTTAAGTCTGTTTTTAAAAAAGTGTGGGACAGCGTTGGAAGTAGTATTCGATTTAAACATCTTCCGAGGAATAAGGACAAGAAGACGTTCTGTTACGCAGTGTAATAATTTTTTTAAAAAATTTAGATAATTATTTGAAAAAAATATTGTGCCAATCAAGAGTGCACGTAAAGTCATTTACTTATTATTTTTTAACATAAGCAAAGTCAAAAATACTACTTTGTACTGTTAGCTTTGCGGAAATGGCAACTGGAAGGCGACAATGGATTAATGCATGATCACTTGCAAAAAGGTTATGATAGAATTCCATAGATAAAGGGAAGGTGCCATTAGTAAAAATTAAGTCTAAAACACTACCGTTTCTGGTCAAAGAGTGAACTAATTGAGATAAGTTTGAAAAGTAAATGGTGTCAAGCAGCTTCTGGAATTTAGGAGGAGAAGTATGTGTGTGCCAGTCAATGTCTGGTAAATTAAAATCGCCTACGATTATCTTGACATCGAAAGACGTCTCTTCAATTTTTTCAAAGAGTTCACAGAGTCGGCTTTCATGTCCGGGGAACAAGAATGATTATATACACATCCGACTAAGGCTTTCCTATTTTGCGGAAGGATTACCGAAGCAAAACATAGATTTCCAGGGAAGGAGGAAATGTTCAAGTCATAAGGCGATTGTGCAAGTGAGGCTCTTATGTAAAGAAGGCATCCACCGTCGCGTCTTTCGACACGATCCTGGCGGCATAAACTGAGGCTATCTTTATTGAGAGTCGAGGCTGAAATTCGAAAGTGAACCCAAGATTCTGTCATGCACAATACGTCTGTGTCAAACTGAACAGCTACACTTCTTAGGTGCGCCATCTTTTGCACGACAGCTCTTGCGATGAGGGAGACAATACTGATCGTATTCCTAATATGTAGGTTTCTCTCATTGTTACCTATAAAAAAGGAAAAGCCGGAGGTGGAAAATTTAGCTGTTGGAACGAAGCAATTCGTGGAGGACAAAGTTGCTGCGGTCTAAAATTTGTGGGGTAACTACTAGCTAGAGACGCAGCATTATGTGGAGAAAAATTTGAGGAGGACCCAGGAAGAGGAGAGCTATTTTGCTGGGTTGGAAACATAGGAGGCATGAGAATAGGATTTCGGGAATTGTTAGCAAAATATGAAGGGTAGTTTATGTTAGGTAATGGAAGTAATGGTTTCGGGAAACAGTTAACATCAGGAAAGGGTTTTATTATTCGGGGTGTCAGACTAGCAATGGGATTGGAAAAGTTATCAGCAATGCTATATACTTGCATTTTGCTTTCTGGTGTGCAAGAGGGCTTCACAACTGGGGCGTTAAGTTGAGAATTCAAGATAGGAGCAGGAAAAGATCTCCCTGAACCATCATCTAGCTGATTGGACTAAACAGCAAGGTCAGAGCTACTCAACAACTCACTTAATCTCCAGTAGCGTTTTTCAAGGCAAGGTTCTGGGTCCGATACTCTTCTTTCTTTATATTAATGATATTTTGACTGAATTCGGAAAGTCGCAAACTTTCATTTATGCCGATGACCTCAAGTGTGTTTACGCATATTCTAATTACAAGCAAATGTTTGTGTTGAAGAAGTAATGCCGATTTACTACGCTTAAGCAGATGGGGTTCAATATGGCAGATGGATTTGTCAACATCCAATTGAAGTTTCATGTGTTTTGGTCCTGCCAAACTTCCTGGTCCCATAATTTTTTTAGAATAACCCACTCTCAGAATGCCTCACCATAAAGGACCTAGGCCTAAGTTATGCAAATAAGCTTGCATTATCCCACCATGCAGACAGAATCTCTGCCAAAGCCGCGCAGATATGTGGATACATATCGCATAAATTTTCCTTCCAGAAATGAAGCTAAGACTTTATTAAACGTTTGTTCTTCCAGTCCACGAATACTGCAGTCCTTTCTTTGGTTTAATGAACGCCTGCGACTGCTATAAGATCGGAAATGCTCAGAGGTTTTTCATCCGGAAACTGTTCTCTCAAGTCGCACCCGGTACTTCTTATACTCAGAGATGTCAACTGACAAATATTACGTTTTTGTGGGTTAGAAAACTCGAAGCTGGCCTTTGCTTCCTGTTTCGCATTAACTCTTTCTACACTCTTCGGCTGATTGGCACTCTCACTCCGAGAGATCGGTCTTATGCCACTCACAAGTCCTCCGTTGTGTTTCCGCCGCCTCTTTGCACTACATCTAAGCGCTACCTCTTCTTTGCTTCCAAATATGCCCTCCTTTGGAATTATCTTCCGTCAAAAATTAGGTCGTCGCCTAATTTACTGGTATGAAAGTCCAAATTACGCAAACACATTACACCGGAAAGCATAAAGGCACTGTTAAAGGTCTCATTCCCGAACACTCATCTTCTTGACTTCGAGAAAGGTCCTCCTGGGATTTAATGGTAGATCAAATGGTAACCCTTAATTTTATCATCAGAAACCCCCTGTTTTGTATTGGTTGCTAAATCCACTGCTATCCCTCCTCCCCCATAACGACGATTTTCGCGGTTCTTGATGTCATCTCCCGCATTCCGACTTTATGCGGTCTGTCGACGCTCACGGTGGAATCCTCAGTATTCGCAGTCTACTAGTAGTTTGGTCGTACCTGCCTTCCCCACTCCTCTGCTGGGCTCGAAGAGTACTGTGGCCGATCGCGTCTGGATTCCACTCGTCTGGCCTCTTTGACGCGAATAGTCTCATCCGGCGTAGCAATCCTGCCTTAACGATGTCAGTTCTGAATCGTGTATACAATTCCACATGCGTGCCAGTCCTGTCCGACCCGCATACCTAGCCCCCGCGGCTGACATTTATTTCCGTCCTGACGATGTCCGATCACAATCAAAGCTAACATTTATTTCTGCCCTGACGGTGTCCGATTATAATCGGTTATATACCGCTACATACTGGCCAGTCCTGCTCGCATTTTTTGTTATTATTTTTTATCAAGGGTTTTTTTCTCCAGTTAAATTATTCCAATCATTTTTAAATTTTCAGTGTAGTTTTTTTCACCTCTCGTCAGTCATTCTTCTCAAGGGACTACTAATTCAGAAACTGTGAATTGCATTTTGTACAGATTCTGCCTACCGCGTCCAAAATTCACAAGTAAGTTTATTTTTACCTGCTTTGATGGGACCCCGGCGGGTCTGTTATAAATAAAATTATTATTATTAAAACTGTATCAAAGGGAAACAGGAACACGGACCAAGTCTCCTGTCATGTTTATACCGAAGCCTATTCATTTTGTGGACTAGACACTTTATTTCTCAACCCCGTGACTTTCCTCTCTCAAACGGTTGGGTTGAAATTAGCTGTGAAAGTTTTAACCTTGACTTACCTAATCTAACTTCCCTTTAGATCATAAAGATCATTTAGATCATAAAGAGTGAACTGATGCAATTCCTTGAAGTTCACGGCCTGCTATCGAAGTGCCAACATGGGTTCCGAAAAGGAAGATCCTGCACGACAAACTTGCTGCAGTCTCTCCACAGCTGGACCCGAGCTCTCGACGAGAGGCACGCGGTCCACATAGCCTTCATCGACTTCCAGAAAGCGTGCGACACTGTGTCGCACCAGAGGCTCTAACATAAACTGAAAAAAATAGGGATCAGTGGCAACTTCCTTAAATGGATTGAAAACTTCCTTTTGGGTCGACAGCAGGTTGTCTGCATCGGTCGGAGAAAATCAGACCCTGCTATGGTCGACAGTGATGTCCACCAGGGCTCAGAACTACGTGGACGATGCTGCAAGAGCTTTAGACTGCGAAGTAGCAATGTTTGCCGATGACATGAAGATATGGAAGTAATTTAGGGCCCTGTCGTCGAAGACAGACTGCAGATGAACCTGAATCGGTTGGAGGAGTGGTCACACCGTTGGATCCTGCGGTTCAACGTTGCCAAATGTAGCATACTTCGCCGGGGCAACACAGTTAGATCCGCCAGCACAAGAGACTACTTTCTGGACGATGCAGCCATAAAAGAGGTCGAAGCCCAAAAGGACCTCGGCGTTCTGACGACGGGTTTCCTAAAGCCATCCGCCCACTGCTCGAGATTGGCAAAAACCGAAATGTCCGTACTGTACGCCATCAAATGTGCGTTTATGGACTTTGACGAAGACGTTTTCCCAAAGACATTCGGAACATTCGTCCGACCGCATTTGGAGGCCGTGGGTGTTTGAGGATCAAAACTGCCTGAGCCACGCCTAGTAAATCTTAACCTCTTTCCTTTGAGTTACGGGCAACTTCGCGGGGATCTCTTGCAAGCCTTCCGCATTGTTAAGGGGTTGGATTGCAGTTTGGACTTCGAGGACTTTATTGAATTTGCCACCGCGATCAACCTCCGAGGACACCCGCTAAAACTGCGCACTCAGCAGGCGAGGTTGGATGTGCGGAAGTTCTCCTTCTATGTTCGAGTGGTCAAATCATGGAATGTCCTTCCTGTAGATGTTGTGATGTCACCATCTATATAATGTTTTACAAAGAATCTTGACATATTTATGTTCCGAAATGACCAAGAGCGATGAGAAGCAGAGCTCACCCCCTGTAACTCGTTCTCTTTTTTTCCTACCATTATGGGCGTGTTTGAACTATTTCAGCCCAGAACATTTATCTGTATACCATAGGTTTTTTACATTGCAAATAGGGTAATCAAAGTTTTACGCCTATTTCGCTCAATAAATTGAACTGAACTGAATTGTACGTAAGTAAGTGCTAAATTCAGCGACAACTTACAAAAAAGGAAGTTTGACAGGCCTTTTTAAGTTTTTTACTCTGTCCTCAGAGATAATGTCCACGGTCCTATTAAAACTCTTAGGTCATTCTGTATACGCGGCCGAGGCCGCGTAATGGCGCTGTCTCGAACCAGACGCCGGTGTCGACCTATAGGCTTTAAAGAGTTTGGGTCATAGCCTGCACCGACACAGTTCACTTGCGCATGGAGGTGGTCATCAGACGCTCGTCCACGGTGACTGCTGCTGACTACCTCAAAACAATCTAGCTCGGCTGGGGCAGGTACGGTCGCAGTTACAGCGCATGAAACTACCTACCGTAGAAGGCTTACTTGCCCTTTAACACTTGCGGGAACCTTAGTTACGACGGTACAACGGCTGAAAACAATGCAGTTTTAAAATTGTCGGAGCATTCTCAAACTTATTGGGGAAGAATGACAAGGGTAAATCAATTCACCAAACAAATTGGTGCTATAAGTTTTAAGAGGCTGACTAGGAGCATCAAGATGACTTTATGAATGACAATTACTTGGGACGCGGCCAGACGGCGGTGGGCGAAATAATGCAGCAAAAAGAGAAACAAATCAGTCCTTGATAAATCGATGCACATGAGAAAGACGGCGATTTCAGCTTAAGTGTTCGTCATTGGCTGGGGGGGAGTTGTAGCAGCCGCTCCAGTTCTCCTTTTCTCCGGCTCCGTTTTGTCGGTCGATGGCCGCGACAATCGTTGCCAGACCGCTGACACACAACCACCCCCGCCGATTATAACTGGGCCCCCCTCCTGTCCAGCTGCAGTGACCCCCCGCCTCCCCCCACAAACAATTATCACCTCATGCGCGTCAGACGACCTGGCTTGATACCCGTAAGCCCCTGTAATTATGCCTCGCCTAATCCGTCCAATCTCATGATCAGCATCCAACCCGTCATCCCCACCTACTGACACAGACTTTCACTCCCGCGTAAACTACACACCGCGACTGACGCTCTCCGTGAACGGACGCTTATCTCTGTTGCAAGCTAACAGCCAACTTACGGCAACCTGCCCTGTGTACAGAATAAACTAGTCCTCACAGCTCCCTGACTTCTGTCATTAGACGAAACGAACTTATTGTGCGTGGTTTAAGTTGATCTCACATCCTTGACCGCCACACTGCCAAAGTCATTCGGGGTCTGAGGTGACAGCAGGAAAAGGATATGATATAAACACTCGAATTGATGCTGTAGATGCACGACGGAGGATGGTGCTTTGCATGGAATGAGTCAGACCAGGACTGCTGCCGTATTTATCTAATCAAGACACAAGTTGCCGTCGACCCCAATGACAAATGTTTAAGGAATTTGCCACAGTCAAATAAGTGTGACCGTGTGAGACGATTAGACGACCATGCTGCAAGCGCATTCGCACACGGTCGACCAATGAGGGCACTGATCCGCTGAGTGCCGTGGACGTCAAATGAACCGTACACACTTGAGTGCCGGGCATTAGGGTGAGCCATACTAGCCCAAGCACTGATTGTGAAACCGCATGAGGAGTAGTATAACAAGCTTCGAATAAAGGAAAGAAATCATTTATTGTGGTGAAGTATGAATAAATTATCCGTGAAACCAACCTTATGACCTTTCGCTTTAAATCCCATCCACAAACACCACCTCCGCAAGCATAACGAGTACCCGTCACAATATCGTAGTCCACTGACTTCTGAACCCTAGGATTTGATTACATAATTTACACAATCCTTGACGTTATCTGTAAACGCTGGAATAAACTTGGGCTAAAAGACGATCATTAAAGTTTCTCCCTTACATGATGGGATAGGTCCGCATCCATGATAATACTGAGGCCGCCGTTAGCAAAGTTCATTCCGTGTACGTATCAACAATATATATAATTAATGGTGGATTCTCCTTCTCATTATAACTATCAAGAATGATAGAATATATCGCCAAAAACGGCCGACACTAACGACTGCGTAGAAATCGAGTAGGACAACCTGGATGAAGCCGACTGAAAGCGTTCCCTCAAGATTCCAGACTGCAAAAGAATAAATCGGTGAAGCCACATGTTCCTGAATATGCTCATTTCTATCTTCCAACATCATCGAAGCGCTGTAATACACGCTTATAATTACAACACCCAGCTAATAACTGCAAAAGAATCAGGATTGAGCAATTAACAGAATGTCAAAATGCGACCACGAAAATTGTTTAATATTTAAAGGTCGGGTAAGTATGAGTAGATTCTCAGTCCTGATGTTGAGTTGTCAGTAAATGGTGGGCAATTGTATCGGAAGTGGCCCTTTGAGTCTCCTTTTCCTGCCGCTTGAACGAGTCACCCCCTGCAACCAACAACCTAAGCCACTGGGACACCATACCTCGGCAAATGCAACGCGCCCCGATTGGAGAACACATAAGCTTGGCCTACAAGCATACAAAAGCGACTGCCATCAAAGTGGACCGAATTTGAACAGGAATTTCGTGGCATTTAATTTGAACCAGATCAGAAGATTGCGCTTCGATTACGTCGGGTTTGTCACCAATTTGCAGCGGCCAGGCGGCCAGAATGAGTGCACAGAGCGCCCAGGCCAAGTCACAAGTTGTAAAAAGAGAACAGAAGACATTAGAATGAGGGGTTTAATGCATACAAAACTCGGAGTTGTCCTCTCAGGCGTCAGTGGCCACTGGCGAAGCCGGGTCTAGTGTTGACTGCGTCAAGTCATGCCTGAGAGTTCCTGGGACAGTGACGGCAGCCGCTTATGTAGGCTCGTGGGCCAAGCTCAAGTGGCCTCCAATCAACGTGCGTTGCATTTGTCGAGGAGTGGTGTCTTAGTAGCTTAGGCTGTGGTTGTCCGGGGAGGTACCTCCAAGCGACCGAATGGGCAGCTGTAACTATGTGGACGCAGGTGTGTCCGAGCTAATGTCGGCAGAGTGGCTTCGAGTCAACACGTCCAGAACTGCTCGAGGCAAGGGTTGAATGACCTTGAGGCGGCGGGGCTTTGGACAATGGCGACAGACTGGCTATGATGCCTGCCTTTTGTGGATTTATCCTGAAAAGTCGAAGAGCAGGAAAGGGGAGAAAAACCAGAAGAAATTAAATAAAACTATAAACGAAGAAAGGAGCGCAACATAAGAGTAGGATGAAACGAAATGGGAAAACTATCCAACTGATTGCAGGAATAGGCGACGCAGAACGGTGCTTAAGTGCACGATGTGAAGAACTCATTTGTGGAACACCTGCACTAATCTGAGAACTGAACAGATCGGGGTGTATCCTCGGAAGATGAGCCAAAAAATGATCATAATCCACGTTGCACATCAAGTAAACTATATTCATTATACCGATTCTGTTGAGCATTTGACTTTTAAGCCGTTCCGATGTCTGACTAATACTCACTTTCAATAATCAGTTCACAATTCTCTAACACGCTTGTTGATTTTAAAAAAATCTGGCATAACTCCGGGGGACCGATACCTACTTTCCGCTCATGAGCTTAACGACCAAATACTTCGTCTTTTGTATGTCTATTCGACATTCTCACTTGAAATGCCTGTCAATAACTCTTCAGGTGATCTTTGTCTCCGTCTCTGAGGATCTTGACATCTCGAAACTAGCTGAATTCGCCGACTGCTTGATGTAGTTTGAGTACTTATCTTCTTTGACGGTTTTCAGATCTCGCGACATCCACTTTCCCCGATCTGCCCACCTTCATGTCCCAGCCAAAATATTGGCGACAGCTCTCACTCTGCAGCTGCGTCTTTGTCCTGGCCTATCCCGGCCTACAGTTAGTGACCTAACTCATGAAATGTGTCGACATTTACCAATGCTTGTCAATCACTCGCAAAACGACACCTTTTTATGAGTCCGATTTCTATGTTAATTAAATTAAAGTTTAAAAGATTAAAAAACATAAAAGAAATATTAAAGGCAGCGTTACGTTGTTTAGAAATGCCGATTTGTTATGGAAAGCGCAAGATCTCGAAAACGTAAAAAATGGCTCTAATAAAGGAAAGTTCTTGTAAAGATGTATAGGATGCATTCTCATATCAAAAACGCAGTAAATGGGAAATCAGACATAAAATAACCTCTAATAGGGAAGTTTACATCTAAATATCGTTTAATATTTACTGTGGTTTCATATATGACGGTTTGCCTACACCCCGAGTATAGATTCCAAAAGAGTTTTCAGTGTTTCGTTTCTAATTTTATTTCTTTGATGTACATAAGGTGAAGTTCAACAAGAGAAACTGGATTTTGCTTGATTTCACCAATGAGGACGTCGTAGGAACAAAAGTTTTCATAAGATGACATGCCATGAGGCCGGTAGTTACCTAATAATTTTAAACGGAACCGCGTGGCGCGATCATAAATATACCACTTTGTTGAAGACAAAGAAGAAGACAAGATCGCAGGGACAAGAGCTTTATTCGCCTGACGTTTCGGATTGCTGCAGATAAGGGTGGTTCATGCATATGGGGCTGCAGTATTTATAGGGTACGGTAGCCATGCTACCGCATACCTATGAATAATCACGACTCCCCACCCTCTTCATCAGGGATCGTTGCACTTGGCGTGATGGCCAACAGACACATGGCGAGACCCTAAGATACGGCTTTGGCCCGATTCTATGGTCTCCTTAAGGTACACAAAGACGGCGCTCCTCTCTGACCCATCGCGTAGCTCAAAGCTACTCCAACGTACGGACTGGCTGAGTGGCTGTTCCGGCGTCTCAAATTTCTGACCGCTGAGTCAGACAACACGATCTCTTCGTCAGCACAATTCCTGTAGAAACTTAAAGGCGTGAGAATCCATCCACATGAGGTCATGGTATCTTTTGATGTTACTTGATTTTTTACTTCTATTCCACAGGAACTGACGATCAAAACAATTGAGCTACTTCGACAAAGCAAAAACGATGAAAAGGAGAATCGTTTTGGACGCGCCGAAGTCCTTCAGCTCCCGAAGTTCTGCCTCAGGACGTATTTCACGTTCGACGGGACAATCTACGAACAGGCTAAGGGTAGACCAACTGGTTCGCCGATTTCGAGCTCCGTCGTCGAGGCGGTCTTGCAAACGTTGGAGTTGCTGGTCTTCCAACACCACAGATCGAAGTTCTGTGCCTGGCATGGGAATGATAACTGCGTTATCGACCGGGATCAACAGCTGACATTCAAGGAACACCCGAATTGAGTCTTCCTGGACATGCAATTTACGATTAAGGAGGAAGATAACGACCAGCCGGCCTTTCTGGATCGATCCGATGGTCGATCAATCATTACACCAACACCCAACGCATGTGATGAAATTGCAGCAATTAACAACGCAAATGTCTGTCATCAAACAATTAGCACACCAGGTGCAACGACACCGGATGAAGTGGGGAGCCGTGAATGTTCATAGGAATGCGGTAGCATGGCGACTGCATCCTATAAATACTGCAACCCCTGGGGCATGAATCATCCGTATCTGCTGTTGACTCTGGTGTTGGGTTCGAGCAGAAATCCGAAACGTCAGGCTAATAAAGCTCTTGTCCCAGCGATCGTGTCTCCTTCTTCAAGCCAAGAAGTGTCAGATGCAGGGGTCAGACCAGTTCATCGCATATTCTGCAGCATGCAGAACAGACTTTATTTGGAGTTAGAGACTATCAGACGAACCGTTGGCTGCCAGATGGCAGACTAACGTCGGAAGGATTATGAGGTAACGGAAACTGAGCAGGGCTTGGAAAAGGATGTAATCGAAATAAGCAAATTAAAATAACATAACGAAAAAAGACAAGGGGAAGTGGAATAACCATTTCTGGCCTATTGAGCGTTGCCAAAAAAATCAAGACCTATCGGTTGCGATCGGGAATTTAAAATGGAAGAGCGACGACCGACAGGAGAACGAGTCCGTGACTGAGTGGTTAGGAGAGTTAAAGCACTTATCTAAAGATCGCTGAACCGAGCCCCAGGAGTTCCACAGTTCAGGCTTGGGTATGACTGGATGACGACGGCAAAAACCAGAAATGACTTCCGCACTTTATTAAGAGATGACATTTGTGTTTTGGTAACGTATGAGATAAGGGGTTTATAGGTTGATTTACCTTCTGACAATGACAACATCTTGCCGTCGAAGCCTTCTTTGTTCAAAATTGCCGTTAAATCTTCTTTACTTGTCAGAAAAATAATAATACTTTTGTTCCTTTTTGAGGTCCAAAATGTCTTCCTTTCTTCGTGTGCTATAACAGAAAAATAATTTTAGTGCTATAATACATGTTAAGTGATATTTCCTATTGTGAAACCAACATCGTCGGTAAGATTCTCTGGTGACAGGATGGAGTTTATAATCGCAAAAAAATCTAAGTAGCTCTCATCGGAAAGCACATTATCCCTGCCTATTGTAAGGGTTCTCCATGACAGATTTATTATATTTGATGAACAATCATTACTTGTGCAAGTTTGCCGAGAAATAGTCATCCGCTTGTTGTCTAACATGCGTCAATTTTTCTGCCAGCTGGTGACGCAAACATAGGTGATCCCCTGATTATGAGATTCAAGTACGTGCGAAGGGTGTATATCTCAGCAGAATGGCGTGTGCTGTTCCTAAGAGATTTGAAAGTTCTGAAGTCGATAATGATCGCCAGTCGTAAATTCACGAAGCATGCTTTGGTCGTAACAAGATGCAATTTCATACAGTTGAGTAGATCTTATGGCAGGTTTTATTTGGACAGATTTTGGCAAAATCTGCCTATATCGAACTCTATGTAAAGATACTAACTGCCCTCGTGTAAGCCTTTCGCGAATTGCACATTTCTCCCACCGTCTAGCTCGTAGCAATACATCGCGATCGTGATGCATACGTATGTATTGCAGGATGGGTAGCCCAAGAAATTTACCTTAGATGCTATAAGCCCTTTGGAAAATCTAAAAAAATTTCTTGCGCTATTTTTCGCACTGGTTGCCAAGGTGGCATTCCGACGTGGGGAAAATGTGCAAAACTAGGCAAAACAGCCCAAGAAGTCAAAACAGCTAAAATCCATACTTCCATTTGATTTCTGCCAATAAACCACGACCCTGGATTGACATACCGCACGCATTGGCTGTCGTCTCTTCAATTTTTTACTTAAATTGTTCTACACGGCATGTAGTTCAATCAGCCGATTACTGCATGATTCATCGGAATGTTAGGCCTCCTAAATTTTCCGCGTTTCTTAGCTAAAAAACTAACAACATGTTGCGTTTTGCCACAAGCAAATAGACGGTTTGGGTGGAAGAACGTTATCTGGGAATATGAATTCATGAAACGTGAAAATTCCCAAAGCCTGAATACGAAGGCTTAGTCGCGTACATAATTAACAGATGAGGCGGCTGAATTGCGGGGCAAAATGTGGAGTTTAGACGGTTAAAATAAACGAAAAATATCATTTACGTCAGAAAAACGCTTTAACAGTTCAGGCATTAAAAAGAGGATTCGTGGAGCAAGAAAAGATGACATGAAAGACATCAAAAAGGAACAAAAGCATTATTATTCCTCCGGCAAGTAAAGGAGGTTTAACGGCACTTTTAAACAAAGAAGGCTTCGAAGGCAAGATGTTGTCATTGTCAGAAGGTAAATCAACCTATAAACCCCTTATCTCATACGTTAATAAAACACAAATGTCATCTCTTAATAAAGTGCGGAAGTCATTTCTGGTTTTTGCCGTCGTCATCCAGTCATATCCAAGCCTGAACTGTGGAACTCCTGGGGCTCGGTTCAGCGATCTTTAGATAAGTGCTTTAACTCTCCTAACCACTCAGTCACGGACTCGTTATCTTGTCGGTCGCTCCATTTCCATTATAAATATCTGATCGCAACCGATAAGACTAGGTGCCCGGGAATTGTGCTAACAAATGAAGGAAGCTCCTATGGTCATCTATCGCCGGCGTTCTAGTTCAGATCACGAGGCAAAATTAGTTAACCGCACATTATGGGAACGTTATGTGGAGGAAATTTTCGTGTCGTTAGGAGAGATCACTTGGAAATGTTTCTCAGTGTTTTCAACTCAACGTCAGCAGGATTCTCGTTCACGCTCGACAAATACAATGACAGCAATCTCCCTTTCCTTAACTTCGTCGTACTGAGGAAGACTGAGGGAACACCCCGCACATAATTTTACCACAAAATAACGTATGCAGAAGTTGTTCTACAGTACAATATAATCACAACCTATCGTTTATAGACAGGGGGCTGTTGCCAGTCTACTAAGGTAGCTCTTTAAGCCTTTTTTGAGATATAGTATGCTTTTTTCTGTAAATCGTCTGGACTTTTCACTGATGTTTCTTCAGTCCTATTTGACGTACCCAAAAGCTCTTTATTATTATACCGTCTCTTTCATGTTTTTCTTCGTATAAACTTTGCCTGTTTCATTTGACGCTATTTGTTTTGGCATCCCTCCTCATTACTTGTATCGCTTTCTGTTTTCCATGAAAAAGTGTTATGTAACATCTAAATCTATATAGTAATTAATTCGTGTAGCGTGTGAGAGCTTTGTTTCCGGGAAGAAATACGGGGAAAAGATTTAAAATTCTGTGATCTGCCGGTGCACCTGATCAGTCACACATGTCCATGGTAATCGCCGATGACGGTAATAACTCCAATCACTCTCATGTTACTTTATTCCCTTCCCTACATGACCAACAACTGTGTTGTGTTGTGCATTCATGCCTTCCGAGTGTTTGCTGTTATATAAACTTGTTTACCTAGAAAACTCCCTTCTATCCTCATATCAGATAAACATTCCATCTTGTTAATTATCCAACACGTTTCATCCCTCTAAGTCGTCTTCCCAATTACCGTACTGAGCTGTTTAAAATGTCACCAAATTTGATGACCTCAGTTAATTCACCTGTAAAATTGTTTAGGTCAAAAATTGCCATTCCAGCCTCCCTCCTTCTTTGGCATTCATTTGTCCATCACTACTGGTCGTTAGGTGACCGTCTGCGTGAGCTCTTACCAGAATCAGTAACGCAACGATACGGACCAGACCCGATCGCAGGCGTCAGAGTTACAGGCACTCGATTCAATGGTAGAACGTTAGACTTGACACTCAGTAGCCAAATTATTCGGGTTCTAATCGCAGGCGGTACAAAGCTGGATTAGGATATGGGTTACTGACAACGGCTAATAAACCAGGAATTGCCATTTCAGTCATCCCATCTCTCTGTCAGTATTCCTTCCTACATCAGCACTGGTCACTGTGCCGTTGGCCGCAAGAGCTTTAGGTCAAGCCTCAGGACGCAAGGTGATGAACATCTCCATTCTCTGGTCGGTGAAGGCATATGCAACCTTATTATACATGTATGCAGAGGGAGGAGATAAGGCAGTCCTGAGTAGGTTGGCTTGTCCATTTGATTTTTCACATTCTTAACTGTGTGCATCATATGAAGTGTTCATAGGAGTCGGATGGCCTAAAGAGCTCTTTCTAACTCAATCCTGATAGCTCGATCACACTTTCTACTCATTTGGACTGCACCGAGTTCGTCCTTCCTTTTTACGCCATTGTATTTTAAAACGTTACATGGATTAACTGCGGTCCATGATTTTCGGACCCAAAATTCCTAAGCGTGGTATCCAACCCAAAACGCCGATTAATGCAAGGCTTGTCCGAGTGCATGACCTCGAAGGAATCTCGGTCAATCCGGAATGAGCAGACACCAACAATGGGAGCCCTAGTCGTGAGTGGACTGTTCCCAGTATTTAGTGTATGCACGACTACATACGACTGATTATAGATGATTGTGAATAAAGATCCTTGTGCTAATCTGGTAGGCCTGGAACACGCCATGTCTTCAGATATATGGGTGGATTACTTAGTCAGGGTTTTGAATAAAATATTTCCTCAAATGTGGTACTTAGGGGATATAAATACATTTAATTTATAATGCTACTATATGTGCCTGTAAAGGCACCTTTGCATAAGGTCGACGAAAAGGAACGGGTAGCTACTATGCGCCTGCCTATCGCCAAATGTATACGTATGGGGATCTTAAGTACTTTTTAAAAAATCTTGCATTTCCTTAGGTTGGATAGGCTAATGTGAAGTGATATTCCTACAAAATGGACATATTAGACATTTACATTACAACCCATTATTCAATGGTCTACTGCTCTATACGTATTCCTAGAGACCTATTAAACTGAAGTACTCGCGCGCAGTGGTATTTAAGGTGCGCGTTACTGTTTTTTATTTTACGAATACCCAATGGCCGATGTTCGGTTTTATTTAGAAGTCTCCTTCTAGTGAATTCGATTAGAATGCTTTCGTATTTAAAAAGAAACAACAGTAAAAACTTAGATGTTTGTGCCAAAGCATTGCCGAAGTAATAGTGGGACAATGATGTTTACTTCCACAGTGGACGTTCGTGATTATATGTATATGTGCGTAAAACTGTCATGATCTCTTTATAATGACACTCGGAATGCGGATAGCGTATTGTCTTATGGTTTTCTAACTGATTGGTATTACTTCGTTCACTTGGTCAGTTGAGGTCAAAATGCACAAGGTAAGGTGTTTAGGTATAAGATTTTGCATGGACTTGCTTTTTGGCAGATCTCCTCGAATTAATATCCCATATAGAGCATAAAGGACGGTGTTGTAAGTCGATCACCACGGATGTTTTAGGAGTGACGTCAAGTTTAGGTAACTATACACAGCTCGAACGTAAAACTGCAGGCAAATCAAGCTAAGATCTGATCGATCATTCCCCTCTGCCGAAAATGTATACACTTTTAGTTGAATAACATGAGCCATCTCCTTCAAGGGCAAATAAAACACTAGATTTTGATGACATTTTGTATTATAGGGAAATAGGCCTATGCGTCAGGTCTCTGGAAATAGACAATTCTTCTGGCTGACGACGACCAGCAAGTCGGAAACGTCCATTGCATTTACCATCGTCTTTGTCGGCATCGTCGTTCTACCAACTAATCACTATATTCCCATATCTGAAATGGGTATGTTCTATCAACCGCTAACATATTTTTTCAATTTTGTGCGCTTTTGGAAATAGAAGGTGAGGACAAAATGCAACACAGCCGATGGGAGCGAACAGCGAGTGGCCTAAAAGCCAATGTGTTCACGACGCAATTACTAAATTTTAACGAAAACCACCCGATCGGTCTGTAACGCAGTTGCGTAAGGGCACCGTACCAGCGCGTTGGGACGCATTGCATTGAACCGGAAGACAAGGTTGCTGAATTACAATATCTTCGACAGATACTGAGAGCCAATGGTTAGCCGCGCAACTTTGTCAACCAGAGCGTACGCAGATAACACCAGAAACCAAATCCGACCGGCCCTAAATTTGAGCAAGCGCTTCCGTACGTGAGACACGTCTCGGAAGCTGTCAGCCGCCTTCTCACTCCACTTGGAGTTGGGGTTGCACACAGGCCGGAAGCGACTATCAGGCGCGAAGTCGTGAGGCTGAAAGACTCACTGCCACCGCAAGGAACATCTGGAGTCGTTTACCGGATCTGATGCACAACTACATCGGAGAAACTGGGAAATTACTCCAGGCGCGCATAGCTGAGCACGCAGCAGTGGTGAGGAGGAAAGACACTAGCTCTCAGACAGCAGCACATTTCACAGAATCCAGCCTGTTTTCAAGTATTATGAGGCCAAACTCCTCGCAAGATTTGACCACCGTGTGAGTCGGGTGCTGCTCAGGACATGGTTCTCAAGGTCGCAATATATTAACAAGCACGGTGACCGCCCAATACCGTATTCTGTGTTGAGATATTCGCTCTGCAGGGAAATCGCTCACGTGGGGAGGTTGGCGGTGCTCAACCATCCTGGTGTCCACGGGTCAAATTTCTGAGTAATTATCATTTCAAGATCCAACACAGATGATATAATTGCGGCCATCAGCGACTCCGACGCGGACTGACGAGCCATTATCGCATCAAACACGACCCCCAGCAGTGATCGCGAGAGCTGTTGATTATAGTACGCATGTGACCCTACGGCAGCCACGTGCTGTAAATACTTCAGTATTTGTGTCCCCACTACCTCCAACTGCAACCGTCTCTGATGATGTGCTTTAGTAGGAATTCGAAACTTCGGACCAATAAACTTATCGTTCCAGTGATCGCATCATCATCATCATCATCATCATCATCATCATCATCATCATCATCATCATCATCATCATCATCATCATCATCATCATCATCATCATCATCATCATCATCATCAGCAGCAGCAGCAGCAGCAGCAGCAGCAGCAGCAGCAGCGGTAGCGGCAGCGGCAGCAGCAGCAGCAGCGGCAGCGGCAGCATCATCATCATTATCATCATCTTCTTCTTCTTCCTCTTCTTCTTCCTCTTCTTCTTCTTCTTCAACTTCTTCCTCTTCCACTGCTTCTCCTTCTTCTTCTTCTTCTTCTTCTTCTTCTTCTTCTTCTTCTTCTTCTTCTACTTCTTCTTCTTCTTCTCTTAAAATGTGCCATTCTGGTTTAGGGGAAAACAACGAATAATTTAATTTATGAGTGTACGTTGAGATGCGACGCGGTAGAATACAAAGAGATAATGAAACTTAACGTCCGGGTCATCTGTTGCCATCGCAATTGGCTCTGAATCACTATCAAAGCGGAACGAGTTTAGGGTCCTTCCGAAATGAGGCAGGCAGAGTAACGGGAAGGCAGTTAACTCTGCCTGCTCCTAAACCACTTGCCTATCAGGGCGGATATGGAAATATGGACCAGGGACCCAAATCCAAATTACAAGCGATACCGATTCCTTGTCGTGACTCTAACATTTACCCCAAATTAATGCAATGTGCGGTGGTGCAGAGGGGTTAGCATTTGTTGATAGCGTAATCGTACTGAGAAGAGAGCTTGGCAATGAACATTGCATGCTGGTTTGAGTTGAATTTGAAATGAGTATATTCAGCTGCATTTGCTTTAAATTTTTTCCCTTAAATACTCCCACATGTCTTTTAATTACGAATGTCAATGTTATCCTCCTTATTTCAAATTCCCGTAATACATAAGCGAGGATAAATGTCACGCCTGCCAGTCTTTTTTCGGGAAACGGTTTAAATTAGCAGCTGAATATTTGCATTCTAAGACACAGGTGCCTCCCTTCCTTATGCGTCTGTTCAAATTAAAATCCCGGTACTTGAGCTAACTTATAAGTCTAAGGTCTTGCGTCTATGAGAGATAATAATGACTGCTCCGCATTTTTGATCAGAGCTCCTCGCCTTCTAAATATAATTGCTTTTAAATTCGAAATGTGTGAATACATGCGGATATTATAATAACTGAACTATCCTACTTCCTCATACAAAAACTAATTTCCAGTGGACAACCTGTGCCCTTATTATATCTGATAAAACGATGGAATGCGATTTTCAGACGAAAAGCTCCTGAGAACAGCCGAGCGTTGATCTGTCCTCTCTGGAAAAACCACGCTCCCGAACGAACCTAATACCTTCCCCCCCACCTTTATTTTGCTCAAAACCTGAAGCGTAAACTCTGTGATTGCCACTCCGAACGCCATTCCCGACTGCGTGGGTTCATAAAAAGGCATAGTGTTGTTTTTCGACGTATAGGCAAACTGTCACTAGAGCGAATTCGCTGACAGACACGGCAAGACCCAGGAGGTGGTTGTCTCAAAAAACATGTTCTTTCCACGTCCTCGTATTTGCGCAGAGTAGTATTTAAACACAGACAAATTTCGAAGTGACAGTTTTACAGACTGTCCGCTGTACACGGAGAACACGTGTATTAACTGACCCCAAAAACAGAGCAAAACACTTCGAAGTAAGTTGCAATTGCTGCCTTATTACGAATTTAAACAAACTAAATGACAATAAAAGACATTCCCGATTCCGTTCAGACAATTTAGAAATACTGCCGTCGTCTGAATTCAATTCATCATAAAATAAGCAAATGTCTGGAGATACGTAAACTTAATGCTTTGCTTGTGTGTTTAGTTTCGGGAATATTCTTATGGAATTAATCTTAAATACTAGACTGCTAGTGCTTTTTAGAAACCGTGTTTAGTAAAACGCTAGACAGACGTTTTTAAATTTGATCTTTTAATTTTCAATCAGCAGATACATAGAAATCTGATTTTTGCAAAGAATGGGTGACGTAGGTTGCATCTGCGTAAGCCTAAAATCATGTATAAACGCGAGAAATGGAACCGTCTCCTATTTCCTAAATAATTTGAAAGATAGAAAAACAATTATTTACCCCCAACGATCGGACGATAAATCCATGCATGCTTTAATTGATATTTCTAAAATACTCACTTCAATAAGTGAGAACCCAGCACGTTTTCTGTCTGCAAATTTGCAATGGATCTTTCAGGTTTTATTTTAAAGTTTGTTTGAATTGGAATGAAACCTAGGCCTTTACCAATTTTTCTCGCATTTTGTTAGATAACACGGTAACTTTAAACCGAGCTTCTGGCGTATAAGAGAATTGTTGATAATAGAAGGCCTTGGACTTCCACAAAGTGGAAACCGTAAGTAGCAGGAAAGGCTAATGTATTTTTAGCCACTCAAACCTGTTAAATATTCCTTGAAGATAAACATGCCTGGCGCCGAATAACCCGCCCGGATAACCAATTGGCCCGTCACCCAGAGGTGCGTAAGTTGATCATCAAAAGGCCATCCTATGAAATATAATAATGAAAAGTTAAAATCTTTGGTTGATAACGCTTGGAAATGTAACTTACCTGTCACCATCTTTACAACTTCCGACTTTAAAAGTTTGCCACCGCCAGAGTATGAACAATCGGAAGAATGGAAGTGGTCATAATTGTCCAGATCCCAATAGACGCTCTAATGGTTGACCATTGATTTACTTATCCAGTGGCAAAGAGTTGTGTTGAGCAACTCGTAACCCGGGCATCTCATCAGCTTAATACGTGGTTAAGTTACAAGCAGGGCTGTTTGGTGAGCCTATTTTGCCTTACTGACATATTAAAGTGCAGAGACTTCCTCATCTTTAGAATACCGTCAGGATGAAGAAGATACCTGCAGGCGTTTTAAGGTGATCGGTCATGCCAGTATCCTAAAAAAATTCTTGGAACACGCTGACATGTACATCCGCATATAATATCGCGTGCATAGCCGTCCCGAGAGGCCAGCATCAGGTTTTGTTATAAATGTTACAAGGGACCACGAGGAGATTGTGCCGGACCAAAATTACGGACTAGATAGGGGTACGGTACGCGCTAGTGGACTGTACATTCATAATAGATGCCACACACGGAAAGTGTAGCGACACACATAGGCGCAGGCTCAGGTCGCGCCAGCCACCTGCGCCCTATCTCGCCCCCCCCCGCGGCCTTCTTTACACTGCCTTGATGCCAGGCAGTGGTGGATGAGGGAGGAGAGAGGGCGGCAGTTGCGACGCAATTCTTCGATATCTATAAGCTAATTCACGTACAACTCACCGACCATGCACCCAGTCTACTGTGAGGCAAACGGTGGACATCGTCGGTAAGGACGGTCGAAGTGTTACGGATGTTACACAAAAGATGAAAGCTAATCCAACTTGGACAAAATTCTGCGATATATTTAAAGCTTCCTTGTTCTAGGATTGAGCCGTATTTCAAGTTCAACTCACGGACTGACAGGCATTCTTAGGGGATCTGCTTACTAATGCTTTGGTCTATTAACTACCTGGTTATGGCCTTCGTATTTTTGTGAAAGCGATCACCTGATCGGCAGTCGATGGAAACAGCTTAGCCTTAACGGGATACGGAAATCCATGTAACTGTACATTTGATCGAGAGCACGTGTAAACAGAGTTTCGGTTTTGAGTTCGCAACTGTTCTAAGATGGAGAGTTCGGTAATTCTTGTCACAGCGGGCGACGTTAAACTATGTAGCTTTATTACATAAACTTTTAGGATCTTTTGATTAACGTTGAGGCCGCCACTTTCAAAAAAATATAACGAAGCAAATTTAACTCATTTTTTCGTCCTGAAATCACTGTAAATCGGGTATGCCATTACCATGACACTTCGAATATTTTCAAATGCATCGGGCTGTGTGTTCGCCTTTGATTTAAGTGATATTGGATTTTGCTTCAATAGAAATCTTGGGCCTTCTGAAATGAGATCGAACTATGGTTACAAGATGATTGCATACAGGCTAGAAACGGCTAGAAACAATGTTACTTGACAACACCGAAGACTCTCTCCGATGGATTATGTTGTACTGCTAATTTACAGATGTTTTGGAAGATTTTGAATAAGTTACATTAACCCAATTGTGAAAAACTCGGCGCCTCGGTGGGATTCAAACTCACAACAGCAAGGAGAATGCTTGAGTGCAGCCAACGTTCTGGCCAACTGAGGCACGATGCCCCACAGGTAGACCTGAGATTTTCACAGTTGGGTCAATATGAATCATTAAATATCTGCCAAAACATCTATGAATTACGTGAGCCTGGTGGTCATCGGCTGGATTCTGTTTCGATTACATAGGAAATCCTGCTTAGGCATTCAGCTCACTGCATCGGATTTGGTGAAGTCCAGACATTGCAGTAGACTCGGCGGTTAACATGACCTAAATTTGATTATACTCACGTTTTCGGTGGGGAATTGTAGCTCAGTTGACTAGAGCGTTGACTGTACTAAAGCCTTCGACCTGATGTCGCGGGTTCGAATCCCACCTAGGCGCCGCGCCTTTCACAGTTAGGTCAGTATGAACCCTTGATTTAGTTGAATCGGTACAGGGTTTATATATTCAATAGAGGACTGGCGGTTAATCAATTACGCCAGAACCTGACCACAAGAACAGTGAAAGAAACATTGGTGTGTTTATAAATCAAGGGCTTTTTATTTGAAAAGTCTATCTGACAAACACGCGTTTTCAGTAATATACCGTCAGGCGAATAAAGGTACATAGAAATTGAAAATATAAGAAGTTCTCAGGGTTTACGGGGGACTGATGGGGGGGCTTTTAACCATCACCTAGCCCACACCACCGCATGACGGGACCAGCAATGGAGGATGACGTAGTCGGTGAATGATGTTCCTAATTTGGGTGCGCGGAGTAAGTATCAGTGTCATCAGGGGGTTAGAACGTCGTGTAATAATCACTTTTAGTCGATGTTGGCCAAGGAATAAACCATATTTAGCAAAATAAAGGGAAGGAAGGAATGAGAGCAGTGAGCTTATTACATTTGCAGCAAAACGGTGCACGGTCAACAATGAAGGGTGGGAGACGTCTGGAAAACTTTTTTATAAGTTGAACACAGTTTCTTTACCAAATCGAGATTTCGACTTTAAAATCCATTACCATATTTATCCAACTCTATTATGAGTCTAAAAAATCTCTAGTTTATGGGTACCCCATTGGCCTGGAAAGGTAGGTCTGGGCCGCCACTGAGACTGACTTTAGCATAAGTGTTTCCTTGGGTTCTGTGAACCTGTTTTACGACTGGGCTGAGAAATTTCATTTAAAAACTACCAAATCAAGTTCACTTTCCACAAAACTAAATGCATATCACAGGTGTTTCCGATGACTTCAGTAAGGATGACAAACTTATTAGCACAAACGCAAAACCCATTCTTCGAGTTGAATTGTATCTGTGCAAAGTTATATTGGCGTGCGTCTTTAAAATGACATTTTGTATTCAGATCCTCGTGAAAAACCAAGGACGTTTTCCCAGCGGTACCACAAAACACGTGTCCGTATTGCTTAAAACTAGAAATGGCTGCGCTTATTACAGAGTGTGCAGCTGGTAGGGATTAATTATGGAAAATAAAAACTCTAAATGCACCAACATTCTGCAAAAGTCAGTTGTTGCTTTAGAACGTCCTACATATTCACCGAAGGTACGAAAAAATGCATATCTTCTATTCTTATAGAACACATGGATCCGCGCAAGCTGGGGAAGATCAAAGGCCTTTTACTGGTGTTGTTACTTCTTCCGCTATCTCACGGCAGCACAACAAATAAAGACAAAAATCAAACGTCTGAATCTGACATAACAGGTTTGAAAAGAAGTTCTCGAGCGGTTGTTCCCATCGAAGCTATCCCATGGCCTGGTGGCGTCGTGCCCTACCTAATCGACAAGCAGTATTTCTGTAAGTCATTACAGACGCCATCTCAGTTTTTATTAAATAGGTCTGTCCTCATGATGCACATACGCTACATGAGGCAAAATGTTAGCGTAAATGAATTAATTAATTAAGCGCACGACCAAACCATCTACAGATGTGGCAATATTTACACACTTGTTCTGAGGAAAATGTGTCCCGATGGGTATAATTAAGCCTGACCTTCGTATGTATAGAGATGTGGAATATGGGCAATTTTTTCAATATATTGATATGAGTATGGAGCAAACTCAAAATCCACTTCCTGGTGTGTGTGTGCTTATCTCTCATAACTGACTAGCTTAGCTTATGAATTGCAATACTGATAAGTCCTCGATGTACAGGGTATTCCCAGAATTAGTACAGCGACCTGGAGATAATTTCAAGAAAAGTTGCTGGCTTAATTAGAGAAGAAGAAAACAGAAGAATTTAAATTTTCAAGTTTTTTTCGAAATCACATTCTCCTGGCGTTGAACAATTGAATGAAATTGGCACCGATTCATTAAACGGGCCCTTATGATTACTATATTTTTGAAAGTATGATTACATTTTTTAAATATTCGTGCCATGACTACCTTAACTGCCACGTGAAATCGTAGTCCCAATTCTTTAGTCAAATTTTTTTTAAGTCTGCATGTTTCCTAACTCTCGCCGTCGTTGTGCATACTGCAAAAGATGGTCGCGGAGGAGTGGACATTTGACTTTGGGCAATTTAATGGAGTTGGCATACAAACCGACACAATCGGGGAAATTGAAACTGTGTATGTTTCAAGCAAACATCTTTGAATGCCTATGCAGCATGATTCCTTCAAGACTACAATGCACAGCGTATCTCATAAAACGTTGACCGAACTTTTAAATGTATTTTTGATTATAAACATACTTAGGCGGACTTGTTAATGAGCAGAATAATCCCCAGGTATTTCAGTCACACTAGGGTGCGCACTTTTAAGTGCGCTTCCCTCTAGCTCTCCGCAAACATACACTCGGTAGTATAATTGGTTTTCTTCTTCACGAATGGAAGAGAATATGCGCATCCCAGGTTCTTGTTTAAAAGAAGGCGAAGGCACGATCACTGGGACAGTAGGTTTATTTGCCTGAGCTTTCGAACTCGAACTAGAGTTCATCATCAGAGACTACTCGAGTGCAGCAAATTGTGAACATTTATAATGTTCGTCTTTGCGGGGGGGGAGGGGAAGTACGTCCGTGGCTAGGTAGGGTTTGTGCCGCCTGGTCCACGATGTTCCCCCGGCGTGGTGACGCCGTTTGTACTTTGCGACGGTGTGAGCTGCGCCACCTGGCTGCGTGGGCGGAGCGCGTGATAGAACGCAGGCAACTCGATGTGTCTGTTGATGGAGTTGGTGTCCGACACCCACGCCTCCAACAGCTCTCGCCCTGCCTTGTTGCCGGCTCGCGCCAATATCCGCGTGTTGGCAAAGTCGAACACATGCCCTTCCTCCAGCGTGTGAGTGGCTACTTGAGACAGTAGGTCGCCTCTACGAACGGCCCGTTTGTGCTCAAGTATTCGTGAGCTCAGACGTCGTCCTGTCTGGCCTGTCCGAGGCTACAGAACGCATTGCGTCAGAGCTAGGCGTGGGCATCGCTCATCATCCGGCGGCCACCATGCGTAGCAAGATCATGAAAATGAAGGATCGGCTGGACGCAGGTGAACAGTCGTGCGTAGTCTATCGGATCCCGTGCCAAAACTGTCCTTGCCACTACACAGGCCAGACACGACGACGTCTGAGCTCACGAATACTTGAGCTCAAACGGGCCGTTCGTAGAGGCGACCCACTGTCTTAAGTAGCCACTCACACGCTGGAGGAAGGGCATGAGTTCGACTCCGCCAACACGCGGATATTGGCGCGAGCCGGCAACAAGACAGGGCGAGAGCTGTTGGAGGCGTGGGTGTCGGACACCAACTCCATCAACAGACACATCGAGTTGCTTGCGTTCTATCACGCGCTCCGCCCACGCAGCCAGGTGGCGCAGCTCACACCGTCGCAAAGTACAAACGGCGTCACCACGCCGGGGGAACATCGTGGACCAGGCGGCACAAACCCTACCTAGCCACGGACGTACTTCCCCTCCCCCCCCCGCAAAGACGAACATTATAAATGTTCACAATTTGCTGCACTCGAGTAGTCTCTGATGATGAACTCTAGTTCGAGTTCGAAAGCTCAGGCAAATTAACCTACTGTCCCAGTGGTTTTCGTCCTTTTCGATGCCCCTATAGATTTAAGCATACGTTATGGTCAAATAAACAAACTGTCATGTATGTATTCATTTTTGGGTTGCTCACGCCTTATTCAGATTTCATAACCGATAGGGGAATAAATTTTGATTTTCAAATGATATTTTTTAATTCTCAAATTATTTCAACCCGACTTGCATTTTAACTGGCGTCTAGGCGTCCAGCACAATCAGCTGCAAATTTGCATGTAAGAAAAATCATATAGGGTACATATGGCTCACACACGTTAGTAATGGACATTGACTAGATTAAATTCTTTGTGAGAAGTATTTATGAACGGAAGGAAAAGATGCGACTTCGGTAGACACGTATTGCTATTACAATTTTTATAGTTAGAAAATTGTGAAAACAAATTTGCCCTCTCTTCAAGTGCAAAGATCGGTAGTAGGCGTAATTTATTCCCACGTAAGTTCGCGGGAGGATAGTTCTGTGTACGGTAGGAGTAAACTGCCCGATAATTCTAGATTTCAAAGTTTTAACCAGTGTTACTTTTTAGTACTCACTTATTTCTGACCAATAAAAAAGTTGCGACACGATTGTCCCGAAAAATATAAAGTGGGTCAACATTTTGCAATCATTCTAAAACGATCTGACTTTATAAAGGCACAGTATGACCGTTCAATATGTCCACAAATTCAGTGAAATATCTCGTCTGGGATCTTACTAAACTGCTAAAGATACCCGACAGTAGACAAACAAACAAATAAGATCTGTCTGTCGTGATTAGCAGTATTAGAACGTTCTGTCTTTCTCAAGCAATCTTTTTGCACACAGAGCAAGATAAGGGGATGCAAAAGATAAATTCTAGACTTCATTTTAATTTAAGATCCTTTAAATGCGCCATCTATTTTCAGCAAATAAGGAACTCGACGAGATGAAGGAAGCAATAAAAACATGGAATGAGGAAACATGTGTTGAGCTCCGACCGTTCAGAAGTGGTGACAAGAGCTGGGTCAGGATAACGGATGGACACGGGTGGGTAGCGCCATTTAAATTTATTTAAATGGATATGTCTGATTCCTTAAAGAATAACTTGGTGGGTGTTGACAAGCTGTGCTAGTCACGCAGTGTCCTGAGGAACGAATGTTGACTTCAGTTCATTTAAAAAACTATAATATTTAAAGGTTTTGCCAATACTGAATGCCGTAGAAAATAAACTCTAGTGCAAATGACTTATTTCGTGCTGCCAAACATGCGTGAATCTTCTATATCGGCAGTTATACCGTCAATTTTTACGATGACCGCCCTGTGGACCACAGCAGGTTAAACGCACGGACGAAGACTTGAGTGTGAATTAGGTCATAGTGGGAGTAGACTTGCCCGGCGTCTACCGCAGTCTCTCCTCATCCTCCTTCTACTCTACAACCACTTGGGCCTGAGGTCAAGACATGGTCGAAAAGATCAAGGTGTGATTGGGTGCAGGTGACTGGCACGGCATAACCCCCGACTTATGTATGCCACCGCACCCCTTGCTCCACAAAAACTTCTGACCAGAGTGGGCCCGCTTGGATCTCTCTAAGTGGGAGTGTCAAAGGGGCCACATTAAGAAGCAGCCATTACAGCCTGACTCAGTCCCCAGTCCGCCAATCCGCACAAACACACACTTGGCCTTCTTCGAGGCTCAGATTATTCCCTTAGTAGGCAGTCTTCGAAGAAAGGCTTTTAGGTCACCGTGATATATTCAAGCGCGTTAGAATGTCTTTACTGAGGAGAATGAGCTGCTTCGTCAATCTCATTCTTTATTTCCACTCTCAGGCCCCACACACTTTCCGAGCCGGTCAGTTATCTCGTGCGGCAAATAGGCGCAGAGGCTGACAGCTAGTAACCTCGTCTGCGCAAGTCACATACACGACCGACCTCTGCAAACACAAGTGCAAGGATTTCACGCAAAAGGGGGTGGGAAGCAGGCAGCTCACATGTGTGAGAGTTCCAGAGGTCACGTTAAAAAGGGGTCATTTCTGTATGACTCTCAGTCCACCAGTCGGCCACTCCACACAAACACACACTGGGCTGACTGCGGGGTCCGAATTAAATCGTCAGTTGCCAGTCTTAGAAACTACGGCTTTTGTCTCACCGTTATGGTCTTGAGCTCTTCAGTTTGTGTATAGTACGAAAAATGCGCTGAGTGTCGCTTTTACTCCGGAGACCAGCTGACTACCCGAGCGATAAACCAACTGATAGAATATATAGATTAGGGGTGAGGTCGGCGTGAACACTAATAATGCACCGAATAACATGTTTCTTTTGGAATTGTCAACTCATGATTTTAAAGCTATGCCCATCGTGAAAATTCGCCAATAGCCAAAGCATTTTGTAGACATTTAGAGACAAACCCAGCAAAAATGATCCTGCAGTAGCAGGGTTCAGGCATGTTCATTTTCAAAATTCTGGATGAAATGTCTATTCACGAGTTTCTTTGATTAAATAGACGATGATTTGGAAAGCAAAAAACAGTGGTCTTAAAACCTGCCTTATATTAAGGGGTTTATGTGCAAAACCAAGCAAAGCCCAAGTCCGCTATCCGCACAGGATTATATTAATTTTTGCCTAAAGTCTGCGCTAAACTACTTTTGTTTGCAACGACTAATTAATTAATTAATTCATTTCCATTCGGATGTATCTGAAATGTTGCCGCTTATATTAGTCATATTTACTATTTTCGCTCTATTTCAAAATAATTTTAAATTTCCCCACAATAATTACCTCATATGAATTCTCTACTTCCGATGCTTTGAAGGAATCCGGGGCTGCGGTCTTAATCCAACGCACACTCAAATAGATACTGTGAAATATCGCCACTTAAGAAAAAAATAACCGCACATGTTGGCTGAAGCCCTTGCCGGCATATAAAAACTGGAAGGCATGGACACGGACGCGGGAGTTATGTAGGATAAACAAAAAACAGCCTGCTCTCGCGCTCTGCGAAAAAAGTATTGTGGGTAACAGCTTAAGAGGTCCAATGTTTTCGCAAGATGTTTGTTAGCTGCCAATCCGTATATGAAAAGTTGCTGTTTTTTTCTAAAAAAGCACTGTATGGAAATATTTTTAAACTCTTTTCTGAAGAGTGCTGTCACGGTATGGGTCTAGGTGTAAATAGTACCAACATAGGAGTTATCCGTCCTACCCTAAGCTAAATTAATTTCGGGAAAATGACGATGATGGATAAGATTAGATTGGTTGCGCATAAGGCAGTGGTATACCGACTAAATTACATGTCTAGGACTCAACTGTAAACAAGGTTTAGTTCTGCTAAGTAAAATCTACCCTTATGTTTGATAGAGAGGCGGGTGTTTCTAACAACGTGCAATGGGAAGATAAGAACTATTGGCCATTCCTTGCAAATCTAGGTCCAGAAAACATAGGTCCAGAAAAAATTGGCAAAATTTCATGTTTAAGATAGTCCTCGCAATGCACCACGCATTAAGAATCCTTTTGCACCGTTGAATTTTAAACTGTTCTTCATTCATCTTTATTCTTCACTAGCTTCGTCTGATTAACGAAGCAGAACAATTGTAACAAGCAGAGTCCGGAACAGTTGCTCTTCAAATTACATTGAAAGCCAGAAAATATAATTGATATTTTAAGAGTTCAATGAATTGGTTTCGGTTAGTCCAGTAAAGTAAATGGGTAGTCTGGTAACATAAAAACTAAACCAAGCATAGAAATCGAATTTACAGTATTTAAACATCTGAGAAAGGCATGAAAACGCAGAGATTACCGGGCCCAGAATTAGATGTCAAGAATTCCCGACATTTACGCAATCTGGGTGGCAAAAGTCATCAGACACATTCCAAATACAACGATACGCAAATGTATGGTGTTCCAGTAGGCCCAGAAGTGTATATTAATGAGTGTTTCCTGAAGTGTCCACATACAAAACATATTGTCTACTTTGCGTTGCACTACTGTGAAAGATGGAATATAGCCCGAATCCCACCGATGCACATTGATATTTCAGTGAAAGTTCACTCAGAAAATTGCGTTAAGTTACACCAATAAACTGCGCTTGCTGAGAACAAGGGAATTTGCCATTAATTTTCTGCGAATGTGAAATAACAGTAGTTATATAAAGAAAGGAGAAATTTAAAGATTTATGTTTAAACCGCTTTTAGACACATTCTTCTCCTTTAAGTACAACATTCCAAGATTCTTGCTATTTAGGTGGGAAAAAAAATTTATAACGCGTTAGATTTAGAAGGACGTGGCTTTATAATTATTGCATTATGATTTGGAGGACGATATCATATTTCTTACACATCTTCGTGAAATAACAAGCCACGTATGTAGACTGTGGAGATGAATTGACAATAACTTACACACAATTTCAGGCATAATTTACTACCACATTTCTCGCGTTATTTTTCAGCTGCAGCACTGATTATATCGGATTTGGTGGAATAAGTGGTGAACAACGCCTAATGTTATCGAGTCACGGATGCAGATTTGTAAGTGAAATTTCAGAGTTTTCCACATATATCGTCTAAATTTAAGAGGATCCCAGATACAGAAAATGAAGCAAATATTAGGAGTCCGACAAATTTTTACCGCGACACCTATAAATGTAGTAAATTGTCAATACTTCAGTCAGAGGACTTTACTGCATAACCCCTTTTCTCTTGTGTTGGCGCACCGTGTAGGTCGTCACACATTCACCGGCGCTAACTAAGGAGTTAAAGCTTCCCAAAGTCATTGTTACTACTCGTCGCAGCTGTAGATTAACCCATAAATATGCAAAAATCATACCAAGATGTACAAAATTGGATGACTTGATGATAGTCGGGTTCCGAGGGAGCTATACTATCCCCTTTGAAACCATCGCAAATTGTTTTCTGGAAAATCTGAACAAGAGCTTTACCGTCTTTGTGACAGCACTCTACGCAGCTCAAGGGCAAAAATGTGGCAAGAGCAATCGAATTTTTGGAACAGGTTTCACCTAAAATGCAAATAAGGATACTGCGGTTGAAGTGTCATATAAGGATTCTGGAGTGTCAAGCAAATTTGATAATTATTGGACTACTTAACTGTGCTATAGCGGGGCATTTTCAACCTCAGTTGACTGCTGACTTCGGTAAGCTGATAAATGAATGTCTGCCTGCGAGACGCTCCTGTGAATATGTTGCTAAAAGTTTTTTTCAGGCAAGGTACGGAAAACTGCTCAGCATAGACGCGCTGAGGGCCCAATTTAAGCGTAATCCAAAAGATTTCAGGAAAACGCTTGTGTAGGATCGGCGGAATAGTCGATCGGATGAAAAGACGACAGGAACCAGCATCAGAGGCAAATGTATGCAGGAGGACTAGACGAAGATATAGTGGCAAATTACTGAAGTGCTTTTGGCCCACGCTGGCAGCGTCTGACCCTAGCTGGCCTTGTTGGAGGCCTTCCCATTCAATCTAGCATTAACACGATCAATGTACTCCACTACCCGAAAGACTACTGGTTAACATATCCTACCGATTTGCTCAAGCACTGACCCGCCTAGACGGCTCCTGACTTGCCATGAACAGACGCCAAAACTGCTAACTAAACGGCCACATTTATTGAGACAGACAGCGGATGTTAGCAGTGTCGACACAGTGCCAGGCTACTTCCGCTACGACCGTACAGGTGTTTAGCTCGTTCTTCTGGTCAAAAACCTGCTTATACATGCCAGCACAAATTAATAGCTACTAATGCGGCTAAATCGCGTAAATGACTCCCAGTAACGGGCCAAACGTATTTCTTCTACGACTCAAGTGAATTTTTGTATAATAAACGTGGTTAACTTAGGGGTGGATTATCAGCCACGTAGTGGCAGGTATCGATAAGGCCCTATGATTGGTCAGCTATTACATATACGCTTGTCAATCGTTTTGACATGAAGGGATTGAGCAGTGAGGAAGTGAAACCAGCATTGCGCAATTCGCCTCCGGTATAATCTAAATAACGCGAAACTCATCATCGTCACAATCTCCTTATATACCTCTACAACCAGTGCGTCAAAGTCTCACGGTTACGGGTTATGTAGCACTGCCTAGTCACCCCACGAAAATGGGTGTCATTTCTAATAGCGGAGCATTAAGCACCAGCCAATTTCAGCAGTCTCCTGGGAGTTCATTATCTGTCCTCAGGAAGACAATGTTTAAGTACACGCGGAGAATGGAGTGAAAAATATCGTCGTAGAAAGCGCATGTTTGCATTCATCAGTCGGGTGAGCATGAGTATGCAAACCTAGTTAGCATTGGATTACAGCCCTATGACCCTTCCATCAGAGTGAAGTCACACATTTTGTCAGCCTAGTGTGTTTGTTTTTATTTGATAACCTGAAAACCAGTTGAATAGTCTGAATAAATTCTTCTCGTACCGTTCCGTACTATTTCTATTGATGATATGGAGGTGGTCATGCAATGAGCAACTCTCGGTGAAATTCAAGGCTGCACTGCCTAATAAAACAAAACTTCGGCAACATGACACGACAGATAAACGGACATATGATAGTTTGACCGTTGCAATCCGACAAGGTCCACCGTGTGCCCCACAGCAAGGTAAAGTAGGCCCGGTGACTTTCACGTGAATTAGTTTATGGTGAATGTAGACTTACGAAATATCCATCGTACTCTCTTCTCCTCCTTCACCTGGATACGGTGTTGAGGCCGAGATATTACGACCGGAGACAGGGAAGGGCGCGGGTGGATTGCCGGACTCGCACCTAGGCGTACCACTCTACACCCCCTGGTTCACAACCAGGATTTTGACCAGCAAATCAACGGCAGAAATGACGTGGATGACTGAGCGCTCATACACACGATCTGTGTACCCAGTGGGTTTGCAAGCGCATTTAACAGTAGGGAACCACGTACCGGAGAACTGCCAGCGCACAACAGGCTGTAAGGGCCTTGATTTGTTGATATTGACATAGCAGCTGCTCAGAAACATTGGAAACATACTTATACAAATGTATGCATTTCTATGGCGATAGAAATTGGTAGAATAAGTGATACTCATTGCGAAATGCGACCTACCTACTTGCCTTGGAAGTCATTGTGAAACACACGTCCATATTGGCAGATCTCAATCTAAACGCGACCACAAAGAATACTAATTATAATTCCTTAAGACCAAAGCCGTTTCCGAGGCCCACGCGAACGAACGGACCTTTTAAAACAAAACCGCCGGATTCTCGTGCCACCCAAAAAGGAGGCAGCAGAAAATTATGCATAAAATTATTCAATTGTAATGTGAATCCTGAAGACATGAAACCTGAGACGTGATCTCAACCACCTCAACCTGCGCAATGAGTTCCACGAATACTAGAAAGTTCCTACAGCACTTTCGTCTATCTGAGAGAGGAATTCGATACAGCGAACAGACGCATTTTTCAAAAAATATTGATAAAATTTACACGTTTAGCAAAACTCCCACGTAGGATGTGGCACCTTAACTACAAGTAGACCCGTCTATTGAGGAATGGGTTGATATTAGGTGCGGTTACCATAACAAGCGAAGGGAAGCTGAGTTACGTACACAGCAAAACATTCAAATAACTTATGCTTTTCGCGGTGTAACTGGACGGCTTCAGGCACAAACGAGCAGCCATCAACGTTACCCTTGGAACTATTATTTTAAGAATGTCCATTCAGCGGAAGCTCGAAATGGTATGATGCGCAGCCGGTCCGTCAATGGCAGTATAGATGACTGCCGAAACAGAAGTACTGCGTTGCGTGCGTATCCTCGTTTCAGGATATGGAGTTTACCATTGTGTGCTCGCATGGAAACGCAATTTACCAATATCATCACGCTTTTCTATAGTACGAGCATCATATCCAAAATTATAACAGCTGACGACATGACTATAGTGCGCTTCTGAAATATAAGCCTTGGTCTCGATAGGATATAAGTGGACAAAGCGTCCTCCTACGAACATATTTAAGTACAGTAGGTGGGCTAACTCATGAAATCTCAACAGAAATTCGGAAATGCGTTTTCGTTTCGGAAAGATTAATAAAGTAAGGTTGTAAAACCAATCATCGTACAGCATAATTTCTATAATACTTCAGTTACACCCGGACGTCGGTTTTCGAACAAACTTCTTGCCGGCTGCATCTAAAAACCATACTCCGTGAGGAATGACAACTTTAAAAGCATGCATTTGTTTCATTGATATTCGATGCCCTTAAAGATTTAATTATATTTTATGGAAAGCCTACATGAAAATATTCATTCTTTTGCTCACTCTGTAGAAAATCACATCTGCTTTCAATTTTACACTCGAAGGAAAGATATAATTTGGTTATATAAAACTTTTCCAATTCCTGAATAATTTTGAACCGACTTGCCGTTACACTTGCATTCAGGATTCCCAAACTACAAGCCGTATAATTTCCGCGTACGGAAAACCACATATTTCCCTGCGGTATTAAAAGAAAGCCATATGAGGTTCATAAAATTAAGCAGTAGATTTGAGCCACATTGTTAACTTTATAAGCCACTTTGGTAAATGCAGAGACATGACGTTTCATGAAGGGCCATTTCATGGTATTAAAAAATCTCACAATAAGAAACTTTTTTAAAACCGAATTAAACTCTTCCTTTTATTGTAAAATTGAAGGAAGACGTACGTTCCTACTGATTGAGCGGTAGAATGAATAGTTTTATGCATCCTTTCCATGAAACATAATAGCATCTTTAAGGGCATCGAAAATCGAAGAGAAAAATGCATGCTTCATAAGTTGTCATTTCTCACGGAGAATTGTTTTCAGATGCAGCCGGACAGAAGTTTGTTCGAAAGCTGGCGTCCGGGGGTAACTGAATTATTATAGAATTATGCTGTATGATGGTTGGTTTTACAACCCTACTTAAGTAATCTTTTCGAAACGAAAACGCATTTCAGGATTTCTGTTGAGATTTCATGAGTTAGCCCACCTACTGTATATAAAAACCGTTAGTTTTCACCCTGATTTAGCTCTGGTGCTTAATGAATTGGGCCGATGAAATTTAGCGCCTCCTGTGTCCTATACGTTTTCGCGTGCAATCTCACATATGTTGCCTATATCTCGCTACCTCGACAAAATAAGTAGCACACTATTTCTATTTAATGCTTTTGACCTGTTCATCGTGGCATGGGTACGCTACCCGAAATATAAGACTTATTTTTGCATTCTCACCGTTTCGTTCCACACGAGGCTTCATAGTTTTTTAAGAAATTTCAGACGCTCAGAATACAAATATCTTTTACAGGACGTTTTGCATCATGCGCTAGCTACGTTGTCTTCGGTATTTTCAATGCTCTTATCCGTGCAACCACTATTCCGACTACACCATCACTTCTGGTGACTTATTAGTTAATTTTAAGGGGGGGGGGAATGACGAAAAGGCTTCTAACCAATTAACACTATTGTGTATTCAGGTCTGCTGGTGGTTTTCTTGCTTAACCGCAAATTAGGGGGCAGACGGCCTTTTATCTCTGGGTGTCACTGTGTGCAGACAAACGCATGGCACAGTTTCACCTTTTTTCATGACTACAACAACCTAATCTAACCTGAACAGTTCCCATATTTTGTCGGAAGTATCTTAAAGAATGCAAGCGGCATTTGATCAGGTTTGTTGCTGTTACGCGGCAAGACATGCTTGACTTATTCCCGCTTCCAGGGCATAGTCTGGGATCAGTTATTAGTTTCACTGGACTACCCCACCCACATGCCAATAAACCAGTGAAATTCAACGAGTATCAACCATAACTTCATGAAACACAGGCAAATACCCTAATTCCAATGTTGGTATAACTCCAGGGACAGTTTTCAACGTCTTCGTACCCACACAATTTCCATCTCAGTATCCCCCTGCCCAGACTAAATACTTCCAGGGCTCCAATTACAAGCTGGACCTGGTAAAACCTAATTTTGGAGAAATAAGTTAAAATGACAACCGATCCTGTAGTTGGGGTTGCTGGTTACTTGCTCATCGCTTACCTGGGCATTACGGGATCACATTTTCGAACTACTTACAAGGTAGGCTTTATGCCACAGTGAAAGGCGAGCGTAAGTGGTCCAAGCTAGCGAGCTTATTAGTCCAAAATATGTAGCAAAGCACAAAATATGATCCGTACATTGGGTAGATTGCTTGCTTCTAGCATAATTTAAGGAAAGTGTGAAAATAAATTGATACGGATTGCGAAGGCCGGGGAAATGGCCGAAATACTTAAGCCTTTCGATAACCCTGCGGGTGCTGAATATATAATATTTTTGTATAAGACTCTTCTTGAAGAAATATTCAGTCCCTTTTTAGATGCAAAATGTTTGCAAGTTCTCTTGTTATTATGTAATTCGGTGCTAAAATACTGTCATTCGATTCTGTCTATGTCGACAGTAGTCCGTCGTTCATCAGCGTAGTAGCAAATGACCCGTCTATCAAACATAAGGACTCACACAGCAATTTCCACCACCACTATTGCAGCACAAATTCCTAGTCAGGGAAAACCAAACGTTACTTCAGCTGATTAACGGTAAAAAATGTAAGCGGAAATGTATTTGTCGTTTTATATTTTTTGCAAAAGTACAGGTGATTATAAAAACAGTGGCATATTTCGGGTGGATTTAAGGTGGAAAACGGAAGGGACTTGGACGTTAAGCGCCTCTGGCCTATGCATTGGATAGTTCAACGGACCAAATTCTTAACTCATTTTTGCAGGTTTACGCCTTTTATTATTTTCTTTGTGACATTGTAGGCCATTATGCGTTCGCCTGTCCGTGGTCTATAGCATCATATTCAGAGCCCGCCTATTCTGGGAAGCCATGCAGATGAGCGTTAGTCTCTTATTTAGTGCAATTACGTCTGTTTGAACCGTTAAATATAAGAGTAACCACAGAATAAAGGCCACTTTTAGCAGAAACACCGTCTTTTGGAACATTGCGGGTGTAAGTAAAAGCATCTTAGAGGGACGACGACTCTTAAGGTTCCACAGTCATGATTTGAAATTAAAGGTATTTTCTTTTGCAAACAAAACAACGAAAAGATCAGTTCGCGTGACACGGAAGTTCATTTCAACAATGGGCTTGGTTTTTAAAAAAGGACGAACTATCCGGGTGTTTATGAGTTCAATTTCTACATTCTGTCGCATGTCAATGCAAATCGCTGTGCTTATGTTTTTCTGACTAGTATGGACTTTATGTGCACGAACTGGGACATGTCATTGGCTTGGAACATGAACACGTTAGATCCGACAGAGACGAAGTTGTGGATGTTGATATGAACGATGTAGCAGATGAATACCAGCGCGCCTACGAAAAGAGGAAAGCGGCTGAGCTGAATACCTTCGGAACACCCTACGATCTACAATCCATTATGCATTATGGACCTGATGTACGTAAAATGTGCTTAAAAATTGATATTTGCAGTTTTGGTAGATGCCTTTCTCACTACGTATTTATCACTCTGTACAATGGTTTTAATTAAGCAAACGTACTTGTGGGAAAAAATAACATGTGCGCTCCAGCACCATCGACAGAAACGTCAGTGCCGTTTATCCACACCAATTAGATAAGTTGCTCAGTTGTTTGTTTCCGCTATAGCTCATGATTGTGCAAAATTTAAATCTTCTCCAAGGACCATTTTCGAAGCACGCGCGTGCTTTTGGTAAATTCTTTTCGGGCAAGTACATTTATGCGGGAACGAGGTAAATACGTAAGCTTATGAGCGAGAGTGGACAGATTCGTGGTTCGGAAAATACCAAAAAATCCTTCAAAAAATTGGCCATTTCATACCTCCTTACAATGCTGAAATTTAGAAAAGTGGTCAATGAAAAGACCGTAATGGGTGCTCTGCCGTAATCCGTGACGACGTCCGTCGTGTACCCAAGAGCATGGTGGGCCCAACGATGATGACATGCGCGTGAGCGATGACGTCCACCATGCGCCGCCTCACGGAGTGAGCGCAGCACCGGAGACATGTGCGGGCGAATTGGTTTATAGTGACAGCAGACTCGCGCAATATCTGCCGCACTTCCACCCATGGCCGAGGGCAAGGCAACCAGGACGGTCGAAGGCGGCCTCGTGCTGACAATGCAGAACGGCCCGTCTACGCGTGCCATACACGACATGGTCAATGTAAATTGTGCACCCACGTTCACTCACCTCATGGGTTTATTAAGTCACATAATTATCCCCGAGTGCGGAAGTCACCGCAACATCGACACACCAAGCATGCCTAACACACCCAACAACTCTTCTGTCTTCAGGGTTACCAACAGCGCGTCCGCCAACGCTGCCGCCTGACAGGGCAAGCCAATCCTCCTCTGAGGACTGAGAGTCGCACTGAAATGGCTCCCTCTACGAATAACATCAGTTGCAATCCCACTCTGCTGGGATCCTAGCCGTCTTCCTTTCTTTTTGTGTGAAATGTTGATCGTCTAGTGTAGATGAGGAGGTATGGTTGTATGCCTAGTTTTGGGTTTGAGCCGTGACGACCACCAGCGCCCATACTAGTTTCCGGTCCGCTTGATTCACCCATGACACTGGGCCCAAATGAGGGAGGAGAGAGTGTGGTATGTGCATCGCAAGTCCACTAGCACTATAAGAGGAAATGCACACGAGTCACCGCCCCTTGGCCAACTATACTGAGGAGTACATGGAATCATCGACTCTGACAGCTAAACCACGAGTGAGTCACCCCAATACGCACTTAATGCTGAGCACGAAGATCCACTTATGCAGCCAGCTGACATCCCGTCAAGCCACAACTGTTATCCCATCGTAACAGTTTCTTAGTGCATCTGATTTGTTATGCTGAGGAATGTGCAGGTGTGTTGTGCAGCTGATTTTCCAATGTCTGCTCTACTATATCGCTCCTCCCTCTTGTATCAGCTAACTGTTCAAGTTTGTTAGTCATCTGGTGCTGAGATCAGGAGGCACAGTGACTGAAAAATCTCTTAAGAGTCCGTTTATGAGTGTCACATTCTACCGGGTCAGACACCCAGGTTGCATCAAATAACATGCTTCCCAATAACGTGAATACAGCATGTTCTCTGTGTGCGTCGGTTTTTATGAGGTTGGTTCGTGTTTCGTGTATGCTCTGGCTGGATTGCGTCTGGCTTGTTTTACCGCAAGTTTCCATGAAGGTGCGTGTGGCGAGTAGACCCATGAGACGGTGGAATTTTCTTTGGGCAATGGCTGCATGTGGGACGGGTGCGACGAGTGCATATTGGGATTTGTGAAACCGGTTAACCGGCCTCGATGCGATGGATCCGTAAGTGTACAATCAGGCCGATGTATGATGCAGATTGCGACGGTAGTAAGGACAGGTTGGAACTGTGGCTACTGGACTGGCAATGAAACGATGCTATTAGTGGTTTCAACGCTGATGGTATTGTAGGTTGATTTGCTGATGGTTGGGGAGTTTTCAAATGCTATCACTGCGGTGGACTCCACTGTCACGGATACGCACATGGCCAATTTGACACATGCAATGTACGAACGTCTTCGAAAAACGAGATGAGAAGTACATGACGGGCGTATGTTGGAGCAACTATTCCCTAAGACACACTGTGTACATGTTTGTTCGCGACGGTCGAGATGACATTAGGGGTCTACAGGTACTGTTTTTTCGACCCTCTGCGGTGGGTTCGCAAGTATTCGATTAGACTAATGCGTAATGATAAAGTGTGAGAATGTGTGAATTCAAATTGTTGGAGGCGGTGATGTTTTCTAGGTCGGTATGACTGTTCTTCTTGGTATTGTTAGTGGTTGTGGTCGCAGTGGTGGTGGTGGTGGTGGTGGCGGCGGTGGCGTGTAGTGAGAGTAGAAGCGGGTTTATCGTTTTGACGTTGCACTGGATCTGCAAATGTCCAGTGAGGCTGATCAACGCCCGTGGCGTCCATCGACAGCGTGGACATCATGGCAACGTTTGAGTGCTGGTATCATTGCTCGGTAACACTTGATTTTTTGAGGATTTTCTATTTGCTTTGGCAGCAGCCAGTGACAGTGTTTCTTCAGTCTTTTAGACAGCGTGCCATGCATATCGATCTTAAATTAGGTCCCCGCAGGTCTCGTGGATGAATTGCAGATACTTGCATAAGTTCTTAAAAGTGTCTTTGCAATGACACTTTTATCCTCCACGGCGTTGCCTTAGAAAAGCCGCTTGGGCAGTCACTAGTCGTCCATCCTCCCGGTGTGGCCGCTCCAGCCAATTGTTTCCGCCCCAAACGCGCTCTGCATTTCGAGAACGCCGACTCTTTCTAGGGCCTGTGTGCCTCGGATCCTTTTCTGTCAGTTAACACTTAGTGTTCTTCGTAAGCTGCAGAAATGAAAACGTTTGAGTCTGCTTACTGGGTCTTCATAAACAGTCGACGTTTCCGACCCGTACAAGTGCGCTTTCAGGACAACAGGCCTACACATCGTTAGATTTCTGTTGAGTAGGATATCGTGACGGTGTCAGACGGAGGGCTTTGACCATCGAAAACTTGGCTGGTTTAAGAAATTCGACCTACGATTTCATTTTCAATCTTAGTATTTCCTGAAATAGCACTCCAAAGTTACCCGACTCAAATTGACTCAAGTATCATACCGACTCAAGTATCGATTTCGACTCAAGTATTGAACTCAATTATCATTTGGTTCTGGTTGACGCAGGATCAGTGTCCTCTTCGTGGCGGTGGTGGTTGGATGAAAATTGGAACAGTGGATGGTGAATAGTCCTACACTACACTGCATGTCCTATTGCGTTGTGATGTTTAGTGCTTAGTTGTTCGCGAACAGTATGTTGAGGACGCTGCCAACGATCCCACCCCCGCTCCCCACCCAAAGACATCTACGCCGACGGAATCTAAACCGTTTTCCGTCTGTCTCGTAATTGATATCCATCCGAAGCCGCTCGTAGATATAGGCGTCCATCAGCGTGGCGGAGAACAGGAGACTGAAGAGGGTAAGAGCAAGAACGTATCCCCGCCTCGCCCATTAATAATCGTGCATAGTTTAAAAATTGTCCCGTTGTCCGCGACGCAAGCCATCATTCCGTCATGAAGTTGTCTTAACATTTGAATTAGCCACCCAGATCATACCGATTTCGATACACTTTTCAAGAATCCATCACAATTTATTCTCTCCAAAGCCTTCCCCAAAGCGACGAAGCTGGTTTAGAGTTTGGTTCTAACTTCTTGGCATTTCTGCATTGTAGAGCCGCAAAGTCAGGTTTGCGGTTTCATGGCGTTTCCGAAATCTGATTTGCCTTTCTGAAAGAAGTACTTTCTATAGACACATGTCCAGGCAGTCGAGTAGAACACGGATGGGATTTTGATGCACTTTCCGGCAACTAATAGACAGTAACTGATATGGTAATGTATTCTAACCATGGCCTAACTCGAACAATTATTAAAACCTTAAACTGCGGCTATAGCATATGAACCCTGAACTTTGGATAAGAATTGTAAGATTTCAGTCGAAAAGTAAACCGGAAATCGTGTTGATGGTTTCTGTTAACTCATTCACGCCTTCAAAAATTTTAATTTTGCAGGCCTTCTCGGCTAACGTCGATAAGTCACCACTCACCGTGAAGAACCCAGCCATTCGACATGTTTTGAAGGATGTCTCTTCAAAGGACATATCGTTCTGGGACGCCAGAGCAATAAATAAATATTATAAATGTGAAAGTACGTGGTTTCTTGTTTTGTTTCTCTTAGTGAGGTTTTGTGACATTTAATTTTTATTGGTTTTCACAGCAAACGTTAAGAGTGAAACGTGTATTCAGGTACTGAAAACATATGCTTCATGGCAAATACTCGGCACAGAGTTAGGGTGTGAATTAAGAAGAGGGTAGGAGCCCTTTGTATGCATATTTTAAACGCACTGTTAATTAAGGTTCAGTTCTATAGTCTTAGTTCCAAAGTTGGTGCGGTTTCAAAAATGGATGTGATTGCGTCACGGAATATATGCATTTAATTCTTCATTGACAGATATGTAACTTAGTTGTTTATGTTCAAACAAACGTTTTCTAGGAGAAGGAGACACGATCGCCGGGACAAGAGCTTTATTAGCCTGACGTTTCGGATTCCTACTCGAATCCATCATCAGAGACAAAAGAGCAGAAACGGGTGATTGTTGCACAAGGGGCTGCGGTATTTATAGGATGCAGCAGCCATGCTACCGCATACCTATGAACGTTCACGGCTTCCCCCTTCATCCGGGACTGTCGCACTTGGTGTGATCATTGCTTGATGGCCGACATTCGAGTCGATAATTGCTGCAATTTCATCACGTGCGTTGAATGTTCGCGTGATGATTGCTCGACCATCTGACGCGTTGACCCGGGCGTTGGGAAGAGTGTTCACCAGTGCGCTCCCCGCGTGGCCAATTACTCCGCCTAGACGAAGTCTCAGCACGCTGTATTGAATGGGAAGGTCGTTGCACTTGTTGATGGACTGGGGGCCAGTAAACCATGATTCCAGTAGCTCCCGGCTCACTCGGTTGTCACCTCTTGCGAGAATTTCGGCCTCATCGAATTTAAATTTGCGGCCGGATCTCGTCGAATGGGCCGCAACTTGAGAGCTCGCGTCATTTCTGCGCACCGCTGCCGCGTGTTCGGCCATTCTCGTTCGGAGCTGTCTTCCGGTTTCTCCGACGTAGTTGCTTTGTCCGCAACTGCACCAGATCCGATAAACGACTCCAGACGTTTCTAGCCGTGGCATTGGGTCTTTCGGTTTCATGATCAGACGCCTGATGGTTACCTCCGGTCTGTGTGCCACTCCAACCCCAGGTGGTGCGAGAAGGCGGCCGACAGCTTCCGAAACGTTCTTGACATACGGAAGTGTCCGCCAAGACTTGGTGTCCGTGCGGTTAGGCCTTTCGTCCCTTTTGCGTATGCACCGGTCGACGAAGTTGCGCGGGTAGCCATTGGCTTTGAAGACCCGTCGGAGGTATTGTAGTTCTGCAATTTTGTCTTCCGGCTCACTGCAGTGCGTTTCGACACGCCGATAGAGCGTCCTTACACAACTGCGTTTGTGGCTGATTGGGTGGTTACTGTTGAAGTTCAGTACTTGCATCGTATTTGTCGCTTTCCTAAACACTTTGGTCTTTAGTCCACCACAATCCTTGCGGCATACGAGGACATACAGGAAGGCCAGCTGGTTGTTCTCTTCCTTCTCCATCGTAAATTGAATGTCCGGTAAGACGGCGTTGAGATATTCTTGGAATGTCAACACCTGATCCCGTTCGATGACGACGAAGGTATCATCCACATACCGGCCCCAGAATTTCGGTCTGTGGTGTTGGAAGACCAGCGACTCTAACCGTTGCAGGACCGCCTCGGCGATGAATCCCGAAATCGGCGAACCCATTGGTGTGCCCTTCACCTGTTCGTAGATTGTCCCGTCGAACGTGAAGTACGTCCTGAGACAGAGCTTCAGGAGCTGGAGGATTTGGGCGTGTCCAAGACGGTTCTCCGTTTCATTGTATTTGCTTTGTAGTAGCAGTTCAATTGTCTCGATCGCCAGGTCCTGGGGAATAGAAGTAAAAAGGGATGTAACATCAAAAGATACCATGACCTAATTTGGATGGATGCTTACCCCTTTGAGTTTCTCCAGGAATTGTGCTGACGAAGAGACCGTGGTGTCTGACTCAGCGGTCAGGAACTTGAGACGCCGGAACAGCCACTTCGCCAGTCCGTACGTTGGAGTCCCTTTGAGCGACACGATGGGTCGGAGAGGAGCGCCGTCTTTGTGCACCTTAGGGAGGCCGTAGAATCGGGCCAAAGCCGCATCTTGGGGTCTCGCCATGCGTCTGTCGGTCGGTGTTTTTGCACCTGAGTTCTCCAAGGCCAACAACGTAGCATTAATTTCGCGTGTCAGCGTCTTTAAAGTCGTCGCTCTTCGCTTATATTGGCAAACGTTTTCTAATTAACCAGTAGGAATAATGAACATTGGAAAAAAAGCAAATGAGCAGTCAGGGTTTTCAGTGGGCCCTCTGCTTTTTTCTCTGAGTAATTGATATGTCAGTCTATCTATGACTGACTCCTGTGCTGCTCTTTGTTTTGTTAACCAAAATCTCAGAACAATGCAAAAAGCCACCGACCTGTTCATCACCGGGCTTTGTTGACAAGAACTGCAAGTGTCAAGATCCTTCAGGTAAGCTACAAGCATCCCCCATATTTTACGGCAAAACTGACACGGTGTTTTGCTTTCACGCCTATAAGCGTGTTCGGAAAAATAGATTCCTCCTAAACCTGCTTGTTTCTAAATAGAAGATACTAGAGCACATATAAAAGTGCTCCATGGTTACATGCTCTGTTCTGACCACATAGCTAAACGGAATTACCATAGCCGATCGTAAACAAAAAATGAGGGAGCGAAATCAGGCATGCGTATCAGTAACTCGAAAGGCAAGTGCGCTCAATCCACTTGCACCTTCCCTCACTTCCGGTCTTTCGACTATGTCTTGACACAGGGTCCATGCGGGGAGGAGAGAGTGCGGTAGATGTTGCACGGGTCTTCTCTGACTTTCAACTAATTCATGCGCAAGTCACCGTGGATGCTCTCACATTGATGTGGAACACACGGTGGACATCGTCGGACAAAACGGTCGAACGGTCAGGGGAAAAATGAGATTAAGACGTAAGAGCCCCATTCCTATGGCTTTTCGCGTGAACCTTCTTTGATCTTGAGCGGAAGATTTGTTTACTGGAACAGTTCAAAAGGGCAAAACAGAGTAGCTCTATTCGTATTTCTAAGGTTCCATGAATGCCACATATTCATTTTGCTTAGGTTTTGGTTTTGAAATGTCCTTTTATTTTAACAAACCCAATGGACAATTTCATTATCTAACTTTAGGCAGGGTGTATAATGTATTTATTCAAAAAGAAATAGGCATTCGTCTAAAACTATCTCAGTAGCATTCTTCGTAGAATGGCTAATATAAGATTATGCAATCTCAGGTAGCTATTTGGTTTAAGAAAACTTTTGCGCAACTGCTTCCGCAAAAACGCCCTCGCACGCATTTCATTGAAAACCTTTGACTCTCCTAAAGGGTACTTCTAGAACATTTACATTACCGCAAATTAACATATATATTTGGCGGGAATACAGTGTCGCAACACTTAGAATTGTCTATTCCCCCAGCAGCCTGTCTTACGAGCGGACTACTACCACTACTACCGCTGTTACTACTAATACTACTACCACTGGCGGGAATACAGTGTTGCAACACTGAAGAAAAGATTTTCCCCCGTCCACCACCACTGATACGGCGACTACTACTAATAATCCTACTATTAGTACTACTACTACCACCGCCACCACGGCTGCCAATGCTACTCTACCATCGCTTACAGTAGGGATAACTAACTGCAATAATACTAGCATCAGTAACGGAGTGTTGCGACACTGATATCCAACCATATATTTTATCAACATAATCCTCGAGTGAACGAGTTCAGTTGATAAGTCGTCGTTGTATATGCTCCCACAATAAACTGCTTTAAAAAACAAGATATTTTGCATCTGTCTTGGACAAGAACACAAGTGCTCTACAAATCTTTTTCGCGCGACTACTTGACTCATCATAGAAAAGGAATTTGCCAAGACGCGACAGGGCTATTGGCCTTCTTTTCTTCCGCCAACAGTGCTTCCTTTATAATTGAATATGATTGTTAGAAAGTCACAGACTAAGCTAAAAAGGAATGTCGTAGAACTGGACACAAGCATGAATACCCATTTTTGAAAAATGAAATAAGAGATCCATGCAGATGCCCGCGAATTGCAATAGTGAAAGATATCAGTAACCCGTCTGATATTTCATTTTAGAAAATAAAATGTCGTTTAGTATTGAAATTTCTATAAGTTCCTAAATCAATATACACTCCCTATTCAAAGTTTTCTCGAAGCGGCGCTGTAAGGATCATCTGAGCAAAACTGAATGTAGAACACTGGAGAAACAAATGGACTGCATTAGAAGAAAAAGCTACATGACTATCAACTGTCGCGACACGTGTGGATTTTGTTACAAAAAATCATATGCCGAAATAAAAAAACCGAAGCGAAAGTAAGTTCAAAGTGCTTACAACCGCTATCTACGTTTCTTTGCATACATAACATTGGGTAATGCTTCGGTTGTTTGTAACAATTTACCTAGCAATATTATTTGCCGGGACTGGCAATCGCTGTCTAAAACATTAAGCAGACTGTTAAAGGGTCACAATAAGGCACTATAGAGAGAAAGTCAGTTCATCACTAAGAGAAGACAGTATCTGAGTACGAAAATAGATAAGCAGTCGGTATTGTGAATTTAGCTCGGTGTGGCCAAAATACGACTGCGGCAACTCGGTGCGCGACAATTGCAACTTAAGTTTACGGTACTTTTCTTCTTAGTATATATGCAATTCGCGTGTATGAAGGTTTTTTTACACATTCTATGTACAACTATCCAACATTGTTGATTTCTTGTAGTCTACAAAGAAGAAGAAATCAACACATAAGGAGGGCATTTAGAGGTGTGCTTCTATAATTCTCCAATATCCCAGGCGTAAAACGTGTTCACAGACGCAGAGCACAAGGCACTACAGTTAGCAGTTCCCTTTAGGCCTGGCCTGACTACTCTTATCAGCATCGAAAGGACTCGAAAAACATTTTCAATTATACTAACGTGATTTTCACATGCTTAGTTATGCAATACAATTTATAAGAAAGTTTATGGGCCATCAGGCAATCCAAAATGTAACTTAATATTCTTCAAATTCCGTTTTTGGCTGTAAGAGCAGCAGAAAACATCCCAAAACAAAAAAATCAACAGTTCTGCCCTTTTACCGTGCTCTCAAAACAATAAAACGACGGGAACATGGTGTTTAATTTTCAATTGTTTGGAATGGGTGTGAGGCAAGCTCGTAAGGTTAACTAAGTAATCATCACTGTCAGCTAGGCAAGAGATTTGGTTAGGAATAACTGACAAATTGCGCAGAAAGGCCAAAATCGGCGTAAACTTGTGCATCCTGCCAAATGGTTACCGAATCATTTAAGGGTATGAAAGCGAAAAAAAATGAGATTTGTCAAGAATTATCAGATTTGAGAGTGGAGTTACCTACGGTAACATACAAGTGAGATTCATTACACAAATTTATAATGATTCAGAACAAAACGTTGTTTAAGAAACAATATAACTTGGAATTCAAAGCAAAAATACGAAATCATGTCAGACAGCAACTCGATGTCAAGGAATATTTAAGGATTTCCATCTTATTTACTTTCAGATGCGATGATTTCCACGATAAATGCTCTGAATGGAAGAAGGCGAAACAGTGCACAAAAAATCGCAAGTATATGGAAAATACGTGTCCCAAGAGCTGCGGTGTCTGCAATGATACGACGGACGAGACAAAATGTAGAGATTTATACATTATAACGGCCGATTGCCAACAATGGGCAGCAAGGGGCGAATGTCAAAAAAACCCAATTTGGATGGCTAAAAACTGCGCAAAATCATGCGGTCGATGCGGTGACTCGACGGATGAGACTACAGACAATTCTGCAGCCTGCAAAGATACCTACGCTTTTCCAAAAGAATGCATTGGCTGGGCAGCAAGGGGCGAATGTCAGAAAAACCCAATTTGGATGGCTGCAAACTGCGCCAAATCATGCGGTCGATGCGGTGACTCGACGGATGAGACTACAGACAATTCGGCAGTCTGCAAAAATAACGATGCTTATTCGAACCAATGCATAGTCTGGGCAAAAAGGGGCGAATGTCAGAAAAACCCAATTTGGATGGCCGCGAACTGCGCCAAATCATGCGGCAAATGTTCTGGAAAGAATACGAGGTAAGATTTCGAGCAATTACTTTTAGGTTTAAGGCTGCGAAAACTCCCATATTCGAAAACGTTCAGAAAACGCCGCCAAGAAATCCCGTACTTTGACCGGATGTGATACCGTTCCAAGAGATTTTGCAGACAGCGATGTAATCATCGTTTTTTTCCTCAGAAATTAACTGCAAATGTAGATCAGTTCACTCTAGGTCTATAGGTTCAGGCTGAATTATATATGTATGCATATTTGTGCCGAGTTCCATCAGCCACAGCGGATAACCGCATAATATTACTTAAATGCCAACAGTGCGCTAGTAGTATACTTTAAATAAATGGGATACTATGTTAACAGCACAGGTGCTAGCCAAATGTGCATACACGCGTGCTTTGCTGATATTCTGCCATTTCATAACACATCTGCGAGGGTTTCGGCTCATCAGTCGGCCCGCTAGCATTCCTTATCTGCTTTCCGCTAGATACGCCAACTAAGATATTGTTTCTTTTTCATTTCCTAAGAAATTCGCTGTAAACTTGGAGTAGTTATTCTATGTCTATCAGCTCAGACAGAAGATTTTATGCATGGATATTTGGGCCTAGGTCCATCATGTACGGCGGGTAAACGCAAAATATTCATTAACTGCAAACAGGCAGCTAGTAGCATACTTTAGTCTAAGGGGATATCATACTGACCACGAGCATATAGACCCACTGATCTATTCCAAGTTCGCAGTTAATTTCAGAAGAAATTAAAAGCGACAAGTTCCATATTGCAATATTTACCAGAAAGCAAGCGGGGAATGCTGAGGGGACCACTGATGAGCTGAGCCCATCGCAGCTGTGTCAGGCAGGTGCGGAATATCGGTGAAACACGCATGTTTGAGCTTTTGGCTAGTACCTATGTTGAGAGTATGGTATCCACTTACCCTAAAACCATCGTTTATCAGATGTAACTAGCGCTTTAAGCAACCTCGTTTTTAAATCTAGTAAATTAAATGACGGACATTAGTGCCTTGCGCAGGATTAAGTTTAGAATGTAGGAGTCTTTCGCAGCGTCTGACGCACTCTCTCCTCTCCCGCCTACCTGTCTCCTGTGACAGGACGGAGTCAAGACGGGCAAAGATGGGCTCGAGTGCAGTGACTGGAAAGGCTTAACAGCCCACCTACGACTGTCGAACCCGATCTAGTTTCAACAGAACGTAACAGACTTTCGTGAGGTTAGCCTTGATCTCACATTAGCCACAATGCCATAACGGCCACATCTAGTAGGAACCATAAAAGCCTGACTCTCAGTCCTGAGAGCGACAGTGTAATCCCGTGAGTTGATGTCTTTCCGGCCACGACTCTCAGGACGTCCTAATGGGTCCGAGGGCGTCATAGCTATTGTAGTAAAAAATACGCTGGTGTGACGTGAGGAAGGATTCCCCAGTGTCGGCCTCAGTCATACCTCTCTCGTATGCAGCAGTTCACTTTCCGATTCTGTCAAGCAGCTGGTAATGTAGTTGGGTGTACTGACTGACACGACATGTGGGTCTACGTCTAGTCGTGCTATTACGCTTCTTCCATGTACGGAAGTAATAATGGCTGAGGGCGGACTCTGCACAGCCTGATAAGACACGTGTCGTGGACCAGTCTGAGTTCCGCCATGGTCCAACGCATTTACACAGTAATGACCTTTTACATGAAGAAGGCCGTGAATACAGGGCAGAAGATCTCCAGGAAAGATGTATTCAGATTCTGTTGGCGCACAAATAGCAGTTGAAGCCAAAAAGTTTGCGAGTTGCTTTAATAGATCATGGGCATGGCACTTTTGAAATATTGCGTCGAAAAGACGGAAAATAGCCATAAACGTGTGCATTTGGCCAAATAATTGCAAATTATTTCAAGATATGAAACCAAAACCAGATGATATTATTCGAAGTTTAATAGAGTTGAGGAGCAGTTTCTTTACGTTTGTGCTTAAGTAAGCCTGACTGCACAGTTTTATCATGTATTGCATAACAAACCATTGCTTTTAAATACGAGTTACGTAACTGCTCTCGTTTTTTACCGAAAATACAGAGTTTCAAGCAACTTGCCAACCGATTAGCAGATTTGCAAAGGTATTTGTTAATTACGTTGGTGATGTTCAAGAGTAAATGCTTTGTTCCAAGCGTTTTATACCAACATTTAAATTACTCGTGGGAAGTATGCTTAGGAAAATTCTCAAAAATAACTTAAATAGGAATCCTGACCGTCTTTGCATTCATAGAAAACTACCAAATCTTGTCAGGTATCACTTCGATGTCAAGCAGTTTTCTTTTGGATTTCCATCTTATTTACTTTTAGCTGTAAGGATTTACACGCAAAGTGCCCTCTATGGTACAAAACTAAACAGTGCACGAAAAATCGCAAGTATATGGAACGTACGTGTCCCAAGAGCTGCGGTGTCTGCACTGACTCGACGGACGAGACTACAGACAATTCGGCAGCCTGCAGAGATACCTACGCTTTTCCAAAAGAATGCATTGGCTGGGCCGCAAGGGGCGAATGTCAGAAAAACCCAATTTGGATGGCTACAAACTGCGCAAAATCATGCGGTCGATGCGGTGACTCGACGGATGAGACTACAGACAATTCGGCAGACTGCAGAGATACCTACGCTTTTCCGAAAGAATGCATAGGCTGGGCAGCAAGTGGCGAATGTCAGAAAAACCCAATTTGGATGGCTGCAAACTGCGCTAAATCATGCGGTCGATGCGGTGACTCGACGGATGAGACTACAGACAATTCGGCAGTCTGCAAAAATAACGATGCTTATTCGAACCAATGCATAGTCTGGGCAAAAAGGGGCGAATGTCAGAAAAACCCAATTTGGATGGCCGCGAACTGCGCCAAATCATGCGACAAATGTTCTGAAAAGAATACGAGGTAAGATTTCGAGCAATTAATTTTAGGTTTAAAGCTGCGACAGTTCCCACAGCAGTAAATAGAAGACGAGGTGGCGGGCATACGTAGCTTTCTATACATTTTCTTCGGGGTAGTACAGTGCGTTACCTATCTCATGAAATGTTGGCTGAAATTCTGAAATGCGTTATCGATTAGGAAGAAATACTTGGTCGCAGTTCTAATACTGCTTATCTTGTGGCATACGTTTATAACATTTCGGACTTGGCAGGATGTCGCCTTTGAACTGCACGTCTTTTTAATCTCCTGTAGAAAGCATGCCCGGTAAAAAATGACTACATAAGTAGCATGCATTTTTCCCATTAATTTTCGATGGTCTTGCAAATTCAAATATGTTTTGTAGAAACCACAAAAAATGTGCTTTCTTTTAGTCAGTCAATAGAGAATCACGTCTTCTTTATATTTTATACTTAAGGAAGGAGTATAATTAGGTTTTAAAAAAGTTTTCTAATTGCCGAAAAATTCGGAGCCTGATCATTCGTTGCATTAGCGCTTAGTGATTACACTCTACAAGGTGCATGCGTTCCGCGTAAAGAAAATCTCATATTTTTCTATGTCATAAAAGAGATATTATGCAGAGTCCATAACGTTTTGCAATGGATGCGGACCATGTTGTACATTTCCTAAGGAGCAGTGGTAAACGGCCAGGTACGATGCTATGTGAATGGACATTTCGCGGTCTTAAAAAGTCCCATAATTAGAAACTTTTTTAAAACCTAATTATACTCCTTCCTTAAGTATAAAATATAAGGAAGACGTGATTCTCTATTGATTGACTAAAAGAAAGCACATTTTTGCTTGTGGTTTCTATAAAATATATTTGAATTTCCAAAACCATCGAAAATCAATGGGAAAAATGCATGCTACTTATGTAGTCATTTTTTACCGGGCACGCTCTCAACAGGAGATTGAAGAGAAGTGCATTTCAAAGGCGACATCCTGCCAAGTCCGAAATGTTATCAAAGTATGCCACAAGATAAGCAGTATTAGAACTGAGACCAAGTATTTCTTCCTAATCGAAAACGCATTTCAGAATTTCAGCCAACATTTCATGAGATAGGTCACGCACTCTGCAATTTTATGGGAAGAGGGTAGAAGCAAATACCTGTCAGTGATAAGAGAAATCGTTTAAAGTTTGTCTTAGAACACACCTCCCACACACCTACACCCTGCCTGTGTCCTAGGACAAACTTGAATCGCGTTCTCTGATCACTGAGACTTTTTGTTTCTACCCTTTCCCATATAACTGTACTGCCCAGAGGAGAATTTGTCGGAAGCTACGCATGCTCGCCACCTCATCATCCGTTTGCCTTTTGTAATTATTCCATTTATAGTATTCATTTGCTGTCGGCGATATTAATTTCTACTCTCACTACTCAATTCTGCCCTGATGAATCAGAGGCTGCGTCAGCAAACTATGGGTGAGCACTCGTGTTATTCCTGTCATCTAATGACCGAATAATCATCTAATCTAAGAATATATAAAATAGGCAATAATGTGTGACTGAAAATTACGTTCAGAATACGCCGATAAATACCTCCGGCCTTAGACCTCCTGCGATACCTATCCAACAGCTTTTACATGCAGCTAACCTCTAATGGTTTGTTGCTTTATAGCTTCCTCAGGTATAAACTGCGAACTTGGAGTATATAATTTTCTAGGTCTATAAGCTCTAGGATTGTTTGGTGTCCCCTTACCCTGAATTATACTGCTAGCTGTCTCTCGGCAGTTTAGGTATGTTACGCGTTTTATCACTATGATTGATGGACTTCGGCAGAAATACTAATACATCCAAATTTCTTTTTAATCCTTTTATCCTAGAATACACTGATCCACTCGAAGTTTGCGGTTACATTTTGAGGACATTAAAAGGGAACATTTTCTAATTTAGAGCACCTACGAGAATTCAGACAGGCAATACTTAGGGACTCACTGCTGAGCCAAAACCTTCGCAACTGTGTCATGCAGCGGCAGCATACCGGTAAAACACACTTGTATCGGCTTTTGGCTAGTACCTGTGCGTTTAGTATAGTATCCACTTACCCTAAATTGAGACATTTTCCAGATCCAATTGGCGCTTTAAGCAACCTCGATTTCAAGCCTACTACATTAAATAACCGGCTAAAGTGCCTTTCGCAGTATTTAGCTTAGAGTAGAGAAGTCTTTTGCAGAGTCTGACGCGCTCTCCCTCCCCCCCTCAACGTCCTGGCTCCTGTGACAGAACGGAGTCAGTCATTCCTCTCTCGTATGCAGCAGTCCACTCTGCGAGCCTGTCAAGCAGATGCAATCGGATGTAGTGACCGAGACGACGTGTAGGTCTACGTCCAGTCGTGCTATTACACGTCTTCCATGTAAGGCAGTAATAATTTGTGAAGGTGGACTCTGCACAGCCTGATAAAACACGTGTTGTGGGCCAGTCTCAGATCCGCTCTGGTCCAGCTCATTTACACAGTAATGACCTTTTACATGAAGGACATCCTGAGCGCAGGATAGAAGATCTCCAGGGCAAATTGATTGTTGCCGTTAAATAATTGAAATTTTAATGAGGCCACTGGGCTGTATGTAGCAGTCATTTTTGACTACTTTCCATTTGCTACCATGTTTTCGTGTTGTGCTAGGTACCTCTGAGTGGACCCAACAATAACTACTATGCTCTTACCATAGACTTGCATCTTTGTTTCTCATAAAGGTTGAGCTGCAGTAAACCTCTAACATGCGGTGGGGAAAATGTTTTGTTCACTGAACGTCAATCTCAAATGAGAAAGATAAAAGTGCGCTTTGCTTTATAAACATCATTCTTGGATATTCAGCCAGAATAGGGGATATTATGTGGGCCGTAGTCTTAGTTGCTAAACGTTAGTCTTTTTAATGCATCGAGTAGAAGTCATTCTGCTTTTTTAAGTAACTCAACCCGGAATGGTCGTTCTTTGACCTAAAATGCATGGCCAGTTCGTGCGCTGCAAGTTAAGCACTCTAATCTGGTCTCTATGTGAACTCGCCTACTGTTCCTACGGGTGAGTCGGACTACTTACTCTAGGTGATCGCAACCCACTCCTCTGAGACGGATGTCTGACGCAGACACAAGATTCCAATGAATATCACTGGATGTTTCGGTTGCATTGTCCGCAGTGGAATTGTGTCTGTGGGTCCCGGATTCATGAACGCCAAGGGCTCCTTTGGCCGTCAACAGACGGCCTTATCAAAATGGGTGACAACGAAGAAGACTCTTGGATGCTCAGAACACCGTTCTGTTGACTGTCGAGTGCCAGTCGGACGTTTGCTCTGCTCTCATAAGTGTTTGGACATCCGTTCACGAAGGAGAGCTCACTAAAACGACATTGGTCACATCTTTTCTGTTGGGGTCCCGCGGTGTATTTTAAATTGTTGATGCACAAGACGGCGTTTTGTTAGGGGATAACTGGTGTCAATGTTCTGTATTTGCTTAAAATTGGCGATTATTCTGCCAATCGTCAGATATTCAGATGTGTTGGTTGCAACGGACAAATATCGCTCATATCGGGTATTCGGTCTTCTTCAGTTGTAATTCTTTACATGCTCAAGGACTGAATTCATGAAGATGACTTTTGTCGATGGTGTTTTGGCGGGGGGACCAAAAGCGCGAACAGCGATTTTAACCCAGCATGGAAACAACTGCCTTGAAGAAGTCATTTGTCTCATTAATTTTCGAAGAGAGATATTTCGTCCAGGAAGCAAAATGTGGTTTGCACTACCACTGGTTTTCAAACAGAATCTGGGCTTGTGCTGCCACTTGGATTTGACCAAACGCTACTTCAGGGTGATCTTTGTATCTGCCTGTTTGATCGCGATGTTATCCATTTTGGTTCTTTAAAGTGGTTTTTGCCCTTCTTAGTTAAAGACTTTAGTTTATTAGCCATATACATCACAAGACCTTGGTTTGGCCGAAATTGCTCAAGTCAGTGTACGGCTTTTTCAGAGTAGCTGATGTATAGTTTTATGATTTCGTCTGTCAGCGGTAGGTGATAACGGATCCGTTTCGCCTTTATTCCCTAACCGGGTAAGGACTGCTCGTACACAGACGCGCAGGAAACGTCATAGAGATTAGTATGTTTTCATCTAACTGAAAGACTATCTTCTTTTTTCACGTAATGCACTTGTACATATACTTTTGAAATCTGTATAAGACCGAACAGTTGTAAAAATGTTTCTTCGCGGTTAATGCCTCACATTATATAGAAAGCCAACGCTTGCGCAGTAGTATATTCAACTAATTTGTCTGATGGAATTTCGAGAAGGCTACTAATGAACTGTTTTAATTGTTCATAGTGCATACCTCAGGAAACGAAATACTGGAAAATTATCCACCGACTGGTGTCTTGGGCAATATTACTCTAACGGGTTAGGTCCTCAATAGAAAGAGCTAAAAACAGGACAAGTGCAAACATATTCTGCTCTAAATGTAAGCACCTGAACGCATTGTTTTGAATTTTAGGTTCTTGTGAAGATCGGAGCGGGCGGTGTAGGTACCTGGGAGAGCGTGGATATTGTACTAGATATCCATGATCGACCATCATTTTACGCAGAATACGTCTGGTGCATGTAGTCCCACTTTTTAAGGGTGCGGTTCAATCGTTTTGAAATGTTTACTTTGGTGAAAGACTCATTTTAACTGTTTCCTCGGTCATGGGATATATGCTCCTATAAAACATTCAGCGTGTTAGGATGTCGTTTATGACTTGTTATTCACGAACTGTTGTCAGAAGATGTGGACGTAATGGGTGACTTTCGGACACTGGGAGAGAGATTGTTAAGGAGGTTGCAAAAAACTGTGCAGACGTCTACATATGGTAAAATTTGGTGAGAATGATCGGATAAAGTCCAATGAAAAGTGGAGAGCGGCCGGATCTGGAGCAATCGTCTTTGGTTCACAGTGCGTGGTAACGGTCACCGAGGTGGAAATAAATATAAATGAAGTATGCTTTATAGGCCATTTTTCGGTGTTCGTGCGGAAATTGACAGGCATTCTTAGGGCGCATGAAGGTTCACCTAGATGTTTACAGTATTCTCCTTGGGGTGCCTTTGTGCCTAAAACGGGGCCAAGCGGTAGATGCACTGGACCATCACAGGAGCTAAATCGAAGTCTAGCAGGCGTCATCAGGGATGCGCACCCATAACAAAGGCCAAAATTAGAAGTGTGTCGGCACGTTAGTTGGCGCCTCATTCCGCGCTGGTTGGAATCCATGCTGCCTACCCCGTCCTCCTGTCGTATTAAAATCTGGCCAGTGATTGTTGTGGACCAGGAGGTGCGGTGGTACGCCTAGGTGCGGGATGTCGTTGAGTCAGCCACCAGCGCAGTCTCCCGCCTCTGGCCTTCTTGACTGTGCGTTGACTCGAGGTACAGGTGGGGGAGGGGAAAGTGTGGTAGATTCTGCGTAAGTATACTATCAGTATAAAATCCGTCATGCGAAATTCACAGTCCCCACTATCACCCTGCTGTTGAGCACACAGTGGGTATCGTCGAATTAGACAGTCGAACTGTTGGAGTATAAGGCGCCAACACATTGTTGAGTGTCAGTTTCGCCGACTCACTTGTCCAAACAGTTTACGTGCTCAAGTGTCTGTTCAAAAACGGGAGTCAGAGGGTTACGTTAACAGGCAGTCAGCCTGTGCGTATTAATACACGCCCAAGAACATAGACCTGTTTTGCCAACATACAGGCAAGAAGAGCTAGTGGACAGCAAGCAGTGCATAGTACTATTCGGTTGGATACGATATTCGACTCGTAATAATAATGCACCAGATGAAGAAGTTGGCTCGTGAGTAGTGTGAATGTTAATTCGACTCAGATGTAGCATACTACCATGTTCGGTTTCCGTTTTTCACATATGCTACTGGGGCCGGGTACTGTTGCATACGAATTGCATCCTACAAATCCCGGGAAATATCTGTTAGATCAGAATAAATGGGTCAATTCGCAGTTGGGCTGCTTATCCTTACTGCAGTACAGAGGTAAGTGGATGAAGAGTCGCCTTTTCTGGAATCTAGCGGATGGTTTTAACGTTTGTAGCCTTTAAATTCCAAGTGCAAAATTGAGGAACTGATTTAGAACACTGATGGGTTTGAAATTTGACGCCTCTATAGTGGCAGTAGTCGGTGCACAGTCTTTATTGACAAAGTCGATTATCAAAGCAAGGCCCAGAGCCGCCATGGCAAACGTAAGCCCAACAAACTCGGAGCCAGTATATTTGAAAACCAATAATTCTGAAGGCTGTTAAGGTCTGGCCCTAAAGGATAACAATAACCGCATCAACAACAATAGTTTACGTGTTGCAGGTGATAAGGTTGGCATAGCCCACACACGGCTACACAGTGCCTTTGGAAATGTTTTTACTAGGAATATATTCAACGGCATCGTTAAATATGTCCTCGATGTAAGTCAACTGACGTTACCATTTTGTCGTTTGGTTGACGTCAGACAAGAACATACAAGAATAGAAGTTTGTTCTCCACTTCCTCTTCCATCGGGAGGTGTAGATCGTGAATGACTGAGCTCAGCAGTTCTTCGTAGTAGTTAATTCTATCCTAATCGATGATAACGAAGGTATCATCAACATAGCGCACCCAAAACTGGAGTTTGCTCTCCTGGATTAGTTCTTTCTCAAGTGTTTGCAGAACCCCCTCGGCAATGAGCCCGCAGATTGGTGAACCCATTGGAGTGTGCATAATTTGCCCATGTATGTGGTCCCTTTGAAGGTGAAAATGTCCTGACGCAGTTCCCACGAGTTCTATGAGATCCTGAGCTGTAGGCAGGCTATCGCCCTTATCGTAATTTTAATGTGGCATAACACTGAGCGTCTCGACCGCAAGGACCTGTGATATGGACGTTAGGAGTGATACGACATCAGATGACACCATTCTTTCATTTGGTTCGATCCTAACAGTCATTATTTTGTCAAGGAATTGTTCTGCTGAGTGCACTGCTATTTGCGAGCCCGTTGTTACCAATTCTAGCTTCTGAAATAGCCACTTTGCAAGCCAGATGTGTGGGTGAGCCTCAGAGTGAGACGATTGGTCGGAGAGGAACATCTGTCTGTGTGCCTTTCGAAGATCGCAGAATCTCGCCGTCGATGTTTCAGTGGGCCTTTCCATATACCAATCTTTGACGGTGATGACTTTTCCATCCTTTGGTCGAGCCAGAGTTCTATTAACTTTCGCCAGTAGGGACTTTAGACTGGTGACATCGCTGACTTTGTAGGACGCCAGGTCAGAGGGGAACGTAAGAGCTTTGTTTTGGTAATCTACCTTGTCAAGGACAACGGTTGACTGGCCTTTGTCAGCAGGCGGAATAACTATTTCGTCGCCCGCATTTATTTCCTTAGGGCCTATTGTTCATCTCTTAGCAGCGAATGGGTTTTTCGAGGCGACATGAGACGTGAGAAGATTTGGTGTTGAAGGAGGTCCTTTACATCGTCTGCTGCAGTGGTTTGACGTAGCACCAATTCGAAAGAAGAACCGAAAGTAACCGTGTCGGCGTCAGTTGTGTTAAAGTCGGATCCAAGTTGTAGAACTTTTCTTTGAGTCACATTAAGATGTTTCGACAAGAGGTTGTGTAATAAGGTTTGTTCATTTTTCTGGACTTGTACGATCTGCAGGGCCATGGACTTTCCCGATAAGCCTGCATCTCCGTTAGCACGTTCCTTTCGTCGCAATAATATTAAGGTGTTCTTCAATGTTGTGGCGGTCAGTTTACCATAGCGACGTGTAAAAAGTATCCTGAGGTTTTTAGCATTGTGTGCGTAGTTCCTTAGCCGTAGGTGGCAATCTTGAAGCAGTACCCCAGTCATTCGCCTGCTATGGCGGAACATCGTTTGTCTAGCCAGTTCCGTGTTGACGAGAGGCTTACAGGAGAGGCATTTTGGCATAACATACTTGACAAGGCATCTGTGAAGGAAGTTGAGTTGTACTTTGTTCAAGGCTGGTCGGAGGACCTCCACTGCATCTCTCCCGCTGAACGCCTCCGTTTCTTTTGTTATGCCACCTGGGGATGCACGTTCCTCACTTTTAATGAATTTTGCCTGCTTTGACTGTTGCACATTTGTCCCCTGTTGGAAAACGGCTTGGGGAAATAGTATCGAAAATTTACGGAGTACACTTTGCTCCATTTTCCAACATTACTTCCCCTCTATCTACATATGTACATGGTTACGCAATCTGTCACCCTGTTTCCTGAACTACGTCTTTAGGCCTTTCAATGGGAAATATAAAATCTCTTTTCTATATATCTTTTGGACTTGTTTACCATTATTTCGTCGGTCGTATTTGACGTACACGACAAATGTTAACTACTAAACCGACTATTGTATGTTTCTTCTGGGAACATCTGAGACTCTGTTGACGTCTATTTTTCCGGCATCCCTGCTCATTGTTTGCACCGCCTCTTTTTAAGAAGAACTTCTATGTGCCATCTAAGCTTGATGATTGATGCATGTAGTGTATGAGTGCATTGTTTCTGGGAAGGAAGGTGGAGGAGAAGGCCAAAACTCTGTGAGCTGCCGGATCACCCGATCGGTCCCACATTTACATGGTTATGGTCGATGACTGTAATAACATCGGTCACTCTCCTCTCACTTTATTCCCTTCCTTACATGATCGACTACTGTGGCGTGCTGTGCAGTCGTATTTATTATTTAAGATTATTCGCTGTTACTTAAACTCGTTTACCTAGACAACTTCCTTCCACTCTCACCATGCCCACCGTCATATCATATCAACATTCCATCTTTTTATTCACCTATCACGTTTTGTCCCTCTAAGCCGTCTTCCGTTTGAACAGTTTATCTTTCTACAGTAGGTGAGTTAACTCAGGAAATGAAGGCAAGCATGTACAGCAGAATTTATTGGGGCCAATAAATTTCGTGACGGCTTTTCAACTGCAGCCCGTCCCTGCATAACATAGGTAACGAATGAAAGCGCACAGCAGTATGAATTTGTACAGAACGGCAGTGCATAAGAGCAAGGTCAAGGTTCAAGGCAATGAATAATCAGATAAGACGTCCACATAAGCATTATATAGGAAGGAGGGCGACGAAATGTTAACAGCAAATCACAGTCAAGGATAACTTGAGGCGTGAGATTACCAGGGCAATTGCAGACTGATCACATGATCTAACTGCTTGCACAGGTCTGGTTTCTCCCTCCGCATGAAAGCTGCTTCCAAAAAACGCAAGGTTTCAGTTGTATGCGCTCGGTCAAGTACCTGAAAAGATGCTTTAGGGTCGACAACATGACCGCTATCTAACAGGCGTTTCGTTATAGACGAACGGGGGGTTTTGTTTTCCTGTTTAAAAAGCCAATTAGGCAAATGCTCAGCGGCCCTGGTTGCCAGTTGCCTTTGCGTTCGCCCAATATACCTGCATCCGCAAGTGCATGTGAATTCATACACACAATTTGGGGTGGCGTGCATTGGCAAGACATCCTTTGCCCGGTTAATTGGAAGGCTTTTTGTGAAACTGATGAAGATAAGCTCTGATGCGTTGTACGTTCTTTCTATACTGAACCTCAAGCGTCGCTAGACTGCGTTTGAGACCTTGTCACCCTTAAAAGGTAGACATATTTTAACGGGCTTCTTCGGAACGGACAGTTCCGTCAACTTTGGCCGCAAATGGTTGCTGTACTTCTGAATGAAGCGTGCAGGATAACCACGATTAAGTAAGGCTTCTTTAATTCGGTCAGTTTCTGTAACTATGTTCTCCCTGGAGCAAATATTTCACGCTCTTTTAAAAAGAGTATACACTAGATTACGTTTCCATTGTATTGATGCAAAGCTTTTAAAATGTAAGTATTGCCCTTTCCACGTAATCTTGTGGAAGACGGAACGTCTTATTGAGCCATCATCCTTTCTAAACATGAGGACGTCCAGGAAGGGTAACTTGTTAAACTGCTCCATTTCCATCGTAAATTTAATTTTAGGATGCAGATTATTCATCAGGCAAAGTAGGTCGGAGGCGTCTTCCTTGTTGTCAACAATCGTGAATATATCATCCACGTATCTCCTGTAAAATGTTTAATTTTGATGACACCTTTTCTTCTACATAACACATACTAACGTCGGCGAGGGTTGACCTGAGTGGACTGCCCATTGCGACTCCGTCAATTTGTCTGTAAAGTTCCCCATTAAACAGAAATTGAACATCTTTGGTACACAGTACCAGCAGATCCCGTAGTAGTTTGGGGGAGAGTCGCCTTCATTCGTTACCTATGTTATGCAGAGACGGACTGAAGCTGAAAAGCCGTCACGAAATTTATTGGCCCAAATAAATTCTGCTGTACATGATGGTTTCATTTCATACCCGGGAACAAATGCTTCAAACTCAGGAAATGTCAACCGAAATTCCGAATTGCGTTATTGTTTCGAAAGTATTAATTAATAATGGTTGTTATACTAATCATCATGCATCATAATTCTACAATAATTCCGTTTCCACAGCATGCTGGCTTTCGAACGAACTTTTTCCCTGCTGCAGGCAAAGCTATACTCTTTAAAATATGACCCCTTAAGTAGCATGCATTTTTATCATTGATTTTTGATACCCTTTAAACGTAAATTATATATCGTAGAAAACAGCCGTACAAATATTCACTCTTTTACGCACCCGGTAAACAATCGTGTCTTCTTTCAGTTTTATACTTGAGGGAAGCGTATAATTTGGTTTTCAAAACTCTTTAAATTCTCGAATAATTCTGAACCCGACCTGCTGTTACACTTGTATTCAGAGTTTCCAAACGATAGGGTGTATATTTCCGCGAACGGAAAATCATACATTTCTCTACGCTATTAATAGAAGACCACATGGGGTTTAGAAAATTTAGCCGTGGATTGGAGCCATATTGTTAACTTTACAAGCCACATTGGTAAATGCAGGACGAATTATATCCCCTTTCGAGCATCAAACTGAAAGAAGACGCAACTGCCCACCGAAAGTGAAAAAGAATAATTGTTTTCTGCATGCTTTCCATAAAATGTAGTTGAATTTTATCGTCAACTAAAATCGATTAGAAAAACGCATAATACTTAACTAGTCATTTTACATGCATGTAGCCGGAAAGATGGTCGACCGAAAGCCAGCATCCTAAGGTAAGCGAATGATTAGTTTTATAACCATAATTAATTACGCCTTTCGAAACGAAAACGCATTTCGGGATTTCGGTTGTCATTTAATGAGTTGGCCCACCCACTTTAATATTCAGTTACTGTACCGAGGTGTTTAAGATTTTACCAAATGTGATCACCTCGGTAAATTCACTCTTGTTTTTGTTTCGATTAAAACTGCCATTTCACTATCTTTCCTTTTTGGTATTTATTCGTTCATCACTACCGGTCGTTAGACCACTGTCTGCGTGAGCTCTTGCTTGAGCCCATTGAAGCAATGGCATGCGCGCTTCCCACGATACAGATCAGTCCCGAACGCAGGCGACGGGGTAACAGGCGTCCGATGGAATGATAGGACGTTAGACTTACCACTCATTAGCTAAATTATTCGGGTTTGAGTCGCAGATGGTACAAAGTAGGATTAGGATATGTGTTGTTGATGACGGCTAATAAGCCAGGAATTGCCATCTCAGTCATCCCCTCTCTCTGTCTGTAAGTATTCCTTCATAAATCAGCATTGGTCGCTGCGCCCTTGGCCGCAATGGCTTTAGATCAAGGCTCAGGACGCAAGGTGCTGAGCATCTCTCTGCCCTGGTTGGTGAAAGCGTGTGCCGCCTTATTATGCATGTATGTGGAGAAAAGAGATAAAGCAGTCCCCCTGGAGGTCGGCTTGTCCATATGATTTTTCACGCTCTTGCCAGTATGCATCATTTGAAGTGTTCGTGGGAATCGGATGGCCCAAAGAGGTCTTTCTAACTCACTCCTGATATCCCGATCAGACTTTCTTCTCACTTGAGCTGCACCGAGTTCGCCCTTTCTATTTACACCACTAGAACAGGCGTCAACACTTTGTCTAGACATATGAAGGTAACAAATGTGATCACGTACATTGCCTACACCAGTAATCCAGCTTACGTTTAGGCCTTCGCTTAAGTACTTAAGGCAGTTTGATAAGTTGGTTAACTTCCTAAACTTGCTTGAAATGCACGACGTCTGTTAAGTTTGTGTCAATAATTAGTATTCCGCTATTTAGATTGGCTGACGTCCACGCCATTTACACCTAAAATTCCTAAGCGTGGCATCCAACCCAACACGCCGATTAATGCAAGGCTTGTCGGAATGCATGAACTCGAAGGAATCTCGGCCAATCCGGAGTGAGCAGACACCAACAATGAGAGTTTTATTCGTGAGTGGAGTATTCAGTGTATGCACGACTACATGCGACTCGTTATAGATGATTGTGAATAAAGATCGTTGTGCTAGTCTGGTCGGCCTGGAACACGCCATGTCTTCAGACATATGGGTGGAGTACTTGGTCAGGGTTTTGAATAAAATATTTCCTAAAAGGTGGTACTTAGTGGATATAAATACATTTAATTTATAATGCTACTATATGTGCCTGTAACGGCACCTTTGCATAAGGTCGACGAAAAGGAACGGGTAGCTACTATGCGCCTGCCCAGTTAAAACATATGGGGATCTTAAATACTTTAAAAAAAACCTGGAATTTTGCTAAAGTTGTATAGACCTGTGTGATGCGATGTTCCAACAAATTGACTTTTAGTCATTTATATTACAGCCCATTATTCGATGGTGTACGGCACCATATGTATTCCTAGAGGCCCATTAAACTGAAGTACTCGTGCGCAGTGGTATTTAAGATGCACGTAACTGTTTTTATCTTACAAATACCCAATGGTCGATGTTCGGTTATATTTAGAAGTCACCTCCTAGTAATCTCGATTAGAATGCTTTCGTATTTAAATAAGAGAGTAAAAACGTAGGTGCTTGCGCCAAAAGCAGTGCTGGAGTAATTGTGGTACAATGAAGTTCACTTCTGCAGGGGAAATTCGTCATTATATGTATATGCATGTAACAGTGTCACAATCCTTTTCTTTTGACACTATGAATGCAGAGAAGATATTTATTCATGTTCTTCTAACTAGTTGGTGTTATTTCGTTGAGTGGGTAAACCGAGAGCAAAATGCACAAGGTATGGTGGTAACGCATAAGATTATGCGTGTACTTGCTTTTTTGTAGATCTCCTCAAATTAATATCTTATATATAGCTTCAATTACGGTCTTGAAAGTCGAATTACCACTGATGTTTTGGGAATGACATCACGTTTAGGTGATTATACACAGCTCGAACATAAACTACAGTCATATGTGGCCAAGACCTGATCAGTTCTTGTAACCTGCCCATAATTTCATGCACACATAATTGAATAACATGATTCATCCCTTTTAAGGACTTACAAAACACTTGATGTGATGATATTTTTTATTATAAGGGAATATGTCTATGCGTCACGTCGCTGGAATTAGACACTTCTTCTGGCTGGTGGCGACCAACAAGCTGGAAACGCCATTCCAATTATCATTGCCTTTGTCGGTAACGTCGTTTTACCAATTGATCACTATATTCCCATATCTGACAGGAGTATGTTCTATCTACTGCTAGCAATATTTTTCAATTTTATTCACTTTAAGAAGTGAAGGGAGAAGACAAAATGCAACACAGCCGATGAGAGCCAACAGCGAGTCACTGCCTACCCCCGCGAGTTTGTTAACCGTAGCGTATGCGGACGAAACCAGAAACCAAATCCGACTGGTCTTTAATTTTGGTGAGCGCTTCTGTAATTGAGAAACATCTCGGAAGCCGTCAGTCGCCAGCTTACTGCACTTTGAGCGGTGGTCGCCCACAAGCCGGAAGCAACCATTAGGCGCCAAGTCATGAAGCCGAAAGACCCGCTGCTATGGAGTCATTTAGTGGACCTGTTGCAGTTGCGGACAGAGCAACTACATCGGAGATACTGGGGATTTCTCCGGACGCGCATGTCTGAACGCGCAGTGGCGGTGAGAATGAGAGATACTGGCCCTCAAGTGTCGATTCATTCCATGGATAATAAACTTCTTGTTGCATTGGTCACATCCTCTTCTTTAACACAGCCCTCTAGTTTGGTTGAAAATAACAAATAATTTAATTTACTAGTGCAGATTGGATTAATACGCAGTTTTATTACAAATAAGCATATTGAGCCTTAAAGTCGGGCGAGTTACTGAAAACACAATTGTTTATAATTCAGTATTGAAGAGAAATGAGTTTAGGGACCTTCCGAAATGAAGCGGACGGAGTGATGGGACGGGCGTTAGCTCTGCCCGCTACTAAACCGCTTGACTAATAGGTCGGATATGGAAATATGGACCAGGAACCCAACTCAACATTACAGGCGGTACCGATTCCATGTCGTGAGTTTAACCCTAACCCCAAATTGATGAAATGTGCGATGGTGCAGAGGGGATAGAATTTGTTGATAGCGTAATCTAATTGAGAAGAGAGCTTGGCGTTGAACATTGCATGCTGGTTTGAGTTGAATTTTAAATGAGTATACTTAGCTGCCTTTTTTAAATGTTTTTCCATAAATACTACAACATATCTTTTGATTACGAATGCCCATTTTATCCTCCTAATGTCAAATTCCCGTAATGCATGAGCGAGGATAAATGCCACGCCCGCCAGTTTTTTTTCGGGAAACGGTTTAAATTAGCAGCTTCATATTTGCATTCTTAGACGCGGGTGCCTCACACCCTTTTGCGTCTGTTCAAATGAAAATCCCGGTATTTGAGCTGACATATGAGTCTAAGGTCTTGCGTCCATGAGAGATAAAAATCACTGTTCCACACTTTTGACCAGAACTTCTCGTCTTCTGGATTTATTTTTTTGAATCGAAGTGTGAGACTATTTGAGAATATTAAAGTAACACAACTATCCTACTTTTACATAAAAAAACGAATCTCCAGTTGACGACCTGTGCCTTTATCATATCTGATAAACCGATCAAATGCACTTTTTGGCAGAAAACGTCATGAGAACAACCGTGCGTTGATGTGTTCTTTCAGGAAATAAACATATTCCCGAACGAACCTAATACCTACCCTACCTCCTTTATTTTTTTCAAAACCTGAAGTGTAAACCGTGTGCTTGCCATCTCGAACATAGTTCACAGCTGCGGAGGTTCATAAAACAGGCATAGTTTATACTTTTGGCGTATAAACGGACAGTCACTAGAGTGAATTTGGTGACATACACGGCAACACCCTGGAATTAGGTGTCTCAAAAAACCTGTTCTTTTCACGCACTCGTATTGGCCCACAGTAGGGTTTAAACACAAATAAAAGTCGACTTGAAAGTCCTTCAGACTGTCCGCTATGCACGAACGCTAAACGTATCCATTGGCCTTTAAAGGCAGAGCAAAACGCCTCCAAGTAAGTTGTAGTCTGTGCCTTATTGTTAGCATATTACCAGTGTAAACGAACTACATTTAGAGGAAATCTTCACTTTTTCCTGCAAACAAACTGCGGCCTTTGTATTTGCTTCAATTAAATCAAATTTTAATCGAATTAGCAGGTCTGTGGTTATATAAACTTAAAATTAATGCTTTGCTTATGTCTGTTATTTCGAGAACATTTATGTAGAATTAATCTTAAATGCTAGGCGACTACGACAATTACTGATTTTTCTAAATATTAGTCAGGCTTTCTCACCTTTTTACTTTGTTTTCCATCAACAGACACGTAGGACAAGCAGATTAACGTAAAATGTGGCGACGTATGTAGTCGCCCTGTGACCATAAAGCCACATCTAAACGCAGGAAATAAAACAGATTCCCTTATTTCCTTAAATTGTATAAAAATGTTGAGGCAAATATTCACACCAACCGTCGAAGGATTAACCTACGCAACTCGGATACGATATTTTCAAATCAATAACTGAAATGAATAGGAACCTTGCGTGCTTCTTTTTTTGCAAAAGTAGGGTGGTTTTTGAGGTTAAATGTTGGTTGGAATTGAATAAAACACAAATGTTTACTAATTCCTCTCGAATTTTTTAAAATAATCGTACGTGATGGTCTCACAAACCAAGCAAATGTTCCAAAACTATAAGCAAATATAGCGTCATCTGGGTAACATTTTCACCACTTGGCTTGCGCCCGGATATGGGTAATATGATGAACGAAGGACTCTTTTGGGATATTTGGTCATGCAAATCTTAGTTTTCCTTAGGAAAATCAGTTTGACTGTCACCGTTACTACAACTACCGGTAAGGATCGAGTGAAGCCCCCCAAGCACCTGTGGCATACAAAGAATACATACTATACTTATTTAAGTGGGTTTTTAGTCTGACACGATTATTTCGGTCAAGCGTGAAGCTCTGACCTCGACGAATGTCCAGATGAAAGGATAGAAATGGTCATAAGTGTTCACGTTCGTATGGAATAACTTATGATCGGCCCTTAGTTTTTAAGCAGTGGGAACACACGGGGGCCAGATCAGTGTGCGGCACGCGCTATTGAGCTGCGCGCTCATAACAAATTCCATACATTGAAAGTGTGACGACATACATAGGTGCAGGCTCGCGGAGCGCCAACCGCTTGTACCTTCTCCTGCCTTCGGTCCTGACGCAGGGTCTGGGGGTGAAAATGGAGAGACTGCAGTAGGTGCCACGCAGTCTCTAATGAATATTAGACCAATTCACGCACAAGTCCCTCTCCCTCCAAACAAACTGCTGTTGGGCACGCGGTATACACCGTCGGTAACGACGGTCGAGCTGTCGTGAATGGAACATAAAAGATTAAAACTAACCAGGCGTCGACACTATTTCGAGACTGTTTTCAGTCGTTTCCGTCCTAGAATTGAGCCCTACTTTGGCCTTGCATCACGCATTGACAGGCATTTTAAGAGGTCTGTTTATCAATGTCTGTGTTTATTACCTGCTTGGCTGTGGCTTTCGTGTTTTGGTGAAAAACATCACCTGATCAGCAGTCAATGAAAACAGCTTAACCTAAACAGGAAACGGCGTTCTGGAGATATGTGAAAGACAAAAGGAAATGTGCATTTGATTGAGGGCACACGCAAACAAAGCCCCGTTTCTGTGTCTGAAACTGTTTTAAAATGGAGATTCGGGGAATTTATTTCAGTAAATTTGCGTCACGTGGGGCGGCGCTCACTTGACTGCGCGAAGCAATGGGTTCATTCGATTTTTCTTTGACGCTACCATCTTCAACACCATAAACGTGAAGTTTATTTCTCGTCCCGAAATCAACGTACATCAGCTATGTCATGTTCATGATATCCTGAATACTTTAGAATGCACCAGACTGCGTGTTAACCTCTAACTCTAGCGATAAGAAGTTGATTGGGATGAAAACCTAACGCATAGTTAGAGCCTTGCGTATTCTGAATTGAGATTAAAATGTGGTTGGCCGATAACGCTGAGTGGACGAGACACTTGACACCACTGAATCTGCTTTCCGACAAACTAGGTTGTATTCTTGATGCATTTGATTTGCTATAAGAATTTTCTACTTAATGAAAGACCAGCAGTCAGTCAGTTACCGTCAGAACCTGCCGATGGGAAACAGTGAAACAACCATTGGCGACTTGATACTTCAATTACATTTTACTGATACATACATTTTAGTTCGTTTGCTTAAGAAACGAAAAGAGGGGATTTAATTTGTTTCGCGTACAGTAAGTTGATGCCCGTTGGCTAATGCAAGGCCTATAGGTGATTACATTTTATTTAGTGAATCGTGGTTTTGACTTTACAACGCATGACTATATTTTTCTTACTGTATTATGAGTTTAAAATATCTCTAGTTTACGGGAAACCCATTGGCCTGGAAAGGCAGGTCTGGGCCGTCACTGAGATTGGCTATAACATAAATGTTTCGGTGGGTTCTGTGAAACTGTTTTACGACTGCGATGAGAAATTCCATTTAAACATTACCAATTCAAGTTTGCCTTCCGCAAAACTAAAGGCGTTTCCGATGCCTTCACTAAGGATGGCAAACTTATTAACACAAACATAAAACACATTCTTCGAGTTGAACCATATCTGCGCAAAATTCTATTAACGTGCGTCTTTAAAATGACATTTGGTATCCAGTTCCTCGTAGAGAAGTAAGGAAATTTTCCGCGCGTTACCACTAGAACACGTGTCCGTATCGCTTTGAATTAGAAATCGCTGTGTTATTACAGAGTAAGCATTTGGTAGGGATTAGTTATTGAAAATAAAACCTCTAGATGCACCAACATAACGTAAAAGACAATAGTGGATTTAGAACGTCCTACTTGTTCACCGAAGGTATGACCTAATGCATAATTTCTATTCTTATAGGACGCATGGATCCGCGCAAGCTGGGGAAGATCAAAGGCCTTTTACTGGTGTTCATACTTCTTCCACTATCTCACGGCAGCGCAACAAATGAAGACAAAAATCAGACGTCTGAATCTGACAGAAGCGGTTTGAAAAGAAGTTCTCGAGCTGCTGTGCCCATCCAAGCTATCCGATGGCCTGGTGGCGTCGTACCCTACATAATCGACAGGCAGTTATTCAGTAAGCCTTAACGGTCGTCATTTCAATTTTCGTGAAAGCGTCTGTCAGCAATAATGCACATGTGAAAATGCATGTGAAAATGAATGCGTAAGTGGTCTGTTTATTTTTGCGCACGACCAGACCATTTTAACTGCCGGAATGTTTATATGATAATTTTGGAGAAGGTGTGCGACGTTTAGTGCAATTTCGTCTTACCTTCTTTAAGACAGAAATGTGGAATATGCGCAAATTTTTCGAATATATCTACTTGAAATATGCAATTAACTCAAAATTCACTTCCCGATGTTCTTACAATTTTCACTTAACTAGCATACGTTAGTAAATGTAGAATGGACGTACGGTGTTTTACTTATAATTAATACAGCCCATATCTTTCATAACTTTTATAATTGCTGTGTGTGCTGCAATAGCTAAGCACAAACAATTGGGCACTCATCTTTGGGCAATTTTACGACGGTTGTAAACGGACCGAAATAATCGGTAGTAAGTTTCCGGCAAACAAATATCTGCGCATGCCTCTGCAGCAGCTGCGTATTTCGTGAATCGTTCGGCAAAATTGTTAAAAGATATCTTTTGGTAAGGAAATATTGCCTAAGTGGAGTTTGCCTAATGACTAATATGCGGCATAATTCAAAGGTATTTTAGTCAGATTAGGACGCGGAATTCTGAGTGCGTTTCCTTCTGGTTTCCCGTAAGGACCGCACTTGATGGAAATGACTACTTAATTAGCATAATTTGATTCTTTTACTCTTGGCGTCCTCATTAGGCCAAGCATATATTATAGAAAAATGCACAAACTATCTATTTTTAATTTATTTGGCAGTTGGGTAATATGCGGTTTGGAAGCCACACCAGATGGACACAATACTGTCGAAAATGGGGCTAAGGGTTAGGGTACGGGGCTATGGGTTATGGCTAGGGGCTATGCTTCAGGATTAGGGGTCAGAGGGTGAGAGGTTAGGGTTAGGGGCTAGTGCAACTGTTTCTAAACCAATCAAAGTAAAACCGTGCATTCTCAATAGCTATTTCTTTGCGTACAATTAATTGACCTCGTCGCCTGTGCGTTCCCCGGTCCCACCTGTATCATCCCCTATTACCACCGGTCCCGCATTAGAGCTGACAGGGGTTTGTTTACTACAGGTGGGGATACAAAACCACGCTCGACCGACAGTTGTTTGCGTCTCGTCCAGATATTGTAACCGACCACGGTTAATTTTGATCTTTCGGAGATACTTTTTAATTTCCAAGTAATTTCAACCCCGCCTGCCGTTAGACTTGTGTTCAGGGGTTCCAAACTCTTAGATATAACTTTCCACGCAAAACACTTATGATATATAAGATTCATTAAATTATGCAATGTGTATGAAGTAAATTGCATTCTTCATAGTAGGCACTAATAAACGAACAAAAAGCATGCTATTTTTATTAGCCATTTTGTGAGCTCATACTAATACTTATTATAAAATATTGTAACTAAAAGTTACCGTTCCTTCCCGCACAAAATTCTGGGGAAAACGTCCTTTAGTACTACATAAGTACACTGGAGGGTAGTTTTAGATGTGATTCCCGTAAAATATTTCGGAATTATTGTTTGACGAATATATCATAGTATGAGGTTATATGCAAATAGATACAGATTTAGAAATTGTGACCAAAATTTCATTTCAGTGCTTCTTTATTTCAAAGTAATCAAAATTAGCAATATGTTATTTACAATAATATAACATGAGTGAGATTTCTGCAAATCCTTCCAAAAGTAGCTGATTTTGTAAAGGCACAACAATGGCAATTTTATATGTCCACAACTTTGACGAATATCTTTTTTAGGATCTTAGTAAATCACTAGAAAGACCTGACAGGAGACAATCGGACAATTGATTCTAGATAGGACTCCATGGTTGGCAATATAAAACGCTCTCTTTTAAATGATCTTTTCGTACGAAAAGCAACATAACGAGACGAAACCGATAAATTGCAGACTTTTGTTTTAATTTAAAGATAGTTTTGGTGCGATGTCTGTTTTCAGCAAAAAGTGAACTCGACGATCTCATGGAAGCTATAAAAACGTGGAATGATGAAACATGTATGCAGTTTCGACCGTACAGAAATGGGGATAAGAACTGGATCAGGATCACGGATGGAGAAGGGTGGGTAATGTCATTTGAGTTTATTCGAATGAGTGTGTCAAATCATTCTGCAAGAATAACTTGACATAAATTGACAAGGGGTCTTATTAACCCTAAAGGTCCCGATAAACGACTGTTGGCTCCACTTTATTTGAAAATGATCAGGACATGTTACGTTTTTGATAAATACTGAATGGTGTAAGAAAGAAAATTATCGCATGCTGCCAAGCCGGTGTGGATGTTTGACACTGACGGCTCAACCGTCGACTCCGACGATTTCGTTCATGTACGACACAGCAAGGTGGGAGCAAGAGGGGGTGGTTTACACATGGAATAGTTTATAGTGAGAGTAGACTTGCGCCGCGTTAACCGAACTCTCACCTTCTCTCCCACGTGGGCCTAGTGTCACAGAAGAGTCAAGAAGTCCGGGATCAGGAGAGGACGCGGGGATTGACCCGACATGAACCCGAAATTTGGCGTGTCACCACGAAAACTTCGTCAGTCCCTTGTGCATGAAACACCCGTATCTGCTTTCATCTGTGAGGATGGTTTCGAGCAGGTATCCGGAACGTCGGGTGAATAAAGCCCTTGTCCCAGCGACCCTGTCTCGTTCTTCACGACTGCATCCTGGGACTCGTCTCTTCGCTTCAATTGGAATTCTATGATTATGTTCGACAAGAAGAGATGCCAATCACTAAAGTAATTTATAAAAATTCAAAGATTGCTCAAATAGTTGCGATTTGTAACAGTGGAGTGTAACATATTCATTCTTGGCAAGCTGAATAATATGTCTATTCACAGACCTCTTCGCCTACATAACCTATCAATGAAGGGCATAAAGCGACAGTATCAATAGCGATTTTAAATTTGGTCGTTTGTGGGCAAATTTATACAAATTCCAAGTCTGCCATATGTGAACGACTGTAATATTTTTCTACCTGAATTCTGTATATAACTCCTTTCGCTTGAAGAGACTAATTATTTCGCCCGTTTTCAATAGCTCTCTTTTAAAATGTCACCGCTTATATCAGTCGTCTTTACTATTTCTGTTAAACTTATAAATATTATTTGTTCTTTGCTGACGACGACAACTGAAGGCGAATTCTTTTTTCGATTTTCTGTAGGAATCTGAGACTCTTGTTTTATTCCAACACATGTTTATACGGATACTGAACAATGCCGCATTTAGAAACAACCTCCCATGTCGACTGACGTACTTATCCGCATATAAAATCTGAAAAGGCGTGCAATGTGTGGGGCATAGTAGAGAAAAAAATCAAAGCAGACTGCTGTCATGATTTCAGAAAACGCAGCAGCTTAAGAAACAAAAAAATCTCAGTTTGCATCCAATGACTGTCATTTCATGTATACAAAGGAGTTATGTCCTTCTTAAACAACTTGTCGCATGGAAATACGTTTAAATCCGTTCTAGTGAGGAATGGTGTCAGTCTACGGGCCCATGTTAAATTGCCTTAGAATATAATTGAGTCATTCTACCCCAAACACAGACTAACGCGAATGGTAGCGAAAAAAATGATATTATCTTGCGCAGAAGACAGTGGCATTCCGACTGAATTTCATCTGTAGGACTCAATGGTACATAAATGGTGTTTAGTTTTGTTTGATACTTTTGATAGAGAGGCGGGCATTTCTAGCAAAAGCCAACAGACTAATGCGAACCCCCACCAATTCCATCTTAGCCTAGGTCCGAGAAACCCTTAAGTCTCTTAGCAGAAGTAATTTGGCGCAAATTCCTGTAACAACACAGTCGTCGCATTAAGAATGTTTTTTGCAAAGTTTCAAACGGTTTTTCGGCTATCTTTAGTGTCATTCGTTTAGTAAGACTAAAGAAGCATGAGGAATACCTTAAACAGGGAATAGAATAGTTACTCGGCAAAGCTCGGAACCGCGGCCTTACTGGAAAATGGGAAGTTGGTGCACCTCTAATACCCCAAACTTAGTAATAGGGGTTTTATGGATGGGGCTAGGGGGAAACACCGAAATATGTGCGAAAACTAAGAGAAAAACTGGGACATTAATGGTAACTGTGCTAGTTTGATTAAACGAGTACTAGAATCTCAGCGTGAGCAGCGCGAGATACGAAAACTCGCTGTAAGAATCCATTAAAAAGCAACTCCAATAAGAGTAATGATAACTGGCCTCTCAATGTAACTGATATTAAACCGCCCAAGTAGGTAACTAGTAAGACGGAGGCTATACATGAAAGTTGCAGAAAAAGGGAAAGAAACTGACACTAAACTCTATCTCCAATTATTGTAGACTGGACACTCAGTCGGACTTAAAAAGAAAGCTTAATTCTAACGGTAAGACAAAATTGAGTAAGCAATCGCCGATCGCAACGGTAAACAATCAATCTAACTCCAAACTGAACACGAACAACTTCTCCTAGCCCGCAACATAGCGCAAACCTTAGTCCTAAACCTAACCCATATCTTCCAGCCCCAATCATAACCCTAGTCGCCTAACAACGAACCCCCAAGCCCAATCCTAAGCATGGGTGTACAAACTGTAGCACAATTACTGGAGTTAATACAAGTAGTAAAGCAATGGATTGTTGGCCAAAGCAGGCTGCATTTCCGAGGCTCACAAATTGCTATTCAAATGCACTGAATGTCATAACATATACAGTCAGTTTCCCAAAAATGCGGCCAGTTGAACTCGGTCAGTCTATTGACATGACTGCTCGTCCGACGCAATACGACAATGTCTACGTGTGCCCCACAGCAAGGTGAAGTAAGCACGGTGACTTGCGTGTGAATCAGTTTATAGTGAATGTAGACTTGCGCAACATCCGCAGCACTCTTTTCTCCTCCCGCACCTGGAAACGGTGTTGTGACAGAGTCATGAGGACCGAAGACCGGGAATGGCGTACAACTCTACACCTCCTTGTTCAAAACAAATACTAAACCAGGATTTTGACCAGTAAAAACAACAGCGGAAAAAACGTGGATGACCGAGCAGTCATACACACGACCTGCTTACCCAGTGGGTGTGCAAGCGCATGTCTCAGCAGGGAACCAGGTACCAGAGAACTTCCAGCGCACACCAGGCTGGTAACATGCAGACACGACCAAACCCAGGCATCGGCTTCACTGTATTTTCACAGATGGGGTAGGCATGAAAACACATTATTCTGCGAGGTTCGGATTAGACTTAATGCCAAACTTCTGTAATTTAGGCGATTTTGCTAGCAACAGTCACAAAACATATTCCAAATATAAATGTACACAAATATTTCATTTTCCAGTCGGTATGTGTTGCAGCAGACCCCAAAGAGTATATTATTGACTGATTTCAAAAGTGTCTGTAAACAGAAAATATTGTCTGACCTACTTTGTACTACTTCGAACTATGGAATTAATCTCGAATCCCACTGATTCCGCTGATGATCCATTGGAACTTTACTCAGAAAATTGCGTTATGCTATACCAAGAAACCGCGCATGCTAAGAACCAGGTTACTTGCCATTATTTTTCCCGGATATGAAATTACAGTTATTCTCCACAAAAAGGAGAAACTTAAAGTTCCGTATTAAAGCCATTTCCTGGGCACTTTCATCTGCATAAACCTGACATTCGAAGCTTCACAGTATTTCGTTATTGAAAAATTAGATAGTAAATTGACGTTTTGTAGAACAACCTGCGTTTTAAATCATTTTAATACGATGTGAAAAACGATGTCAAACTTGGTATGTACCATTATGAGACAAGAGGTCGCGTATGTAGACGATGGGGACGAATCGTTGTTTGCTTACATAAAGTAGGTGGGCTAAATCTAGAAATGTCAACCGAAATTCTTAAATATGTTTTCGTCTCGAATAAATTAAATAAGTAGGATTCATATTGACCCAACTTTAAAAAACTCGCCGCATCGGTGGAATTGGAACCCTCGCAGTAAGGGGGAGGCTTTAGTACAGCCAACGCTCTAACCACCTGAGCTACGTGGCCCCGCCGGACGACGCGAGTTTAATCACATTTGGGTCAAGTTATCCGCCCAACCTACTGCAACGTCTGGAATCCACCAAATCTGATACAGTAATTTGACTGCCCAAGCAGGATTTCCTAAGTAATTCACCTAGAATCGACCAGATGACTACTAGGCTCACGTAATTCATTGAGTAATTCCATAAGTAGGATTGTAAAATCAATAAACGAGCAGCATAATTCTATAATAATTCTTTAGTAATACTGTAGTTATTCTGTGATTCAATTACCTCAGGATGCCGGCTTTCGAAAGAACTTCTTTCCACCTGCATACATAAACAGTACATTGCAGAAAACGCCTACTTCAGTAGCATGCAATTTTCTCATTGATTTTCGATGCTCTTAAATATTCAATTATATTTAATGGAAAACATGAAGACAAATATTGATTCCCTTACTAATTGTGTAAAACATAACTTCTTCCAATTATATACTTAGATGAAGAATATAGTTCTGTTTTAAAAACGATTACATTTGTGAGATTTTTCAATACTGTGAAATGGCCTTTTTATAAAATGTCCTGTCTCAATATTTGCCAATGTGGCTTTTAAAGTTAACAATATGGCTCAATTCCACTGCTAAATTTTATGAACCCCAAGTAGTCTCCTCTTAATACCGTAGAGAAATGCATGGTTTTCCGTACGCGGAAAATATACGGCTTGTAGTTTGGAAACCCTGAATGCAAGTGTAACGGCAGATCGGGTTCAAAACTATTCGGGGATGTGAAAAGATTTTGAAAACTAAATCATGCCCTTTGTTTGGACATAAAATTGAAAAAAGGCGCACTTTTCTACCGAATGAGTAGAAGAATAAATATCTTTATGCATGTTTTCCATGAAATATAATTGAATTTATAAGGGCATCGAAAATCAATGAGACAAAAGCATGCCATTTAAGTAACCAGTTTTTACAAAGTATCCTTTTTGTATGCCACCGGAAAAAAGTTTATTCGAAAGCCGGCATCCTGAGGCAAATGACTTATTATTGAATGATGCTGCACGATGATTAGTTTTATAACGTTACCCTAAACAAAAGCGCATTTCTGAATTTCGGTTGACATTTCAGGAGTTAGCCGACCTACTGTATAATTTTAAGCACCCACTACAGATGCATTTAAATGGTGTTTTTCGTGTTATTTTTTAGCTGCAACTCTCAATTTATTGGATTCAGTGGAAGAAACGGCGAACAAATCATAAATTTCTCAAAGCATGGATGTAGATATGTAAGTGAAATTGCGGGGTTTTCGAAGTTTTCCAGTTTTCCACAGTTGAGTCAATATGAATTGTTGAAAATCTGCCAAAAACATCTACGAATTACGTGGGCCTAGTAATTATCTGGTGGATTCCGGGTGAAGTATTTAGGAGATCCTGCTTGGGCAGCCAACTGAATGCATCATATTTCGTGGATTCCAGACTTGGCAGTAGGTTAGGTGGGTAACTTGACCCGAATCTAATTAAACGCGCGTCACCCGGCAGAACCTTGTAGCTCAGGTGATTAGAGCGTTGGCTTTACTAAAGCCTTCACCTTACTGTCGTGGGTTCGAATCCCACCGAGGAGCTGATTTTTTCACAGCTGAAAGTTGGAAGGATCTTAGATAAAGAAAATATATTAGTTATAATTAGCTTGACAACAAACTCTTAATATAACGTCTCCAATTGCAGTACGTCGCCAATGCATCCGTTAAAGGACTCTAACCCCCTTTTCTCTGATGTTGGCGCACCGCGACGGTCGTCACGCATCAACAAGCGCCAGCTGGGAAATATACAATACCCAAGGTAGTCGTTAATGAAAGCCGCATCACAGATGAAGATTAGTCTACTACTTTAGCAAGAGCCCTATCAAGCACTAAATAATTCGAAGTTTACATGACAACTGATTTTTTGGGAAAGCTACATTATATAATCCTACAACATAAATCTGAACAAAGCCTAACCGTCCTTCTCAAACTGTTCTGCGCAGGGTTCGGACGAAAAAACTTATCGAAATCAGTCGAAATTTCTGAACAACTTCTACTTAAAATGCATCTAACGATACTGCGGAGGAAATGTCAAACGGGAACTCTGGAGACTGATTAATGAGCGCCTGCCTGCGAAGCGTTACTGTGACTAAGTTGCTAACGGTCTTTTCATGTAAGTGTAAAAAATACTGCACGACAGGGATAATTTGAGGACCCAAATCAAGTGTTTTGGAACCCGTTAAGATTCCTGGGAAACGCTTGTAAAGGTTTATCGGAATTACTGATCTGCTTCAAAACGGCAGGAATCAGTTTCAGGAGCAACCAAACGCAAGAGTTCGTAACAAAGATGTAATAACGAATGACCGAAGTGCTTCGGAACAGACTTGCCAGCGTCTGCATGCACTGAACATGTTAGTGGTGTTAATCTACGATTAAGCCCTAACTGGTTTCATTGGAGACCTTCCTATCAATAGCAGTATCAGCACGACCACTTAACCATCCTACATACAGTTCTACCCCTTTAAGCATAATGAGACGTCCCTTGTTTAATTTTTAAAGAAAATTAGGGCGCGAACTGGAGAAAATTCTTCGAAAGAGACCTATTCAGGCACGACTTGCTTACGCGCTGACCGCTCAAAGAGGTTCGCGTGTGTCATGCATAGACGCCTTAAATGCGACCTTAGCAGTCACATTCATTGAGACAGACAAAATACGCTAGCAGTGTCGACACAGTGCCAGACTACTTCCACTGCGACCGTACATGTGTTTCGCCCGTTCTTTTGGTCGAAAACCCCTCCAATTCATGCCAGCACAACTAAAGAGCTACTGATGCGGCCAAATCTCTTAAACAACGCCTAGTAACGGGCAAAACCAAAGGCAGAAAAACGTATTTCTGCCACGACTCAAGTTAATTTGAGCAAAAAACGTGGTAATGTTATGGGGGGAATATCAGCCAGGTAGTGGCAGGTATCGATAAGGCCCTATGAATGATCAGCTATTACATAAGCTTGTCAACCGTTTTGGCATGAAGGGAATGAGAAGTGAAGGAGTGAAACCAGCATTGTGCAATTCGCCACCGGTATAATCTAAATAACGTGAAACTCATCATCGTCACAATCTCCTTATATACCTCTACAACCAGTGCGTCAAATTCTCGCGCTTACGGGTTATGTAGCACTGCCTAGTCACCCCACTAACATGGGTGTCATTTCTAATGGCGGAGCATTAAGCACCAGCCAATTTCAGCAGTCTCCTGGGAGTTAATTATCTCCCCTCAGGGAGACAATGTCTAAGTACATGCGGACAAGGGAGTGAAAAATTCGCCGTAGAAAGCGCTTGTTGCATTCAAGAGTAAGGCTACCATAACTACGCAAACATATTCAGCATTGAATTACAGCTCCATAGCCATAGTGAAGTCACAAATTTTATCAGACAAGTGTGTTCGTTCTCCTTTGATAACCTGGAAACCAGTTAAATGGTCTGAAGAAATTCTTCTCTTACCGTTGCATGCTCTTTCTGTTGACGATATGGAGATGGTCATGCAATGAGCAATTCTCGGTGAAATTTAATGCTGCACTATCTAATAAAACAAAACTTCGGCAACATGACACGACAGATAAACGGACATATGATAGTTTGACCGTCGCAATCCGACAATGTCCACCGTGTGCCCCACAGCAAGGTAAAGTAGGCACGGTGACTTTCACGTGATTTAGTTTATGTTGAATGTAGACTTGCGCAACATCCATCGTACTCTCTTCCCCTCCCCCACCTGGATAGGATGTTGAGACAGAGTCATGAAGACAGGAGACAGGGAAGGGCGCGGGTGGATGACCAGACCCTCACCTAGACGTACCACTCCACAGTCCCTGGTTCACAACCAGGATTTTGACCAGCAAATCAACGGCAGAAGAACGTGGATGACCCAGTAGTCATACACACCACCTGTGTACTCAATGAGTGTGCAAGCGCTTCTACCAGCAGCGAACCAGGTACCGTAGAACTGCCAGTGCACACCAGGCTGCAAGGGTCATGGTTTGTTGATCGTGACATAGCAGCCGCTCCGAAATATTGGAAACTGACTTATACAAATATATGCATTTCTGCGGCGATAGAAATAGGAAGAGAAAGTGAGACTCAGTGCGAAATGCGACCTAAGTATTTGCCACAGAAGTCCTTGTGAAACAGAGGCTGATATTGACAGATCTCAATTTAGATGGAACCACAAAGAAGTCTAATCATTCATCCTCAAGACCAACGCCGTTTCCAAGGCCCACGCGAACGAACGGACCTTTACAAACAAAACCGCCGGGTTCTCGTGCCAGCCAACAGGGAGGCAGCAGAAAATAATGCGCAAAATGACTTGATTGTAATGTGAATCCTGAAGACATGAAACCTGTGACGTGATCCCAACCACGTCAACCTGCGCAATGAGTCCCACGAAGGGCAAGAATGTTCCCACAGTACGTTCGCCTATTTGAGAAAGGAATTCGATACAGCGAACAGACGCATTTTTCGAAAAATATTGATAAAATTCGAACGTTTATGAAAACGACCACGTAGGATGAGGCACCTTAAAAACAAGTGGGCCCGTCTATTGAGGAATGGATTGATATTGGGTGCGGTCATTTTAACGAGCGGAGGAGATCTGAGTTACGTAGACAGCAAAACATTTAAATAAACTCATGTTTTCCGCAGTCCACCTGGACGACTTCTTGCATAAACGAGCAACCATCAACGTTAGCCTTGGAACTATTATTTTAAGAATGTCCACCTCGTCGGAAGCTCGAAAAAGTACGGTGCATAGCCGGTCCCCTGCTGGCAGTACGGATAACTGCCGAAAAATTGGTATTTCTTTGTCTGGGTATCTTTGTTTCAGGGCACATAAACTTACATGAACACCAAATCAACAGCCTCCGGAGTCATCTGAATGGATAAGGACACTAAGAATTTACAATAACGAGAACACCGGAATACGTTTTATAAAAGTCGCAAAAGTCTCAAGGTCTACTCAAATCTTCCTAACGACATTGTGAAGTTTAATCACAGATCGCCTTTCTTCTCACGTCCTATTCTACCGTGAATTTATAATGGCAATGATAATGTCGTGCGCCTAACATCTAGCATCAGCGTCCACGTTGATCAGCAAGTCCTCACATATCCTCGTGTTGGCCAAATTTTCCAAACACCGATTATCAACGCACCTCTGTTAAAATCTGATGACTGTTCTCATCTAACTGCCCGAATGCAATTTAAAGAAAAATACTGAACATCCTTTGTCGGTCTGCACGGGGACTTCTGGCAAAAGTGACGAGATTCCTTTCTCCTCACCTCTTTGCGAGTCTCGTTTTTTTCATTTGCAACATTAATCGCTGGTGTATTTTAATTAATTACTTAGGCAACGGACTGTCAAAGTCGTATTTTGCTTGACTGCAAGGTTGGGATAATGAAGCTATAACCGATGTAATAGAATTTTATTCGTCTGAACTTCCGGTTCCTCCAAAGTCAGCAACACATAATGATTACCTCGTTTTTATCTTCTTCTTTTGAAATTCTTTCTGTAATTCAGCTGTTCACTCAGATCATCGTAAATTGCTTCGGTGGCGGCTACGGTTGGAATAAGAATAAGGATCAGTCATATACCCTAATCCCAACGTTAGTTTAACTTCAGGATTAGGATTTAACGTTTTTGCACACACACACACACACACACAATTTCCATCTCAGGACTCCATTGCCCAGATTGAGTACTACCAGAGCTTCAAATACAAGCTGGGCCCGGTAAACCGTAACGACAGAGAAATTAGTTTGACCGATAATCGATCCTGGTTCTGGGATTACTGATAACATCCTCACGGCCTGTCGCATCATAAAAGTTTCCACCTTTAGACCTTCTAACCAGGTGGGATACCAGCCATAGTGAAAGACAAGCGTAAATGGGCTAAGCAATCGCGGTACTCAATCCGGAAATAGACAATAAAGCGCAACACTTGATCTGCATACTAAATAGACTTTTTTTGTCCAGCACAACTTGAGGAAACTGGTAAGAAGAGATTACTCAAAACTGCAAAATCGGGGCATAGTTGAAATGCTTAAGTCCTTCAGAAACCTTCCGACTGCTGGCGTGTTGTTCATGCCTATGCGCTGTTTTGCTTAAGATTCCGGTTGAGGAATCATAAAAGTCTGCTTTATACGCTTAAAGTTCGCAAGTCTTTTGTTACCATACAAGCTATGGCAAAACTGCCAATTTATTATGTCTGTCATTTAGCAATGTTCGTTCAAGTGAGCTGTCTGCCAGACATAAGAATTTACATCATGATTTGCACCCCCTACTGTTAGGGTACAAAGTCTTAGCCGGAACACCGGCTTCCGATTTAATGTCAGGCAAACCAGTCGCTAACTCAGCCAGTTTACAGTAAAGAACAAAATAGAGATGTCCTCGTTTTACATTTCCCAAGACTACATGCGATTATAATAAAAGTAACTTATTTTTGGCTAATGTGGAAGGAGGGTCTTGGTCGTTAAACGCCTCTTACTTATGCATCAGTTCGTTCAGCCGGCCATACTCTTAACTCATCTTTGCAAGTTTACGTCTTTTATTCTTTTCTTTATCACACTGTAAGTCATTATGCGGTTGCCTTTTCGTGATCTATCGTATAATATTCGGAGTCCACCTGATTTGGGAGGCCATGCAAATGAGCGTTAGCCTGTTACTTGGTGCACTTGCGTCTGTTTTAACCTTCATGTGGGAGAGCAACTTTAGAATAAAGGTCATTTTGGATAGAAATGTTGTCTTTTAAAATACCACAGGCTTAATTAAGAGAATCTTAAACGGGCAACGCCTTTTAAGGTTTCACAGTCATGATAGGAAACTTTATGTATTTGCTTTTGCAACCAAAGCAATTAAATGAACACATAAAAGTTACCCAATATTCCCGTGATATGGGAGTTCATTTTACAATGGGCCTGGGTACTAACACAGGACGAATTATCCAGGAGTTTATAATTTCAACTTCTACTTTCAGTCGCATGTCACTGCTAACCGCTTTGCTTATTTTTTTCCGACTAGTATGGACTTTATTTGCACGAACTGGGACATGTTATTGGCTTGGATCATGAACACATTAGAGCCGACAGAGACAGTTTTGTGGATGTTAGTTTGGAAGGTGTACCAAAAGACTACTGGGGCTTCTACGCAATGAAGAGTCGGGCTGAATTGCGCACCTACGGCACACCCTACGATCTCCAATCAGTTATGCATTATGGACCTGGGGTATGTAAAATGTGCTTAAAACAAAAACTAACATTTGCTGGTTTGGTGGATGCACTTATTAATTACTGCTTATGCTGTCAACATAGTTGTGATCTGGCGAACGTATTTGTGAAAAATAAGATAAGCATGGCCGTCCACCACCATCAACAGAAGCGTAAATGCCGTTTACCAACGCGCACAGACCGAATGTTTCGTTGTTTATTTCCACGCCAGGTCATGTCTCTACGGCACATGAATCTGTGTTTTAAAAGCTGCGTAATTTAATTAGTCGCTCGGATCTCACGTTTATGAGGGTGATCTAGAGATCAGATCTCAGGACCCAGTGCAACAGCAACCTAACAACCCCAACTGTCGCCTCCACAACCGCCTTCATCGTCACCCCTGCACCAACCTATAGGACACTGACAATGACGACGACCTCGCTCACCACTAGTGATGATCACATTCTCGGGGCTCTCAGCCATCGATTACAGCCATTTCTATCATCCCTGCCACAAAGCCTGCGACGACGGCTATGACTACCGCCTCTCCCATTCCCGCCACCGGTGAGAACACTCCCGACGCCTCGTCAACCACTACCCTCACTATCACCGCCCCAACCACCTGCGACGTGTACCCAATCTTCACCTGCTCTCGCTCGATCGCACATTCGTCCCGCACGTTGGTCTGGTCGGTCACTTAGGCACCCATTACACTGTGACCGGCGCACCAGTGCCAGCAGCCCCGACACACATGCCACATCCGTCTCCACTCTTCGCACATTCACTCACCGCACGAGCCTATTCGATAAAATGCGTACCCACGACGGCGGAATTGGCCGCAGTCCTGAAACACCAAGCATATCTTGTGCATGCAACCACTCTCCCATCCCCAGCCCTATTAACTCCCCATCCACCAGCACGGCTACCACCAGCAGCATATTAGCCCCAACCGACTCAGCACCTCCAAACCTATCCTGTTGATACTGCCGCCGCACATACACACCGCGCATTGGTCTGGTGAGTCACTTGCGAGTCCGTCACATGGAAACTGGCGAACCAGCGCCTGCACCATTAACTTACACACACTGCCAGCTTTGGTCTTGCACAATCAGCCATTGCATGGGCCTACTCGGTCACATGCGCCTCTACTAAAATCTATGATAAGTCACCGCCGACTAGACCACATCACAACACCCTTCTCCATCAACACATGCATCATAGGCGAAGACCCCCAACACCACACAACACAGGTAGCTCTCACGTATGTGAGAAGTGTGTTCCTCAGCGTGTCAGTCACATGTGCGATCGTAGCAGTCTATCCCGCCAAGTGAAGTTCCGATATGCGTATGAGGGACCAGGTCCCGCGTATTGCACGCGCAGACGTTGTGCACTTAGCTCTGTCAGCCGCCTCTACCAATCTGAATATTAATTGGTTTACATGCTTGGACAGTCGACTGGTGCATGGGATAATGTAGAGCAAGTGAGATTGACACTCGGCGCATAGTTCTCCACTATAAGCAATCTGGCGCGCTTGTGACTGTCGGTGGCTTTGAAGACTACCAAATGACGGAGAACTCGGTCCTCCCAGGAGGACGGTGAGTCAGGCTGCAATGGGTCCTTCCTAAAGTGATCATTATGACGTTCCCACTCATTTGGGATCTGAGCCGTCCCATTGCCTTGCTGTGTGAAGTTCTGGTCATTTGTACGTTGTGCTTCAGAGGGTGTGCTGACTTCGGGTTTTGTGCTAGCTTCGGGTTTTTGTCGTGCCAGCCACCTACGGCCTCTCCCGCCTCCGATTTTCTGGACTATGTCATGTCGCCGGCTAAGATGGTTAAGGAGGGAGTGCGGTGGATGCAGCACAAGTCCACAATCACTATAAGCTAATTAACTCGCAGGTCACCGCTGCTGGGTGAACCATACCGTGGAGCACACAGTGGACATAGTCGAAAGTAACAGTCAACTGTTGAGGCCACGCTAAAGAAAGGTGTATATTTGTTTTCTTGACGCTGGTCCGCCAGTCTTAAAAATGCGATGGATTCATAAGGGCATGACCAAGCCGACGCTTAATGCAAATTGTGGCAGCAGTCAGGACAGGATGGGACTGTAGCAGCTGAGCTGTTGTTCTCGCGATTCTCTTAGCGATTTCAACACTGATGGTAATGGGACTAAGGATACGGATAAATGAGGAGTTTTCAGATGCAGGAGGTATGTTTGTCATGATAAAATTGCGGTTAAATCCGCTGTCCCGAATACGCACATGGCCAGTTTGATTCATGCGATGTCTGAAAGTCCTGGGTCATTGCAAAGGGATAAGTCATGTGTCACGGGGGTATGCTGAGGGCACATGATGACATGCCGGATTTACAGGTGCTGGTTCATCAGTTCTGTGCGTTGAATTTGCAAGTGCCCGACCAGACCCATGCATAGCGAGAAAATGTGGTGGCAGCGGTGAGAGGTTGCAAATAAACACACGTTGTTGATGGTTGTAATACTTTGTAGGTCGACAGTGGAGTCCAGATAAATTTTTCTAGTGGTGGTGTTAGTAGTAGTAGTAGTAGTAGTAGTAGTAATAGTAGCAGTAGTAGTAGTAGTATTAGTAGTAGTAGTAGTAGTAGTAATAGTAGTAGTAGTAGTAGTAGTAGTAGTAGTAGTAGTAGTAGTAGTAGTAGTAGTAGTAGTAGTAGTAGTAGTAGTAGTAGTAGTAGTAGTAGTAGTAGTAGTAGTAGTAGTAGTAGTAGTAGTAGTAGTAGTAGTAGTAGTAGTAGTAGTAGTAGTAGCAATGATCCCGGACCGACCGACGTGGCAGAGAACAGCCGCAACAATCTACGAAGCCAACCGCGTCGCTGACGCCAAAGCCAAACCTGAACCTCGCAAATCACAACTGCCCCAGCCTTCCAACGTCAACGCTCAAACGCCTCAAAACCGTCCACGATGTCAGGGGGTGTTTGGGACACGCATTGGTCTTACTGAATATCTTCGGACCCAGCGCATCATCAACTCTTCAACGTGTACTTCTTCTCCCATCTTCCCCTCTGCCGCAAACTCCGCGCCGAACGCCGTCCTCGTCGCCGCCGCCCACATTGTCGCCGCACCCCGCCATCATCCATCGATGCCACTCCTTTGTCCCAAGCGTTACGTCGACCGCAACGACCAGCACCACCAATAACACAGCCACCTCACGCACTCCAACCACCGATGGGTCGACGTCCGACATCTCATCAACTTCAATCTCCATTAATATCCACACATCCGGCGATGTGGACTCGGTCCAGACCTGTCCTCATTGCGATCGCACATTCACCTCACACCTCGGCTTGGCCGGTCACTTGCGAGTCCATCGAACAGAGACTGGCGAACCACTGCCACCGCATAAGCCTATTAGGCCCCATGCGCATTCACAAGGACCTGTAGTAGACAACCTCCGGTCACACCACACCACCACACCTTCCCCCATCAGCACCTGCACCTAACGTCATCACCCACCACAAAACACCCTCCTCCCACGCACTTGGGAAGTGTGTTTCTCGGTTCATTCTTCATGCGGCTCTTCTGTTGTATGTATGATCCGAGTCTGGGACTATCACGGTGCGTCGGCCGCCTGGGCTTGGACGGCTGCTGACTGACGTCCTAACTCAGTCCACGCAGTCTGCCCAGTTGTGTGTGCGTTTGTGTGAAGTGTTGGACTGGTGGTCTGAGAGCCAGGCTGTCACGGCGCCTTCTTAAGCGATGAGTGACACTCACGCACCTGATGAGTGTGTATGTATGCTTTATGGGTAATGCCTCTCAGTTGTCGGGCTTTTAGTTACCCATCCTTGAAGGGCGACTGCCTGCACAAATGCAGGGCCGGATGTCACCCTTATGGGCCTAGGGGTCTGTAAGCGTCTGCTATGCCAGGATCAGCAAACGATGGCCCTCGCAGCCTGGTACGCGCTGGCAGTTCGCTGACACCTGGTTCCCTGCCGGTAGGTGCGCTTGTGCACCCACTGGGTATACAGGTCGTGAACATGGCTGCCCAGTCGTCCTCTTCGTCTTTCTGACCCCTTGTGGTGTTGTTGCTGGTGGTTAAAATCCTAGTCAATTATTTTGTGAACCAGGAGGTGAGGAGTGGAACGCCAAGGTGGGGCTTCAGCTGTGCCATCCATCTACGCTCTCCCCCGCCTCCAGTTTTTTTGGCTCTGTCTTAACACCGGGCCTAGGTGGGAGGGGAGAGAGTGCGGCAGATGCAGCGCAAGTCTGCTATCATTATAAAAGAAATCACGCGCAAATCACCATGCCAGCTTCACCTTGCTGTGAAGCACACGGTGCAGAGCGTTGACAACGACGGTCGAAATTCTCGCAAGAGACGACAACCGCGTGAGCTACTTGAATCATGGTTTACTGGCCCCCAGTCAATTAGCAAGTGCAATGAATTTCCCCTTCCATACTATGTGCTGAAACTTCGCCTAGGCGAAGTAATTAGCCACGCGGGGATCGCACATGTGAACACTTGTCCCAACACTAGGGTCGGTGCGTCAGATGGTCGAGCAATCATCCCACCAACATCCAACGCACGTGATGAAATTGTGGCAATTAACGACGCGAATGTCGGCCATCACACCTCGTGCAACGATCCGTGATGAAGGTGGGAGCCTTAAAAATTCATAGGTATGCGGTAGCATGGCGACTGCATCCTTGTGCATGAATCACCCGTATCTGCTGTTGTCTCTGATGATGGGTTCGAGCAGGAATCCAAAACGTCAGGCCAATAAAGCTTTTGTCCCAGCGTTCGTGTCTCCTTCTTCAATCCTGTACATCTATAGTTCTCTGTTGAGTAAGATACCGCAAAAGTATCAGACGGAGACCGAAGAACACGGAGCCGGCCGAAGACTTTGCTGACTTTTGGAGATCTTACTTGCGATTTCGCCTTCAATCTTAGTATTTCTTGAAGTCATACTGCTAAGGCACGCGAATTAGTCCGCCGCTGTGATATGAGTCTCACCGAGAAATACACGGAGTTTTGTTTGCTTAGCCATTGGTGTTGGTTGGTGCAGAACCACTGTCCTTTCCGTGGTGACGGTCAGGCCGAAAGCGGAACAGCCGGAGGTCCACATTCCACTGCATGTTCTCTCGGTTCTGGTGCTTAGCCGGCGGCCGTTCGCGAACAACATAACGTGAACTTTGTCCATGGATATCCTCGGAAATACTTTCGGGTGACGGATGCTGAGCAGCTTTCCGTCTGTCCGGTAGCTGATGTCGGTCCTCAGTCGATCCTGGTGACAGTCATGTATCAGCACGATTAATAACATGAGACTGAGGAGGGTGGGAGCGAAAACGCATCCCTGCCTTGTCCCACTAATAGTCGCGAACATTTAAACGACTGTCCTGTTGTCCGTGAGGCGAGCAATCATTTCGTCGTGATGTGATCTTAACATGTGAGTCAAACGCTCAAAATATCCTTGTTGCTTGCACGATTTTCCGGGGTTAATCGCGATTAACTGTTTCGAAGGTTTTTGTTGGATTGACGAACCTGTTATATAGTATGGCTTGTATTTCTTACCACTTCTCATCCAGTTGTTCAACCGCAAAATCATTCTTATGTTTCTATAGTATTTCCGAAATCCGAACCGCGTTTCTGAAAGAAGTCCTTTCATCAAACATAAGTCAATGAGGTAGAATACGCGCTCAGACTTTTCCTGTGATGTTGCGACGCGAGAGGCCCTTTGGTTAACGCATAGTTGTTAGTTACCCTTGAGTTTGTAAATGTGCACAATGATCCATCCTTGAAATGCCAGGGAAAGTGGTTTTGTTGCCACATCTCCTGGAATATTGAGGTAAATTTTCCATGAATTGTGGACTTCTGTGCCTTTAGACTTTGACTGGGACTGTGACTGCTACCGGCGCTTTGCCATTTTATAACCGTTGTAATGCTTCGATTGTCTCAAGGAGAGAGAACGGACATCTAAAGTCATCGTTGGTGAGCATTTGAGAAAGTCGGTTGATGGTTTCCTCGCATATCGTCGAAGGGTGGTTGAGAACGCCCTGGAAGTGCGCGGTTGGGCGTTCCAGAATCTGTATCTTCTGCGTCAGGATGATTGCTCCATCCTGGCTCAGCATTCAGAGACCATAGTCCACAATGATGGTAGTGGAGAAATTCTTTATCGCACGACGGTCGACATTCTTGGTATTGTCGAGCCCACCGGTCTCAGTCGTTCATACTCTTTGCTAGACAAATGGCTTTCTTTGCAAAGTGTCTCGATTATCGACACTGCGTGAATTCAAGGCTATTATTGAAATAACTTCCAGTTGGACTCAGTTGTGTCATCTCACTTTACCTTCAAAGTGCTGTGTGGGCGGGAAATTAACAGTGTTTGAAAATTCCGCGACAGAACATGCAGCAGAATCGAAAAATGACGTCACTGGAGACGTAACAAATCCGAGGAGAATGAATTGCTCACCACTTTCAGTGTTCTCATTTGTTAAACCACGACTTCCACCGAATCCCTCTACCGTGGTCTAACAGCCAAATTTATGCCGGTGCTATGTAAAATAAACCTAACACCCTTTTGTTATAACATCTCAGATTGGTTTGAACAGAGACTTTCCTTGATACATGGTTGATAAATTTTGGGCGATTCCATTAAATGCGCACGGTTAATTTAAAAGGAGCACATAAATAGTTAGAATTTTGGGGCTAATTCGACAAACGACATGGCGACTTATTCTAACGACGGTCTAACTCGAAAATTTGTTAAAAATTTAAACTGTAGCTATAACACATGCACCCCGACCTTTGGATAAGGATTTTAAGATTCGAATCGAAAAGTCGACCGGAGTTCATGTTGGTGGTTTCTGCTAACTCGTTCACGCCTTCATCACTTTCTACCTTACTAGTCCTTCTCGACTCACGCCAACAAGTCACCACTCACCGTGAGGGATCCAACCGTTCGGCATATTTTGAGGGAGGTCTATACAAAGGACATTTCGTTCTGGGATGCCAAAGCCCTAAATCAACATTATGAATGTAACAGTATGTTGTTTATTGTTTTGCATCACTTATTGAGACATTGTGACATTTAATTCTTATTGGTTTTTACCGCAAGCGGTAAAAGTGAAATATCTATTCAGATCATGCAAATATATGTCCCATCCCTGCCTAACCCCGCCTAACCCCGCCTAACCCCATCAAAAATGGCGGGGTTAGAGGGGGCTACGAAGGGACTTAGCGGGGCTGTGGCGGGGCATTCTACGCGGCAGCCCCACCTAGCCCCACATTTCCGTCCACTTTTCGCACCCCTTCAAAATATCGACCCGTATTGTGAGTCCCCTGAGGCGCACACACATAATACCTACCGGAGGAAGTTTCAGAGCTCAGTATAGGCATTTCTCGTTCGGGGGATGATTGCCAACTGCTGTTGACGTTGCGGGAACCTCAGACTCAGGCTTTTCAGCGGCCTCATAATATGAATTCGTCTGGTGCTTAATGCGCTTGTATATGGTGATTCGGTGATAGTCACAGTAATTACGCTTCATAATTGCTTTGAACATTCAGTAAAAAACGATAAAAAATTTGTATAAGTATAACACCAAGGCTAAATAGTACAGACTACGTGAACTGACTGGTGAGTAAATAACAAAACAATTAGCGTAAGATACATAAAGTAACTAAGGCAGTTATCACGAGCATGAAAACAGTATTGATTGACGCACGATATTATCCGCGACCCGTGGGCGCAAACGAGTGCTTTTTCCATTATATATAAGCCACTTTTGATAAATTAGCTCCTTTTAATGCCAAAAAAGTACAATGAGCGGTGCTTTTGAAACATAACTTTCGATGCAAATACACTTCAAAATGCTTCAATCCGGAGGGGGCTCCGACACCACATATGAAGGGGCCATGTGCTGGCAGGGATGGTAATATGCGAAAAAGCAGTGTGCTTAGTAAAAAAAAGTAGATGAGTCCCTTCCATACATATTTTAAACGCAATGTTGATGAAGAAGTGTCCACTAGTTTCGATTTCTTTTTATTGTAGTTTTAAACGTGAGTGCGACTACATCACAGAGTATATATATTTTATTTTCGATGACAGATTTGTAACCTAGCTGTTAATTTTCGAAATAGAGGGATGAAGCAAAAACAGAACACAACTGAAAGCCTTTCCAACTAGTTTTTATAAACATAGTAAGAAATACAGAGAAAGGACAAATGAAAAGCCATCTTTTTCAGTAAGCCTTCTGTTCCTTTACCTCTGTGTAACTGATATGTCAGTGTATCTATCCCTGGCTAATATGCCGCTGTTTGCTTTGTCATCCAAAATCTCAGAACGATGCAAAAAGCCACCAGCTTGTTTACCACCAGGCTTTGTTGACAAAAACTGTCAGTGTCAAGTTCCGGCAGGTAAGCCACAAACATTTTCCCGCTTTGGTAGCAAAAAATGACCCGGTACTTTACTTTTAGTCCTTTAAACGGAGTTCACAAAAACGCATTTTTCCTGCACTTGACTGTTTTCTGACATTCGTTTATTCTAAGGTAAAAGGGGGAGAATACTATTACGCATAGTAAAGAGGCGCGGGGTTATAGAGGTTCTGTTGTGGGCACGTCCGGGAACGGAATTATCGTGTCTGGTCGTAAACGAAAAATGGGAAACGGAATCCGGTAGCTGTTTCAGTTACTCTGAGGTCAAGCGAGACGGCGACATAAAGGAGTTGTTCGTCTGACTTTTCTGTTAAGATAAAGGTTTACTTATTGGAACTTTTCTGAAATGTAGGATGAAGATGTGATCCGCTATCATATAAGTACGAAAAATAATATCTTGTTCATTTTTTCTACAAAATATATTTGAACTTACAAGGACGTCAAAATAAGTGGAAAAAATGCAAGCTACTTACGTAGTCGTTCTTCATATAATGCGGCTTTGTAGGCGATTGAAATTAAATGCCTTCAAAAATTGACATCCTGGGGCGTCCGAAAAGTCACGAAACTACGCCGAGAGATAATCAGTATTAAGTAGTCTCTACTAACCAAAAGCGCATCTCAGAACTTTGGCTAACATTTCATGCGATCGGTCACTGACTGCCATCTGCAACTCTGAGGTCCCACTAAGGTCACATATTCATTTTGCGGAGATTTTGTCCGAAACGTTCTATTATTTTAAATAAATGAATAAATTAGATTCTTATCTAGACCAGAACAGAAGAGATGATACATTTATTCAGTAGAAAATACGCATTCATGAAAGACTAGCATCAGAAGCATTCTTCGCAAAATAGCGAATGGTAAGGTATCCAGCTCAGATAACTATCTACCTGAAGGGAACGTCTACGCGTTTTCTTCTACAAAAAATGCTTCGAATAAATTTTTTTGAGAAATGTCTAGGCACCTAAAATGCGTTTTAATAACATTCGCATTACAAAGAATTGACCATTTTGCCCTACATCACTCGTTGACCGTGCGAATTAAGTCAGTAGGTTGCCACTATGCATGCGTCCGCGATATGCTACTTCTAAAATCAAAGCGTTTTGATTGCGATTTTAACTTGAAGAAAGCTACTCCGATAAGTTTTTGCGTGAGACTACTTTTTTATCGTAGGAAAGGTACTGGCGAAGACGGCGAGAGCGCTACTAATTTTCTCCTCTCCCGACTATAGTCTCACGTTTGTCTATGAATAATTCCTACTGTTCGAAATTTTTAGATTAACTTTCGAGAAAAAGCCAAAGAACCAGATAGTACTCATACCAGTTCATGCGGAAGCTCGCGAGGTACACTAGCGCAAGATCAAACTAAACCCTATGTTATTGCCTTTTCCGAAAGAATTAATGTTCTTTTCATCAGAAAATTTTATAACTTCCTCAACTAATACACAATTCGCATTCAAAGTTTTCTCGAAGAGGCGCTGTACCGATCTCTTGAACATAACTGAATGCACAACACTTGAGAACCAACTGGAGTGCTATAGGAACGCCAGTTACATGGCTGTCAAGTGTCGTAACACGTGTGGCTTCTGTTACAAGGAATCGTTTGCACAAATAGGAAAACCAAAGCGAAAGTAAGTCTATGGTGCTTACAAGTTTAGTATGCGATTCTTTGCATCCATGGCATTGTGTAGTGCTTTGGCTATCTGTTGAAAAGTTGCAAATTTACCCCGTAATCAACCTTTTCGGCAAAATCGTTTATATTTAAGTTGAGAGTTGTGACGTGAACACTAAAGTGCCCCAGAAAAGTTTTTATTCCGTCAATTCAGACCGTAACATGTTAAAGTATAAGTGCAAAATTTGATGACATTGGTTGACATTTAGTAACTTTAGAAAGGAGCCGCTAACATTTACGTATAAGTGAGCTAAACTATTAGATTCTTGTCAAGTTTTTGGTAATCGACCATTGTTATAAAACGCCAAATACTTATTTTCCTTCGTCGGTTACTTAAAACGCGAAGTTGCGTTTAAATGCCCCGCCAAGATGCAGACTTCCAAAAGCGTCTGTGCATTGTGTTGCAGAAGGTGAATGATAATTGTCATGTTCCCAGTGTTTCATACCTGTTTTTAAATTAGGTGTGAGAAAGCTTCTACCAACCAACTTCTTTAATGTACTTTAAGAGAGCATCTTGACGGTCTTTGCTTTCAAATAAAAAGTACCAAATCTTGTCAGGTACCACTTTGATGTCAAGCGCATGTTTACAAATTTCCATCTTATTCAATTTTAGCTGCGATGATTTTCACACCAACTGTCCTCTGTGGCAGAAAGCAGAACAGTGCACAAAAAATGCCAAGTACATGCGACTCATGTGTGCCAAGAGCTGTGGTCTCTGCGCTGACCCGACAGAACAAACTATACACAATCTACCAACCTGTAGAGATTCCTACATTTATCCGGAAGACTGCAAAGACTGGGCAGCGAGGGGCGAATGTCAACGAAACCGACTTTGGATGGCTCACAACTGCGCCAAATCCTGTGGTCGATGTACTCAACAGACTACCACGTGAGATTCGTAGCAGTTACTTGTTCGTTTACTTATCCCAGCCGTGACGTCATTTGAAGTCAGCATGGCGCTTCTCTAGTCCGTGGACTCAATTCAAGCAAACGACCACTCAACATTTGTAATTGCTCTGCTAACTAATGCTCTAAACACCATTTTATCGAAGAATGCGCATAACAACCAAACAGAAACTCCTAGTACTGTATGACCGTAAGCAGCAATCGGAAAACTCTGCCGACAACCTTTGCCATATAATTACCTCAACTGAGGTTGTAGACATGCAAGATACGGTTCCGAGAGCTTTTATGGGCAGCTAAACAATCATCGTTTTCTCAGACACAAATGGCGCCCTCACCAGCCTTGAGCGCATGATTAATAAATTAAGAATGAAATCGTTTTAGTTAAGTTTTCCTCAAAATTCTCTTCCCGGCACTCGGACCACCACAAATAACTAGATTCATCGCGCACCCCCTGAAGTGGGCGTAACGCCGGTGAGTTGCGCAGGATTTTGTGTAGTGTGGAGAAGTCTTTACCCAGAAATTAACTGCCAAATTGGCGTAGACCCGTTTTCTCTAGGTCTATTGGCTCATGGATTGTATGGTATTCCCTTACCCTAAATGATCCTACTAGCTGCCTCGCGGCAGTTAATGAATGTTACGCAGTTAATTGCTGTGGATGACGGACGTCCGCCAAAAAACGTATACATAAAAATTTCGTGCTGAGCTTATTGACCTAGGGTAAGCTGATCCAACTAATGTTCGCAGTAAATTTATGCGGAAATTAAAAAGTACAATTTATTGAATTGGAGTATCTACCAGAAAATATGCGAGGAATGCCGGGGAACCACTGATGAGCCGAACCCATCACATCTGTCAGACAAGTTCAGAATATCGGCGAGACACGTGTGTATGGGCATTTGGCCAGTACCTGTGTTTATAGTATGATATGCATTTATCCTAAAACCATCGTCTATCAAATGTAACTAGCGTTTTAAGCAGCCTCCATTTCAAACCGAGTAAATTAAACAACGGACATTAGTGCCTTGCGCAGGATTTAGTTTAGAGTAGAGAAAACTTTCGCAGCGTCTGACGCACTCTCTCCTCTCCCGCCTACCTGGCTCCTGAGAGAGAGCGCTGTCAGGACGAGCGAAGATGGGCTCGAGTGCAGTGACTGGAAAGGCTAAACAGCCCACCTACGACTGTCGAACCCGATCTAGTTTCCACAGAACGTAACAGACTTTCGTGAGGTTAGCCTTGATCTCACATTAGCCACAATGCCATAACGGCCACATCTAGTAGGAACCATAAAAGCCTGACTCTCAGTCCTGAGAGCGACAGTGTAATCTCGTGAGTTAATGTCTTTCCGGCCACGACTCTCTGCACGTCCTAATGGGTCCGAGGGCGTCATAGCTATTGTAGTAAAAAATACGCTGGTGTGACGTGAGGAAGGATTCCCCAGTGTCGGCCTCAGTCATACCTCTCTCGTATGCAGCAGTCCACTTTCCGATTCTGTCAAGCAGCTGGTAATGCAGTTGGGTGTACTGACTGACACGACATGTGGGTCTACGTCTAGTTGTGCTATTACACTTCTTCCTTGTACGTAAGTAATAATGGCTGAGGACGGACTCTGCACAGCCTGATAAGACACGTGTCGTGGACCAGTCTGAGTTCCGCCATGGTCCAACGCATTTACACTGCAGTTACCTTTTCAATAGTAGACATGAAGAACACCGTAAACACAGGATAGATCTCCAGAATAAATGTATTCTTATTCGGGCGGCACAATAACTGTGATTTAAGTCAAAGTGTTTGCGAGTTGACTGAGGGTCTTCTTGATTGAATCTTACTTTTGCCGCATTAACTGATTGTTGCGTTACACCTTTGCAAATTTATTGAGGCCACTGGGCTGTATGAAGAACTTATTCTTAACCAGTTTCCATTTGCTAGCAAATGTTCGTGTTGTGCTAGGTACCTGTGAGTGGACTCAACAATAATCATTATGGTCTTACCATAGACTTGCATCTTTGTTTGTCATAAAGGATGAGCTGCAATAAACCTCTTGCATGTGGTGGGGAAAATGTTTTGTTCATTGAACGTAAATTTCAAATGAGCAGGATGAAAGTGCGCTTTGCCTGATAAACATCATCCCTGAATATTCAGCCAGAATACGGCATAAAATGTGGGCCGTTGGAGTCTTAGTTTCTGAAATTTAGTCTTTTTAGTGTATAAAGTGGAAGTCATTCTGCCTTATTAGTAACTCAACCTGAAATGGCCGTTCTTTGCACTTAATTTGCCTGGCCGGTTCGTGCGCTGCAAGTTAAGCATTCTAATCTTGTCTCTAAGTAAACTCGGCTACTGTTCCTACGGGCGAGTCGGACTACTTGCTCTAGGTGATCGCAACCCACTCCTCTGCGACCCATGTTTGATGCAACCACGAGATTCCAATAAATATCAATGAATGTTTCGGTTGCATCGTCTGCAATGGAACTGTGTCTATGGGTCCTAGACCTACGTACGACAAGGGCTGCTGTGGCCGCAAACAGACTGTCTTATCAAAGTAGTTGTCAAAAAAAGACTTTTGAACGTTCAGACCACCGTTCCGTTGACTGTCGCGTGTCAGTCTGACGTTGGCCCTACTCTCATAAGTGTTTGGACATTTGTTAACGAAGGAGAACTCACTAAACCGACGTTGGTCACATTTTTCTGCTGGGATCCCGCAGTGTATTTTCAATTGTTGAGGCACAAGACTGCGTTTTGTTAGGGGATAACTGGTGTCAATGTTCTGTCTTTGCCTAAAGTTGGCGATTATTCTGCCAACCATCAGATATCTAGATGTTTTGGTTAGAACGGACAAGGACCGGGAATTCGGTCTTCATCAGTTGTAATTCTTCACATGCTCAAGGACTGCATCCGCGAAGACAACTTTTGTCAGTGGCGTTTCAGCGAAAGTACCAAAAATACAAACAACGATTTTGGTCTAGCAGGGAAGTGACTGGCCTGAAAAAGTCATCTAGGTAGCAAAATGTGGTTTGCACGATCACGGTCTTCATGCAGGATCTGGGCTTTTGCGGCCAGTCGGACCTGACCAAACGCAGTTCAGGGTGATCTTCGCAGCTGCCTGAATGATTGCGTTGGTATCCGTTTTGGTGCTGTAGAGTGGTTTTTGCCCTTCTTAGTTAAATACTTCAGCTTATTACCTAAAAACATCCCAACACCTTAATTTAGCCGAAATTTCTCAAGTCACTCTATGGCTTTTTCATGGGATCTGACTTATAGTTTTTATGATTTCGTCTCTCACCGGCAGTTGTTAACGGCTCTGTTTCGCCTGCATTCCCTAACCGGGCAAGGGCTGCTCGTACACAGACACACATGAAACGTCATAGAGTTTAGTATGTTTTCATCTAACTGAACGCTATCTTCTTTTATCACGTGATGCGCTTTTGAGAATACTTTACGCTTTAACAGAAATCACGCACAAGCCATAGTGTCTACTCCCAGCCTTCTGTGAAGCACACGATGGACGTCGTCGAAATAGATGGTTTAACTGTCATGTGTTGTCTGCTTTTTTGAATAAAAGTTCAGTGAATAAGTGAACTTCTGGGACCGCTCCGCAATACACCAGGCCCTTATTGCAGTTCTATTGTATTCTAGACCAGTAGATCATCTGACACCGCCTGAGAACCCAAAAGAGAAGGTGGGTCATTTGACGCGGACGCAGAGGGTTCATGATGAGACGCGTCATTCTGTATCAGAAACCAGAACTTGAAATGGGCCAATTTCCTATGCTGTTATTTGTCCCAATAGCCTAGAAACACTAAATAACTTGAGCCTCTAAGAAGATATCCGCCAAACATATAAGAGGTGTTTGCGTTTACTTTGGGTATCATAGATGCGAAGGTGCTTCTGCGGTAAATATAAACGTAAAATCATTTTTTTCCAAATTCTAGTTCGTAAGTTTGCCTAAGGCGCGTTCTCCTTTTAGAAGCTGTCCCCGGATTTCTATTTGGATTTCGGAGTCGTAAGGGCAAAAAGTCTATCAGAACATCTGATCGTAAGAATAGACGTGAAAACTGTGTCCATTCGACAACTTGGAAGGGCTTTTACAGTTTTCTTTTATTAGTTTTGCATAAACAATAAACTGCTGGATACCTGCCACATTGTTAGAAATCTGTGGTCAACCTGTGGACTTTTGACTGGAAGTTTTACTACGCCTGAATTGCTTCATTTTTTATTCATGCTATATGTATTTTAGTGCGCACTACTTTATTTGCCAGCAGTTCACCTGCATCACGGTTATTGGTCTTGTGTCCCTCACACGCCCTTTTAGGCCTATCCCCGCCACTTCGACGAACATAATAATAGAGAAATGCGAGGACATTTACAAGTCTTCAAGTTGTTTTGCGTGGAAGCAGCGCAATATGTGCAATAGTGCATGGATGAAAAGAAACTGCAAGAGAACCTGCAACTTCTGCCAGATCCGGGGCGCAGAAACTTTGAACCAAACAACGAAAACACGTGAGTCCCTTCTACACGTCTCTGTATTGCATCATGCTGACCCGTGAACAGACGTTCCATTCACACGTAGGGTCTTCGTGTGAAAATATTTTTCTGTTGTGACTTACATATATATACTGAAGCGCCGGTCCACCGGATGGTTTAATGTTTTGAAAACCCACTAAAATTCTCATGTGACCTTAATATACTACAGGGGTAACCGATTGTTTTTGTAAGAAAGATAGTTTTGAGGCCTCTGTGAGCGTTATTAGACAAATTTCTGTTCAAGTAATGGCCAAAAGCCTAATTTTCTTTCCTCAAACGCCAACATAAAGGCCTCTTCTGAACATTCTGAATAGGCATCCTGGCATTCTCCATACGCTTCCTAACTTTGTATTGACCTTTCTTTTATCGAAATACAAGTTTGTATTGTGTCGCACTTACCATGATACATCAGAGGATGTCATAAGTTAATTTTTCTTCAAAGTATGCGAACGGCACTTAGGTATCCCGTTATAAGCTTAAGGAGTAAACAAAGTTTAGGATGTTAGATGTCCACAAATGTTGAGATGATTGACCCCACAACAGACGAGTCAGATCGCCTGAAAACCCACCACACTAAGGCATATCCCACTGATTTAAGAAAACTACGGCTCCCCACACAAGACCATATTCGAATAGATTGTTGTGGTCTCTAACTTCAATAAGGCGCTATATCACTTGAGTCAAACTTTCTACTAATATGATTCGAAAAGTACAAGGGATATAGGCGTGATAAAACATCATGAGACACTATTACGCAGGAAGTTAAGCGAATGAAGAGAACAGTTCAAGCAGCATAATGCAACGATGATAGTAACTGTTTCTCCAGTCTCCAAACGAACACGTCTGTATATGCAGTATCTGCACTGTTGTGGTCTATCAACTTTCTGTACCCACTGGATGTGAAGAGGCTCAACTTCATAGCAGTTCGTATCAATAAACTAACAATTAACTACGCACTGATCTGGGCAAGATATTATCAAAGGGATTCGAACTACCACTAACACGATATCTCTGTTCTATCAAATTAAAACATCGCAGGCCTGGCTTAACCAGCAAATCGATGGAGAACGTGGGCCTCCAACCACTCCTAGACATCTTTCTCAAGCATTTGTCCAAACCCTAAAGAAGACAAATGACAACGCTGTGAGGGTTTTGCCAAGATATTTTGGCAGGTAGTCTACAGTTTTCGGAGGCAAAATATTAAAATCGGACACTTCAACTTTGTATTTATTTACAATGTATTTCTAAAGATAAATTGGCTTTGACATGAAGGATAAAAAATTTTTAGTATGCTTTCTCCAGCAATATTCTGTCGTGTAAGAAAGGTGGGGGTCTTTAATTGCGTAAAAACGAAATCAGTCCTGCGGAATTATAGGCAGAGCGTGTTTTCGGTTTTACCTTAAAGGAGTATAAGACGTTTAATAAGGAGTTTGGTCTTCGGCATTTCGGAACGTATACACTTTTACTTGTGCGGGTTTTAAACTAGCTCATACAAGACCTATTCTTGCAAAAAAGGTTCCCCCTGTTTATTTAGTGTCCACTGTCTGCAAATCAATAGGCCTTAAACAATCGTTGCAAATTCATTCGAAAAATGTCCATTTAAATAGGAAAACGTTATCTTACTTCACGCAAACCCCTCGATTTCCCCAGCCAGGGCAACCGAATCGCCAGAAGTCGTCAGAATGACAACACCCACCAAGGTCTTCTCCAAACCGTACCTGAGTCATAACGTCCGGCACATACAGCCCGTTATCGCCCGTCCCCTCCCCTCGATAGGCGTTTGCGCAAACGGCGACCCCGCGCGCATTTGCCCCTTACATTACAGGGCCTGCGTTACGGTGGAGATATTCCGAAAATGCCCAAACATCTGCGGAAACTGTGGTAAGTTTACAGAAGACGACTCCATTCTGCCCACACTGTTAACCGGGTAAAGGCTACCTATACACTGACGCACGAGAAACCTCTAAAAGAATAGCATGCTTATTATGACTAAATGACCATTTTCTTTAACTACGTAACAGATTTGTACGAATCTTTTCCCGATTTCCCTTAAGAGATAAGAGCTACAGCACAGTTACTTCGTGGTTAATGTATCTTCTTACAGAGAAAGCCAACGCTTGTTCGGTGGTATAACCAACAAATCTGGCCAACCGAAGTCCACAGGCGTTACTAACGAACTTTTTTGTTGGTTCACAGTTCATATCGCGGGAAGCGAAATAGTGGACGTTTATTTTCGGACTAGGCTGATATGCCTTCAAAACATTCTTCCCATGGGTTGGCTCCTTAATGGGAAATTCAAAACTAAGCTAGTTGCAAGCGTATTCTGCCTCGAAGATAAGCACCTGAACGCATTATTTTGAATTTTAGGTTCCTGTGAAGACCGGAGCGAGCGGTGTCAGAACCTGAAGGATCATGGATATTGTACTAGATATCCATTATCGACTATCCCTATATGCAGAAAAACGTGTGGTGCATGTAGTCCCACACTTTAAAGCAAGAGCTTAGGAATTTTGAACTATTTAATTTGTAAAGGAGTAATTTTAACTGATTCCTCGGTATTGGTATTCATATACTCGTCAAAAACCCTCAAGGTGCCGAAATGATGTTTTTGCTTGTTATCAGTGAAATGTCTTTAGTGGATATGAACCTTTAAGATGGCGTTCAGGCACTGAAGGAGAGATGGATAAGGACGTTAAAAAGAATGTTTTGTGCAAGTTGGGTGAGAGTGGGGTGAAAAAGTGCAATAAGAAGCGAGGAGTGGCCAGACCTGGAACAGCTGTCGTCGGTCCACAGTGCGTAGCAGCCGTTGCTGAAGCGATAATAAATATGGGTGACGCCTATCTGATGGGCCATTTGCGACCATTTGTTTACGGTGGTTATGTTAGAAAAACCGGGTGCGTTGGCAGGCGTTGATTGTGCGCGCTAAGGGCAACACAGCTGTCTTCTTTGGGGTGCCATGTTAAGTTAGCTGACCCTCCAATTATAACGGTGAGTGCGTTCAAGGGCCTCATCAAAAACGCTATTTTAAAGGTCCCGTTAACAGGCAGTCAACGTGCGCTCGTTAATTCACGTCCCACCGACGCCGGTCTCTGTAGCAAGCGTACACGCAAGAACAGTTGTTGAATAGCAAGCAGCAAGTAGTATTTCTTGATTGTTATTTTGGGATGTGGCATTTGACTGACGACAATACTGCAAACGGGGAAGGAGTTGGCAAGTAACTAGTGTGATTGCTAGGAAGAGTTAGCTGTAGTATAGTGTTCTCTGGATACTTTCGAACGCAGGCATGATGTACGTCTTCCGATATTCACATCTGCCATTAGGGTTGAGCACTGTTCGCTATGATTTGCGCCTGACATATTCCTCAAAAAGACACGTGGATATCTAGTAAATCGGAATAAATGAGTCACCTTTTTTACAGTTGTCTATCTTTACGACAGTACAAGAAGACGTGGACAAAAAGTATTCTGAAGCAGGGTCTTTAGGAAGCTGTTGGATAGTTCTGACGTTTGTCTCCCAAAACTTTATCTAAGCATTAATGAAATTTGAGTGGTTGAAACCTGACGCTTCTACATTCATTCAGTCTTACAAAAATTGTTGGTTTATTGTCCAGTGCGCAAGGTCCGTTATCAAAAAGAACTCATGGCCCGTCAAAGGGACCGAAATTCGAACATGCGAGGTGCCGTTATCTGTGGGGCCAATAATCGCAAAGGCTGTTAAGGCTCTGCCTTAATGGATGGGCGATCAGAGCATTACCGTGTTGCGGGCGACTAGGTTGGGGATGTCACGCACACAAGTGGGTAGTGTCTCTGGATTATTTCATTTAAAGAGTTATTTACAATGACATCGATAAATATGTTCGCGGGCGCGTATAGAGGACATGGTAGACAAACGATCAAATGCGCATATGAAAGGATAAGGTTACACATGTGAACGGTCCGTACCTAGTGGGGGTGATGCCCATTTATAGTCAAAACAACTACTGAGGACTTTAGCAATGTCGACAGCTATAGAGGGGGATCATGGTAGAGTTCTGGTGGTTGAGAGCGTGGCCGGAGAGAGGGAGTTAGGGAAATGATAGCGGTTGTCAGTTGGGAGCTCCGGATATCCACGTAGACGCCGGATCACACCGACCCCATCTGGATCCTCATGAACGCGTCCCATTAACAATGATTTTGTGATGTTTTACACGCGTATGCCAAGACCTTCGTAACATCCACTCCATGGTGAGGTAGATGCAACTGCGATGGGATGACCATCTGTTGAGGATGGATGTTGAGCGTTTACCCAGACGATCTTCTACGGAGATTTCGCTCTGGGTGCTCACCGACAGGGGGAAAAATAACAATGCCAGAAGGACGCCTTCATGATCTCCCTGAAGAGACTGTATGTCCACCCGGAGATCTGGGGTGTCTTGCCAAAGAAAAGACCGGCCTGGAAAAAAGCAGTGCAGAATGGCGCAGCGATCTACGAAGCAAACCGCATCGTCGCTTTCAAAGCCAAAAGAACGGCTTACAAGTCCCAAGCGCCTCGTACCCACGACGCCAACAGATAACCGCTTCAATATGCCCCCGCCGTCCACGCAAATTTCGGACGCGAATCAGACTCTTCAAATACATTCGGACGCAGTGCTACAACGACCAGGTAACATCAAATTCTCTTTCCACGAACACTCCTACCGTCACGCCTCCCTGACAGTTCGACCATCGGTTTCGATGATGTCCACCGTGTGCCCCACAGTTGCAGCAGCAATGGGAGCATGGACGGTGACTTACGCAGGGGTTAATAGTGCCAGTAGACTTGCATAGCATCTACCTACACTCTCTCCTCCTCCCTCGCCCGAGCCCGGTGTCAAGACAGAGTCCAGAAGACCGGAGACGAGGGAGGCCGCAGGTGGATGGCTCGGACGGATCCTCACCTTGGCGTTCCACCACACCCCCTGGTCCACACAACAATAACCAAGATTTCAACCAACACAACAGAGATTTGGTGGCTGGCACGACCGAAGCCGCACCTAGGCGTACCGCCAACGCCTGGCTCGGATCTCACACTGTGGTGGGAGTGCCATAAAGGCCACATTAAAAAGGAGCCATTGCAGCCTGACTCTCAGACCGCCTCCAGTCAAGGAGGAGGTCCATGTTACCCCGTCAGTTGGTAACCTTCCAAGCCACGGCTTTTAGCGCACCGTGATAGCTTCAAGCGCGTCGGATTGTTTATAGTGAGGAGAAAGTGCGCTGAGTCGTCGACCTCACTCTTCCTTTCCACTCCCACACCCCAGCCGCTGTCCGAGCCGGTCAGCAGACTGGAGTGGGGAACGGGCGCGGTGGCGGTCATGGTCAAATGACCATGACTGCGCGCGCCACGGCACGACCTGGCCCCCCATACACACAACACCAGGATTTCACACAACGGGGGTTGAACGGCGTGTCTCCCACTTGCATGAGAGTGCGGTGGAAGGTGCTGTTTCAGCCCGTCCCCAGCCCACCAGTCCGCCACTCCACACAACACACACACAACGCGACGAACTGCGGAAACCGAGAGTGGGCGTCAATCAGCTACCTTCCTATCCACGACGCTTGACGTGTCGGGATATTCTCGGACTCAAGTCACCCGTGCAGCCGAAGCCGCATGGGGACCGAGTCGAGATGCGGACTTCCCACTTGCGTGGGAGGTGGCAGTTGGGTGCATGAGGTGTGTGAGTGTTGATTTCTGGTGGGGTGATGGTGGTGGTGGAGGAGGAAGGGAGTGAGTGAATGTGTGGTGTGGCCGGCGGTTGTCCACCGCAGGTCGTCGTGGATGCGCATGTGGCCGAATAGGCCCATGCGATGCCTGAAAGTGCGAGGGCAGTGTGGGCAGTTGAGACGAGTGCTCCAGGCACTGGTTCGCCAGTCTCTGTGCGATAGATTCGCAAGTGACCGACCAGGCCGATGCGTGAGTGAATGTACGTGGACAGTGTGGGCATGAGAAGTCGGCGGTGTCAGTGTTAGCTACAGAGGAGGCGGTGGTGGTGGTGGTGGTGGTGGTGGTGGTGGTGGTGGTGGTGGCGCGGACGGATGGAACGAGGGTGGGGGTGTGCACAGTGAATGTGTTGGATGTGGTGGGTGTGTCGGGAGTGCGGTCAAGGCCGCTATCGTGGATGCGCATGTGGCCAAAAAGGCCCATGCGATGCCTTAAGGTGCGAGGGCAGTGTGGGCAGTGGAGGCGAGGGCGGTGGGTGTAGGTTGGTGCTTCACGCACTGGTTCGCCAGTCTCTGTGCGATGGATTCGCAAGTGACCGACCAGGCTGATGTGTGAGATGAAGGTACGGTCGCAGTGAGGGCAGGTGTAGTCCTGATCCTCATCCCTGGAGTCGGGGGAGGTGTTGGTAGTGTCAGTTGATGTACGCGGGACAGTCGCCTTAGCGGCCGCCGTGACCACCCACGTGACAGGTGACCACTCTACCGATGTCCAGCCGTCCTCGAGCGACGGCAGCATTATCATCGACACAAGCCCTGCATCGTTCACAGCAACAAGCTCTACCAACCCTACTCCTCCTCTTATTCCCACTATGGCCGAGACGGCATCCGACGTCCCGTCATCTATTACCTTCACTACCTCCGTCCTCACCACTAGCTTTAGAGACTTGATCTCAACCCGTCCGCAGTGCGGCCGCTCATGCAGCTCAGGCATCGGTCCGGTCAGCCACTTGCGGACGCATCGCACTGAGATCGGTGCACCAGTACCCGGCGCCCGACATGAAATCGCCGCACTCGCTTCAAATGTTCGCGCTGCACGCTCAAATTCCCCTACCGCATGGACCTATTCTCTTACATGCGCATCCGCGAAAACGGAGCTCACTGCAACATCGACACTGAAAACACATCCTGCGTACCCGACAGCGCTCTCATATCCAGCACTAACAACTTCACATCAATCAGCACGACCACGACCAACAGCCCCACCACCCCGACTGATCCTAAGCTCCGAACTTATGCCACCCTCACTGCCACCGCACATGTACACCACACATTGGCCTAGTCGGCCGCTTGCGAATTCACCGCATAGAAACTGGATAACCAGTGCCAGGCGCATCAACATATACAAACTGCACTCACGTCCACTACCCATACTGTGCACGAACATTTCACTCGTCGTATGAACCTATTCGGTCACGTGCGCCTTCGTTAAAAACCGGGATAAATTACCGCAGACACAACCACATCGCCCCCCCCCCCATCAATACATGCATCACACATACACCCCTCCAATGTGCCACATCACTGGCACCTCTTACGTAAGTTGGTAGTATGCTTTTCAGTTCCATTATCCGCGTGGCTCCTCTGTCGCATGTGAGATCTCTGCGTTTTACCCGCTTGTGTGTGTAATTTTGATGCGCATGTTTTGAGGATTATATCGTGCATGTGGCGTGTGCAGATGGGCTCTGCGGCCCTACCAACCACAGCGCCCACTTGCGGCATCAGAAATTTGACCGGGTCGGACAAATGACTGGTGTGTGAGAGTGGGAATAATGAGTCAGCGCACTTTACTCATAAACAGTCTGACTCGTTCTAAGCTATCATGATGCGCTAAAAGCCGTGGCTTGGGAAGCTGCCAATTCACGGGATAACTTGGGCCTCGCGGTCAGCCCAATGTGTGTTTATGTTGAGTGGCAGACTAGTGGCTCCCTAATGTGTCCCCTATGCCATTGCCAATCCGTGGGACCTGAGCCGGGTGTAACGGCACTCCAAGGGCCGGCTTCGACTTTCCCAATCACCTGCGTCGTCTCCCACTCCCGGTCTTGACGTCGGATGCGGGAGGGGGAGGGGGAGAGACTAAGGTAGGTGTCACGAAAATCTACTATCACTATATACTAACTAGCGCGCAAGTCACCGTTCCTGCTCGCACTCTGCTGTGTAGCACACTGTGGGCATCGTTAAAACCGACGGTCGAGCTGTCATCGCCTTCCCAAAAACGATGGAAAGGACGTTAGTGCGGATCTCTGGTACGTCAAAAGCCAAAAAGTCCAACGCCCCTACGACTGACCGACTCGCTCCTAGGGACAGCATGGGTCTGTCCCAAAAAACTGCCTCAGCGCTCGAGAGCTTCCGATACCGACTTATGAATGTTAAAGGTCAGCTAGTAATCGGTTTTTGACATTCATAGTCACTATTCAATCACTGTTTACCAGTTACTACATGTTGAAGTGCTGCCTCGAAAACATCGTCAAGAAAATGCGGATTATTTTGCCATTTACCTGCTATCGGTTGAGCCTGTCTACAGAAACCACGAATAACGTGCTCGGGATGAACCTTTATTTTGGGCTTGTATATAGACGACGCCATTGTTCTCATCAAGAAGCACAAGATCGCGTTAGTCAAGCCTAACTTGAGACTATCATTCCAGTTATGCGCCTTATCATGCGGCACAAGACGGGGTTACTCTTCCTCATAGTTGTACTTTTCAATTACCAATCTGGAAGTGAACTGACGATTTTAGTGGATAAATAATCACTGAACGTCCCGCAAATCCTGCTTGTTAATAACAGTCACCCACTAAATGATGCTGTGCATGCCACCTTATCGGAGCTGGAAATCAAATCCATCATAAGAAGAGTGGGCGTTCACCGGGAGGGGTTTATTTGAGATCCGACGTTTCGGGTAGTTTACTCGCCTACCCATCTTCAGGGACTGGGAGGTCCTGTGCACAGCACTCCTTATTATGGCGCCTATTGTCCAATGCGTGATCCGCCAATGCCGCCTGTGTGGCTGCATCCAACCCGCATGTCACCGTGACCTGAATCGCCCCCGTCGGCCGCGGTGATGACTGACGGCCCCGATTGTCCCGCGCCGTGAATGTCCCCCGCTAAGAAGGTTCGTAAAGTCAGATAAGGGGGAGGCAAATTGATGTGGCGGTTGACAGAGCGGTCGGTGGACATCCAGGCTTCTTGCACTTGCCTTGCTGTGTGATCTGACTTTAAGAACCTTCTTAGCGGGGGACAGTCACGGCGCGGGACAATCGGGGCCGTCAGTCATCACCGCGGCCGACGGGAGCGATTCAGGTCACGGTGACATGCGGGTTGGATGCAGCCACACAGGCGGCATTGGCGGATCACGCATTGGGCAATAGGCGCCATAATAAGGAGTGCTGTGCACAGGACCTCCCAGTCCCTGAAGATGGGTAGACGAGTAAACTACCCGAAACGTCGGATCTCAAATAAACCCCTCCCGGTGAACGCCCACTCTTCTTTTGATATGCCACCTGGGAATCGGATTTTCACTACTATTGATGCAAATCCATCATGTCAGATTCAAGATCTCGCTTCAAAACACACTCAATGTTGAAAAGTTGAAAAGCCAATTTGGCGAACAGGTGTTCTCGGTAACTCATCATCACACCCATACAGTTGCACACAAATTGAAAATATAAGAAGTCAGCAGGGTTTTTAAGTTAATCTGGGGTTGGTAGCACTCATCGTTCCCACGCCGCCCGCATGACGGGTTGACGTGTTATAAGAATTGGGGCAAGGGTGGTGACATAGGCTGTGAGTAATGCTTGTAAGTTATGTACTTGGAGAACCCATCATTGCCATTAGGGAGTTGGGGCGGCGTGCAGAGACTATTTGGGGTCGGCGTTGGCCACGAAATACAGAGAGCCTGTGGGAACAACTTCTGAGAACATAGCATTGGATACACTAGCCGTATAGTTACTTCCTCGGCTGTGGCTGGCACCCGGGTATGTAGGCCTTAGGAGAAGATAGCTGGTGTCCGGTGGACAACTTGAAAAGCTCCTTTGGCATCGACTTGATAATTTGTATCGATAATGTATACAAGAATAGTAGTCTGAGTCGATTTGTTTCCACCCCTAACTAGTCAGGCAGGTGGTTGATCAAGTATTCCCTTTTCCAGGCGTCTCGTTACTCCTGCGGAGCAGGATACATCAGCCGACTTCCCGGTACCAGTGATGAGTGCTACACGTACATGACTTACAAATATTACTCACAGATGATCAGAAGAGGAAGCGACCGATGGAACAAGGTCTTTATGCGCCTGACGTTTGGGTTCTCACTTGAACACATCATCACAGACAGTGGCAGAAAAGTGTGACTCGTGCACAGGAAGTTGCAGTATTTATAGGATGCAGTCGCTATGCTACCGCATACCTGAGGCAATAAAGCGCGCTCCCCTTCATCAAGGACTGTTGCCGGCTGGGGCGCTAATGGCTTGACGGCCGGCATGCAAGTTGTTAATTGCCGAAATGTCATCACCCGTGTTGGATGCTGGCGTGATGATTGCTCGGCCATCTGGCTCACCGGCTTGCGCGCTCTCCGAGTTGTTTGGACGCGACGCGCTCCGATCGGCCCGACGATGGGAAACTTTTCCCCTCCGAGAAGCCTCTACTTATGCGCAGATCCGGTTCCTGCACAGGTGTCTCGATAACAACGTGTTGCCAATATGCGTTTAATAAATGTCCCCGGTAAACACGGAGCTATCGAGACGCGCAGTATTTCAGCACGGAAGACGCATGATCCGCGTGCTCCTTCAAGATTGTCATGCGAGGCTTCTCAAATAGCGTCAGAGAATTGACCAAGAGAAGGCCAGATGCTGAGAGTTCATGGGCGAGAACGGCACAAATCTGCTTCAGCAGAAGGTAACTGAACGAGCTCATGAGCAGAGAGCGACACGCGATGCAGCACTGGGAAACAAATTCCACGGACTGCCTGATCCAACGTCATCCAGAGGCGGCACACTGGTACACAACCTGTCGTCAAAGGAACTGACGAAGGAGCAAGTACAGGTTTTACGGCACAAAGCCTCATTCAACACAGCTGACTCCAAACCTGTCAACATGATTGCAACAGTAAAATCGGTCATTAATCAGACGGAAGCGACGGATGAAACGTAGAACTTTATCCGACACCAAGTGGCGTCCCTCCTTATGACTCTTAAGCCGCGCGAAATACTCCCAAAGGTCGAACGCTTTGCACTAAGAGAACTGAAGGCCGATAAGGACATCGCCATCGTGTACGCGGACAAGGGGCGTTCCACCGTCGTACTGAACAGAACAGACTACCTCCAGAAGGCTAAAACCTACTGAAGGATCGCCAGTTTTATGTCCCCTGTGAAATCAACTCCGTAAAGACGCTGACACGCGAAATTAATGCAACATTGTTGGCACTGGAGAACTCGGGTGCAATACCACCGACCGACCGACGCATGGCGAAAGTCTAAGAAACGGCCTTAGCCCGGTTCTATGGTCTCCCCAAGGTGCACAAGGAGGGCGCTCCTCTGCGGCCCATTGTATCGCTCGAAGGCACTCCGACGTACAAACCGGCAAAATGGCTGTTTCGGCGTCTCAAATTTCTGACCGCTGATTATGAAACCACCGTCTGTTCGTCAACACAATTTCTGGAGAGGTTTAAAGAAGTACGTCTCTTCCCAAATGAGATCATGGTATCTTTTGATGTCACATCCCTATTTACTTCTATCTCATAGGATCTGGCA